AATGTGTATATTAGTTGTCCTTCAAATTTAATATTTTTTCTAAATGATAATGTATTTATCTTAATTACTTTATTAGAATACTAATTTACTTCACTTGAGTAACAATTAACTACTGAAAAATATCAATATCAACTAGTATAATCGAAGAGAGATATAAAGTTTAAATCTTTTTAATTTTAAATATATTAAAGAACTAAATACTATATAGTTAGTAAAAATGACATCATCATATGCGATCTCATGAGTTCAATTTGATTATATAACGACCCATTTGTAAATTATGATATATTAATTTGACTCCAACAATTAAAAAATATATATAATTTATAAAATTCTAATTAAAATATTATTATTAATTTAATTAGTATTTATTATGTTATTATGACGTCATCCGAGTCAACCCCCGAATCGCCTCAAGTCGACCCCCAATTTGATCGATCCCTTGGCCATGCCGAGTCGAGTTCCGGTTCGAGCCTGACAACACTGGTAATCTGCAAATCAACAACCATTTAACACCCACACTAAAGTACAGGTTGCTAGGCCTGTTTATTGGGCCGGTTGACCCGAGACCCGACCGACCCGAACTTAATTTTGGGTTTTTGGGTTAAACTAAATCGGTTTTCCAGTTGTTATGCAGTCAAAACCGAACTAATTATTTGGTTGGTTGACGATCATCGGGCATTTCATTTTTCACCTGAATTATCCAAACTCATCAGTTTTTTCTCCACCACCACCGATTCTTCGGTTCTTCCCCCACATCTCCAACCTCAAGCCAAACGAGTCAAACAATTTGTGGGTTTCACTAGATTTTACTCCCAAATCCATTTCCACGACCTCCATCAACGTTAGATCTGAGTTATTTGTGGTTAATTTAGGATTTATCCGTCAAAAAGTGTTTTGCTACTCCAAGTATTCTACCGGAGCGACGAAGGCACGAGATTCAAGCCATCTGCATACAAAGCCCCTAATTTCTCTCCCAAGAAGCGGTGAGCAGGGTGTTGGGCAGATGCTTACCGGAATAATTAGGGTTGCTGTGTTTTGGTACTTTGCATCCAAGTATTTCTCTCCCAAGAAGCCTCTCGAGTCTCGGCCCTAGTCAGCCCACCGGCTACCACTCAGATCTCCAATCCCTTTATTTTTTGTTTTGTCCTTAAATGATGATGATGTAATGAAACTGAATTAAACTGCATCAACCCGTCAGATATCAGCATCATTCTTCTACTTGCAACTAGTTAGTTCTATTTCTACATGGGTTCTCTCCAGTCTCCACAATTCTGTGATATGTTCAGTAGTACTTCTTTATGCTTTCTTCTATCAAAGAATCTCTCTATTTAATTGGTGTCTGGTTTGAAGTTTGAAGAACATCTTGTGTATTTTTTATTTTTTATTTTTTTTTTGTTTGAGAGGTACCACTGCAGTTTCATGCTTCCTTTTAGACTGAATTTGCAGTTGTCATCTCTAAAGCTTTCATAGATATGATGCTTTTCAGTAGTATTTCATAAGAAAGATCATATATTGTATAATTTGGATTAACTGAATTTGGAATTTCAAAGCATGAATGGTTTCTGTAACTGTAACTAATTCAGAACATGAATGGTTTCTGTAACATGTAGAGAACTGAGGTAATGGAATTCCCCTCATCCAATTTCAGAGCATGAATGTTAAAAGTCTCTCTTTTCAGTTAACATGTAGGTGATGTTATTGTGGCTTTGCATACTTGTCAGATTTTTTTTCCCCTGGCCGAGATGGGTCTTGTTCAAGGATAGTAAACAATGCTTAAGTTGAAATCTCAATCTTACCTTTCACATCATGTTAGCGCTGGTTGAACTAACCTACAAGTCCCGAATATTATGAATCTTTTTTTTTTTTTTTTGCATCTTCTTGGCGTCTATTTATCGTACTTATCTCTTAGTTTGTTCATTCATTATCATTACTGACCAATTTTGGTTGTTTATAAAATATTAGGACAACTATTGGAAGTGGTTCTTGCTGAGCCTCAGAGTGAAAAGAAGTTTGATGAGGTAAATTCTGCAAGTTCTGCACCTCTTCCTAATTTCATCCCTGCTCCTGGATATGGTACTTTTCCTGTGAATCCATAGGGGCAGGTTGCGGGTGGATTTGGCACCGCTGCTGGATTTCAGCAGGCAGTTACAATTGATTCATCAAAATCCCTTGTGTATTGTTATGCTGCAATGGTTCTTATTTGCATTTGACTTCCACAATCCTTACCATTCATAGAGAACTGCATGCAACTTTTTGAGATAGTCCTTTTAATTGCTCATTATAGAAATTTTGGGAGAAATTTCTGTTCTTTTTTGTTTCTCTGTTCTGGAATCCAGCCTGAACCATAATTCAGTTGTGTGTTTTTTTACTTACTTTCAGTCATAATGCATGAAGAAGAACTCAGACTGACACTTGTTTATTGTATGCCCTTAAAGAAGTTCTCTGCTTTAAGTTGTGAGGGAAAAGAAAAGCTTTTATTACCAACTACTGTTCTTTCCTTTGTGGCTTTGTGCAACTTGCTGTTCATTTTTTTTTAAAGTTTTAATTTTTTTGGTAAGAAAAAAAAGGGATTAAAAATTAGTGTGCTCATGATAAATGGTAATTTCCATTGATGTATGGCAGCTTGAGCTCTGTGATTGTGATGTAACTTTATATATTGAAGGATAACATATATGCTTCTAGTAGAAGTAGGTGTGCTGGGAGCTTGAATAACATGTCCATTTAGTTGTATGGTTGACTGTTCTGTTTTTTCTGAATGTAGCTAATCTTGAAGTTCGTTTCCAGCATTCCTGCAACTGACAATTTTATTTTCTACGAGTAATGATACGATATATACATTTATTTTGAAGAAGTTGGCTTGTTTGAAGTGTTACATTTATTTTTTTATTTTGTTTGTTTGAAGTGTTACTTACCTGCCTTTTCTTGTGCAGGAATTGAAACTTGCTGCCCAACCGCAACCTTCAGTAGTTCCTAAACCAATAGCTGTTACACCAAAAGCTACGTCAAACATAAACTATACAACTCTAGGGTCCTTAAGCTGGGATCAAGATAACGAGAAAGTGAAGGTAAGAACTTCTCATCCCCACTCACTGTGTGAACTGCTGCTTCTGTATTTCTAGAGTGTTTATTTTCTGTATAATGTAATTTGCTATTTTCTTGGTATATTTGGTATATTTCTAGAGTGGACTTGTAAGTGCTTACATATGTTTCTGTATGTCTACATGTGTTGTCTTTTTTTCATTTTGAAAAGTGATCAACCTGTTCTGTATTTTCTGAAAATTTCGACCTGAAGTGCTCTTTTCTTGATCTGTTATCTCTTATTTGTTCACCTCCTTTTTCTGATGTCTTTCATAAATGTCTTCTTTCATAAAGGCTTACGAACTGAGTTTGTCTTTTTTATATTCTTTTCTACTGCAGAAACATAACATTTGTCTTTATGCTAGAGCTTTAGAAAAAGGCGAGTCATGGCTGAATTTCTTCTTATGTTGTGTACCATGCTTTGAGGTTTATTTCGCTTATGTTGTTGATGCATTGACATTTTAGATGGAGAATGCCAAGCTGCAATGCTTCTTTATCAACAATCCAGGAAAAGATGAAAGGAGTATGAAGGAGTATGAAGGATATCAACAATCCAGGAAAAGATGCATTGTACATGTTGATTTCATGTAGTAATTAAATTCTTAAATCTATGTTTATTTCAGAGAATCTAACATGTTATGTAGTGATTTTTTTTGTGTTTTTGTAGTATATTTGGATGCTCAAAACAGTGAACAACTAAGAGGAAAGATGCTCAAAACAATGATTTTTTTTTGTGTTTTTGTAGGTGTATTTGGATGCTCAAAACAGTGAAAATTTATTTCTTTTTAAAAAAATAAGTTTGTATCGAGGTGACCTGAAAATCCAACCGGAAACTCGAATAACCCGAGTAAGTTATTCGGTTATGTATGTAAGTTATTCGGTTATGTATGAATTAACTTGTGTTTTGACTTTGGGTCCAACCATTTGTACCCGAATACCCGAATTTTCAAACCCGCGCACCCACCTGTTTGACCCAATCAACAGGCTGATAGGTTGCTTGTCATAATGCGCATGCCAATGACTCAGATCAGTAATGGATTTGCAAATTTGTTTAATAAAGAAAAGAGAAAAAAAAATCATAAACCAGAGCATACAATTCATTTGGAAAAAACAATCAATACGTACACACTCCTATAATTCAATAAGAAAAAATTAAATGCCAACCTTCTATGTTAGAAATTTTAGGCTGCTACGACGCGAAGTGGAGGTGAAGAGGGCGGACAGCGGCGGTGGTGTTTGCGGATAACGGCAGTGGTGGCGGTGGCGGACAGCGACAATGGCCTCCGGGCATCCACGATCGACGATGGTTTCGTATCGAATTTTTGGGAGTGCCAATATCGGGATCGTCGGCTATGTTTAGATTGATTATTGGCGGACATAAAAGATAGGGTTTTGACATTACATGAGTAACAAAGATTTTGAACTGTGTATAATCTCTCTATTTAAATTCCAGAAATGATGAGATTTGTTACGTCAATTTAGTTTTATTTTGATTTGGTTTAGGTTTAAACAGAATAAAAGATTACTCCCTTTTTTTGCGTCAATTTTCGGCGCGTGAATTACCAGCACGGTCCATGGTCCATATAGTACAATAATTGCACATTATGGACTATGTGTATATTTCGGACCCGATATGAATTGTTATTAGGACTACATTTTTTATTGGTTTACCTCAATTTCCTACATAATACTACAAAGTTTTATTAATTCTTTCTTAGTACATAATTTTTATTACATTCTCAACTACAAATAATTAAAGAATAAAAGAATAATCTGTACCTCTAAACTATATATATAGTACATAAATTACAATGAAAATAATAAAATTCGGATAATTCATCGCCTTATGGCTTATTCCAGGATAATATTCCGTGTACTAGTAAACATTTCTTTTTTGTTTTTTTTTTTTTTGTTTTTAATTACTTTCCGTAACCATTTTGGCCATCTGAATCTGATGCGCCGCCGCTTTGACCGTCTGAGTTCCCGACGACGACCGCCGGGGTTTTAATTTTGAACCGCTGCATCCGGCGGGGAGAACCCATGCTCAAGCTTCTCTGCAGAGTTTGATTCCTGACTTCACTCTTGTTCTTATTCAACATAGCGTCCACTTTACGGAACACGTCGTCGAAGTCTTCCTGCATCCGGTCGGGAAATATCTTCTTGAAGAAATCCTGTCGTTTCACGTAAATCTCCTGGTAAAACGACTCCAGCACCATCATCAGCCTCTTATCAACCTTCTTCCCCGATTTCCACCGGATCATGTAGGGCCGCTTCTTCTTGTGCTCCACGAAATCCCCGTGATCCCAACCCACGTCCTGGGTGGAGTAATTTATGTTATCGGATTCATCCCCGAACCGGGTGTACGAATAACCCGGAGAATTCGAAACCGGGTTGTATGCCAGCGGGCTGGAGATCCTGTTCCCTGGAACAGGGTACCCATATTCGTAAACTGGGTCGGGTTTAATTAGCGTAGATGGCCTGAATGAATTAGACATAGAAGAGGAGGAGGAGGAGGAGGAGCAACGATCATCCATGGGATAAGACATGAATGAATAATCGATGGATGCAGGAGAGGTGTTTGTTTTTTTTCTGCTTCAGTTAATTTCTAGTGTGTGACTGCGTGTTTTTGTTCTTTTGGGGGTGTGAATATTGAAGAGATATGAGAATGGGAGGAGGAGGGGAAATGGTGGATTGTAGTATTTATAGGAGGTGGTGGCAGAGAAGGAATCCAACGGCGGCTGGAAGTTGCGACGCAGTGATGAAATGGCGGTTATCATCAATAGATTGACTGAATGAATGATTGAGTCATTTTTACTCGTTTGCTTTCTGTTGACTGACTCGTTAAACAATAAAAATATCGATTCGTTTCTTGGATTTGTGATCTGTCTGGGGTGAGGAAACTACTACTGTAATTAAGTCTGTAAGTACTACACTTACCTCTTCTCCAAGTTACAGACTTTTCAAAATTTCCAGCCAATTTCCATTAGTAGTAGCTTCTTCGTCCGATTTTCTTGAATCAACAATGGGACGTAAACTAAAAAACGAGTACATTTATATTTCGGTTAGACTAATTTTTATTGGAATTTAGAATACTATTGACTGTGTAAATCAGCTGTCTTAATATTTCTGTAAAGACGCACATTAATCATCGGGCAGCCACTGAAGATTTATATACTCCCTCCATTTCATTTTGTAATTCGTTTTAGATTTGGAGAGATTTTTCAAAATGTAGGTTGTTTTATAAATTCTAAATAAATTAATGACTAACTTTTCAATTTTACCATCAATAAATAATATCAATTTATTTTCATTTAGTCTTATTTATAATTTCAACGTAATTAATGAGCGTTCAAATAGATATTTGACACATAAATTAATTATTAAATGATTGTCTCCTTAGTTTACGTGCAAAGTCTAAAGTGACCTATATTTTGAAATAGAGGGAGTAGTATCTAAATAAGCTAAAAACTAATTAACAAAAAACCGTATGATTTATCTTCCCCGTTTGTTTCAATTTTCAACCTTATGAATATGATTTACTTAACAATTTATTACCTGTTTTCATAGGGTGAAAGCTAATAAATATCTAATAGTTACTCATTCTAAAATCAGTTTATGTGAATTGATAAGGTCTGTTCTCTCTCATTTCCCACGAGTTTTTTATGAAGAAGAATCAAAGATACGTCCGTGTCAAACCAGTAAAAGGATAAGGTAAACAAAGGAAGAACAACAACAAGCAACAGCATCGATCTGTCATGAATACCGTTAGAATTTTTGCCAAGAAAGTTGACTAAGATCATCATGGTTTTTTTATTAAAAAAATAATAATAAAAACAATCATGGTTTCTTATGGAAGGCGCGTGGCATGGCAAAGCTGCTCCTTTTCTCGCTTCTTTTTAGTCTTTGTTAGCAATTCATTCCAAATTCAAATTTCAACATTCTATTATTTGACCCTTGTTTCCATGCTCGAATCTTGATCTCCATATAGTGTAATATTAATTGCTCCTCCCTCCGGTCCTTATTATAAAGCATTTTAATTTTTCTTAAGTTTCACATAGTGCATATTTTTTTATTGTAAAATAAAAATCTTAAAAAGATTTCGTAACAATTAAGACAACACAAGAAATGTGAAAATATATTTTTAAGATTTTTTTGTCAATTAAAAATGTGTACTATGTGAAATATAGGACAAATCAAAATGTCGTATAATAAGGACCGGAAAGAGTATAGTTTTAAAGCAGCTACAATAATAATTGAGTGTTTTTGTTTAGGACATAGTATATTGATGAAATGAGTATACTATTTTAGACATTTAACCTGTTATTAAACACGATTTGAAAAATTTTAAATGTGTGCTCTACAAGAGCTGGAAGAGTAATCATTGACAATTTTTTCAGTTTTGTGCTAATAATAAATTAGATTAAAATAGCTCATCTAAATTCTGGCGCTTTTTAATTTGGTGAAGTTTCCAGAAATCTGTACATAAATGCACCAATGCATCTTGGTTCATACTACTTAAACAGCCTCTCTGTATTGATATACAGGGGTAAGGTTGCGTAAATCTTAACCCCCAGACTCCAATCAAGTTGGGAATATACTGAGTTGTTGTTGTTATATGCTCCACGAGACTTAAAACTAAAAGTTAACGAAGGATAGATAACTTAATTATTGCTTGCTTAAATTTACAGTTTAATTTAACTTAATCAATAGGTGGCCCATTCCCTCGACATGTCAGCATTCTTTCTTCTTCATCTTTTCATTTCTTTTTCCTCGTTCCTTTGTTTATTTTACAGGCTAAATAGCGCAGTCACTTTAGTCTTGCCGTGCAAGCAACTTTGTTTCGAGAAACCAACGAAAGGGAGATTAAGATTATGGCCATTCGAGCCACGGTGACGGGGGGAGCAAAAGAAGTAATGGTGACGCATGCATTGCTTAACATACAAGTTACACTTAACTTTGTAGCGGCATTTTAATTTGTTCTGTTTCAGCCTGTTTACCAAATTGGTTCAATTAATTAATTATTTGTGCTAGTTGATTTGAACGCGTAAAAATTAACGAAAATACATGGAAGATAATAAATTGAGGGAAAAGAAAAGGAATGCAGAAAAATAATGCTTAATTAATGATTCTATTGAATAAATTCAATATCACATGTGACACGACAACACGATTAATAATCTTATATTTATGGAAAAATACAAATATATAACTAACAAATAAATTTTCTACGTTTAGAATAAACTACATTTCAATATATGTATAAATTGTAGTTGTAGTAAATTCCACTTAAAATAAAACTATTCTATTTCCAAATAACAATCTAAATCAACACATGAAAGCGAATGATACTTGTCTACTAATATGTACTTGAACTTGAATTCCCAACTTTGATTTAAATTCGTGATTCTAAAACTTGTCATTTCTTCTTTTTTTTTTAAAAAAAAAAGAATCATATTATTGTAGAGCTTTCTATTCTCCGTACTGTGATAGTGGCATTAATAGGAACATAAAAACATCCCTATAACTGTGAGTATGTTAATAAAATATAGAAAAAAAATAATATGAAAATATTCGAATGTTTAAACAAAGAACTTGGATGCATATAAACACTCAAAATATGGAGAAAAAAGAGATTGAATTAATTAATCCAACATTTAAAAGAAAATAATACCAAAATATAATATGTATGATACGAAATATATGAGAGATGCAAAAAAATTGTTTTAGTTTAAATTTGAAAGGGAATCATATACACTATGCTCACTTAATTGGAGATTAAACTATGTGATTCCTCTTCATGGGAATAAGAAGCTAATGAGAGATTAGACATTTGGGAGAAAATCTAAGCCCAAAGCTGGGCTAACATCAAAGAGATTGTCAACCAAAAGAGTTTTATTTGAAGTGTAAGAAATCAGAGAAAACAAAATGAAATTAATGAAAAAGAAGTTGAAACAAAAACTTGTAACTCTATGCATTAAATGAATCCCGTAATAAATGAAATAATAAAATCATTATTAGAGAATTGAAAGAAAAATAAAAAATTATATTAAGGATGGTGAATTTGAGGAAGCCGAGAAAATTGAACGTAAGAGGAGAAAAAGAAACTCGTATACATGCATGTGATACTATATTACAAACCATTATTATAGGTTTGAATGGAAAATAAATAAAAAATCATAATGATGCAATTAAATTATAGAAAACGAAAAAAGTTGAACATAAGAGGAAAAGAAGAGATTTATGTACAAGTTATAATATACTACCAAAAGTTCGCCTAAACTCACTATTTATATATATAATAGATAGATAGGGGGAAAAAAGCAAAGAAAAAGATGAATTCGAAAAGATTGGATAAATTGATATTGTGAAGTTTTATATCTTTTACTTGGAAAAATTAAAAAAAGTTAGTAATTTTAACTCTTATAATAATTAGTAATTGATGTAGTAGTAAATTCATTATTATGAATTACAAAAATGGAAAAGGAAAATACTACCTATGCTAAAAATCCAAATTTTAATCATTACGTGATGGAAGGAGTATAAAGAAGTTATATTAAGGTGATTTTTTTCTTTAGTGACTTGTGAACATTTTGATTCACAAGTTCTTCAATTAAAACAAACACCTATTTGCTTTGAATAGCAATCATATACTCTCTCATGTTTCAAAGAGAACTGTCATGTTGTCCTCTTGAACAAAAAAAAAAAAAAAACCTCTTTCGTTCTGAAATTATTGTTTAATTTGAATTTTTATTTTTACTACAAATTAAACTAAAATTAAAAACTAAAATTAGACAATAATTTTGGGAAACGGAGAGTAACAGAATTCACAGGAACAAAATGAAAATGATTAAATACTAATTACTATTTATATACTACTATAAAACGATATACTGAATGAATAATTAATAAAATTCAATGTAAATTAATCTGCTGCAAACTAAAAGATACAGGCACTTACTAGTATTATTTACCCTCAGCAACAAATCATAAAAAAAGAAAGAAATAATAAATCATTTACATTTTACAGTATGTGAGCACTGCTTTTTACTAGTTCTCCACATTTTATTTATTCATTTATTTTATTCAATAGTACTACTCTTCTATCTTATAATTACAAGATACTAGTAGTATCAATACTTTTCTTCAGTTCTAATTTGGTAAAAAGAAATTTTCTTTTTCTTTTTTTGGTTACAATTAAAGAAGGTAATTCATGACCTTGTTTTTACACTTTTTGTTTTTTATTAAAAAAATAAAAATAAAAACCAGTAGTACGTGGTAATTATTTTCCATCACAACCAGATGATGCAGGCTGGCAAGCTGACGCGCCGCCTTGACCGCCAGAATTCCTGATGCAAACAGCCGGGATATGGCAAGCTGACGCGGCCGCTTGACCGGCAGCGTTCCGGATGCAGACAGCCGGAATTTTAACTTTGAACCGCTGGATCCGCCGGGGCGACCCGAGGCTCAAGCTTCTCTGCAGTGTTTTATTCTTCACTTCTGTGCTGTTCTTCAACAACATGGCGTCAACTTTGCGGAAGACATCCTCAAAGTCGGGTTGTATCCGGTCGGGAAAGATTTTCTTGAAGAAATCCTGTCGTTTCACGTAAATCTCCTGGTAAAACGACTCCAACACCATCATCAGCCTCTGATCCACTCTTTTCCCGGATTTCCACCGGATCATGTAGGGCCTCTTCTTGTTGTTGAGGTCGACGAAATCCCCGTTATCCCACCCGATTTCTTGACCCGGAAAATCATCACCAGCCGGTTCATCCCCGAACCTCGAGTATGAATAACTCGGGGAGTTCGACACCATGTTGTAAGCCAGCGGGGTGGAGATCTTGTTTTCGGGAAACCCGAATTGGCAAATCGGGTCGGGTTTAATCAGTCGGGATGGCCTGATGGAAGACGCCGGGCAATCGGCGGCGGCGGCGGAGGAAGAGCAACAGCAGTGTTCATCCACGGAAGAAATGGTTTTCATTGAGCAGGATTAATTGGTAAAATTTGAATCGCAATACAAAAAAGGATAGAGGTTATTTGGTTTATTAATGATGATTTGTGTTTCTAGTGTGTGACTGTGTGTATTTGGTTGTGTGGAAATGAGAAATGGGAATGAAGTGAGAGTGGAATTGGCTAAAGTACTGAATTTATAATGGATAGATGACGGAAGAACGGAATGGTACTACATAATAAATTAAATGGATCCAACGAGCGGAGGTACGGCGGCTTTTAAGTGTCAGTTGGAAGCCAATGAAGATGAGAGATTTTGGCGGTTAAATATATTACTAGTATTATAAATTGGCGATTTTGAATTACTAGTTTGAGTCATTCTCCACTCGTTTTTTTTGCAATTCTGGTTTAACACGGTTACATCACACCCAGTTTCCGGCTGGTTGGGAATTCTACATTTCTACTTACTACTACTGTACTTACCTCTTCCCCAAGTTACTGACCTATCACAAACTTTCCCAGCAAAATATCAGTTGCTTCCTGGTGATTCTGATTTCTTACTGCCTAAGCTTGATTTGCATGCATCTTGTTATGTGTTACACGCAAAGGTAAAAATCCTAGGTTACTCGTCAATCGTCATCTATTGGGTTGATGTCGAATTGTCGCTTATCTAGAATTTACTACCTTCATTTCAAATTATTCATTAGCAAAATTAAAATATTATAAGAAATGGGAATTTATATAGATGTTTGACAATTTCTTTTTTTAAATTTTTTTTTATCAGTTTAGGGTGTGAAGATCCCGTCAATTTGTCTCTCAATTTCAATTTCCAAGATAGCATTGATGAACTTTTTTCAATTTCATCCTTATTTCTTTCTGCTTTTAATTGGTATCAATAATAGTATCAATAATAGTATCAATAACAACTACACTTATCATTTACTTGTTATTTAATTTTTTTACATATTTTCAATACAATTAAATAGGGATAAAAATGGTATATTATACATGAAAATTATATTCCCAAACATGTTGTTTTCATTTATGTTTTTGTCTAAAGCGAAAAATAATTTAAAATGGAGATAGTAAAAATTAATTGAAATAAAAATAGAAATAGTGCTTGTTTGGACGTCAACTTACATTTCATTTTATCACTTAAAAGTGGAAGGTGTTTCAAATTTAAAACTAAATGGGAAATAAAAATATTGTTTGGATGTTGGTTTTGAAAAAAAGTATTTTGAACTACATTTTGAAATATCAAGTACAAGTCATCACTAAACAATTAAACACTGTCAATTATAGTCACTGCAAAAAAGAACTTTTTCAAAAACAATCACTCAACAACAGAATCCTGCCAAATTTGTCACTGAACTATTTGTAGTTCTAAAATAGTCATTACACTAACAAAAAGTGTTTCAAGTTGGAATTTAAAATGTAAATCAGAAAGTTATTTGGATAATATTTTCTTTTTTATTATGTTTTGTGTTTAAGAGGTAAAATGAGTGAAAATGTAAAATGAATTAATGTTCAAATAAGCCTCTCGCACACTTGTTACTACCAAGTGGTAAGAAATTTTCGTCTCTTGAACATAAATTAGGAGTTCAAGTCATTTGAATGGAAAAAAAACAATGTTAAGATATTGTTGCTTTGGGCCAAAGGAGTCATTTCAAGAGTATTCGGACAAAGATTACAATTCATCGTTAGCCGTTAATTTTCAGCGTTGGTTTTTTAACCTAACGAGTTAAGAATGTGAATTATGTGGTGACTGCAGTGTGCAATGTGCACGAGTTAACGATGGTAAGGTGAAACTGTTGTCATGAGAGTCAAACACTCATCATTGAATTCAGAATCCGTCAATGTTTGAACACGAAAGGAACATCAACAACTATTCCCAACTCGCATATAATGCCGGCCGTCTAATTGCTGTATCAAGAAAGTTGACTAGAAAAAATGTGTGTGCTTTTTCCTGTATTTAACTTGGGTCGCTTAGGATTGATGGAACCCTCAAGTAGCAACAATTCCTCCCAAATTCCAGTTGCCCCCAAGTATTTGACCCTTAATTATAAAACATTGATTTTCATAGCTAGCTGGTGTTAGTTTGAGGCTTTATAAAAAATAAAAAATAAAAACACTACGAAGAACTGCTCCATATATCACGATGCAAGAAAGTACCAAGAAAATCATAATATTAGTTTTAAAATTAATTATTTTTTTCCGTCCCAAAATATAAAAGTTCAATCTGTTAAACTAGGTAGCCGCTAGATGGAATTTTCGTCTCCAAATGATGATGGGGTTAATTGGTGGGCATGACCAAGCTCGCGTACTTTATTCCTATATATTAATTTTTTCTTTTCCTGTAAAGGAATATATGTCTGGAACTCTGGATTACTAACATACAGTATTGATTTTTATTTTGAAAAATAAATTTCAGTGTACATATATAGTTACCTCTCTACTGTTATCCTCCCGCTATAATATTCCCCAATTTCAAGTCAACTCTCCAACCACACGTAATCATTTGCGGCGACTTGTAAGGAACCGTACGGTGGGATCAACTCTGCATCAAAAGTCAAGGAACATTACGGTAAAAGTCAAAACTTTCCCAGAAATGTGAACTACATTTTCAGCTTTTCTTGTTTCCGGATGAAGAAAAAAGAAAAGAAAAGAAAGATACAGTAGGCAATTTACACGAATTCCACTCAAGGTTTTCGATATCATTCTCCATATAACACAGCTCGAGCATTAACACCAACTCATCTCCGTAATGTGTTGATATAAGTTTTAAAGCTCTGCTTAGGTTGTTGTAGCCAACAAGAGAAGGTACCTTTAATACATTAGGCCATTTAAAGGAACCCCACTCAGTCAAGGTCTTTGATACGTAACCTTCACTTTTGAACCAAACATATGTCACTGTCTTAAAGATGATTAATAAATATGGACATATACCAAGTTACCGTGCATCTGTAAAAATTTCCTGGCAAAAAAAAAGGGGGGGCTCCAAAAAGAGGGGGGAAATCCTATTAGATCCTATGCCTACCTACTATTTGTACATGTTTTGTTTCACATTAGGATCATCATAGAAGGAAAACCCAGAATTAGATGGCACATTATACTCCTGGCTAGCTACATTTCTTGCGAATCTGTCATTTGAGGGTACTTGTTGAGCCACTTCTGGGTAAAAAGGATAAGACGGAGATGTATATCTCCGTGGAAGGACCAGTCCTGGATTCATTTGAGGGTCAAGATAACTGGATCTACCGGAAGATGGACTAGTAACAAAAGCATTTTGATGAACAGGCTTCATTTGATGGATACCTGACTCCATAAATGGCATCGAAGAAGCAGGTAGTCTTGTGACAAACCCTGGGTCCATTCGATGATCGAGGTAGCTGGATGTACTGGAAGATGATACGCCAGTATCAAAAACATTTCCATCGGCAAGTCTCATCGGGGAGCCACTTGGTTGCATCCCGAGTCGAGGCATTGTGGAAGCATGTAGTCCTGAGACACCTTGTGGAAATGGGGGAGTTAGAGTGGTTCTATTAACTCCAGACTGGATCTCTCTAGAAGGGGAAGGTGAGCTGCCATAGAACTGATCGCTTAATGACGCACTTGATCTACTTTCCTCATAAGGGCTGCCAAGAAATCCCTCAAATGTTGCTTCATGGTATCCATTGCTTAAAACAGGTCTCGAATTTGAACCCAGAGAGTTGCTTCTAACCGTAGCTTCAAACTGAAAGTCAGTCGGCAACCTAAAAAGCCCCGGGCACCCAACAGGAATCTCCATTCTTTCTCTAGTCCTGGCACCAAGAACAGAACGTTCAACACTGTTAACAGATGATCCGTTCTCCAATAGTGGCATATTATTGATTTTCTGGTTCAGTGATGATCTGGCAAGCTGCAGTGCCTGCAGAACAGATTCTACATTACTTGAAGAATTTTGTGATACCAAAGCCAGTTCCTTATTTATTCCAGAACTTTCTCCATTTTCTGAAGAAACGGGATTATGCGCGGAGGAAATCCCAAGGGAGCCATTCGAGATTGTAGAAATATGGCTACTTTGGGGAGGCACCCTCTCTGTATTTTCCAAGACCACTTGGTTCTGATTCTCCTTTGAAGAAAGTTTAACAGACTCGGAAGCAACATGGCTGCCCGTTTCCTTCTGATCTAGTAAACACGTACTATCAACTGTGGAAGATATAGCCATGTCCTTCAGTTGCAGCTCTACACTAAAATCAGGTTTAATTGCCTCGTTATTTCCAAGGTCTTGAGTACGTATGGATGCTTCTACATTTGACTGATCAGATGCCTTCACATCATCTCTTTCTTCAGTAACATCTGAGCGATTACCAGGGTCACATGAATCCTAGTAGGATCAGGAAGAACATTAGTACATATAGCCAACATAACCAAATTCTTAACATAAAGGGAAATGCCTTAGATTGGCAATAAAAGAATATGGAAAGGGTAACAACAAAAAGCCACTGAAGCCCTGCAATTGGATTCCCCTTTCATGCGAATAAACAAAGACAACCTAACAGGCTTTGACGTCAACGATCTCTAAAGGTTAACTTAAATACATTCAGTCAACAGCCTTAAACCGTTTTCCCAGACAGTTTTTCAACGAGTATCTAGCGACTTTATCAATATTCATCGCTAAACAAGGAGGTCCCTCCCGCCCCAAACAAAAAAAGAACACTTTGAACAGGCTTTCACGATACACAGCTATAATAAAGGGCACTTGACTCCCGAACTCATTAAGATCTAAGAAGGTTTTGAATGCGCCAGTAGCCAGACTCCCTACCCCGACACAAGTTCTAACCGTTATCATCTTCTGCCTTTCGGTGTTTCAGAATTATGCACCATGAAGATAAAATTGAATGACATATCTTGTCATATCCACTTAATAATAAATAACTTAAGAAATAATCTTTGAAGAATGTAATATGCAACTTCATATTAAGACTAGAATACAAGTACTATACCAGGATAGAGCCACTGACACTGTTCTCTCTAACTTTATCTTCCCACTGTCTCTGGGCTGTTTCTTCTTCTTCGAACTGCCCTAAAGAGTCTACTTGCTGTTGTAAGGTTCCATCAAGGTCCTTATGTTTTGCATGTCCATCAGAACACAAGCCATTGACACCTTTAGTTCCAGGTGAACTAGACCCCGGAACTTGAATTTCTGTTGTGTTGTTTATCCCTAGGCTTGCAGGATGTTCAATATCAGCACAAATAGGAGAATCTTTGGAAAAGTTATCAACTGTGCTCGCTTGCAATTCATGCATATTAGGATCAGTTTGCAACTGCTCTGTAGCGGATCTGGTAAAAGAAAAGAGGACGAGTAAGAATTCGCTATGGCCATAGTTTTTAGTTTGAAAGTACACTAAAAGTAGCTGGTAGTCAACTGCACCTGATGCTTCAGCACCCATAGTGCTTATGGAGGCTTAAACCAGCAAATGAAACAAAAATGGTAAAACAAATATTTTCACATCCCGTGATATTCATGTACATAGAAAACAGGCATTGAAATGTTTGCAAAACTCAAAAAATTAGGGTAAGTAATGCTGAAGAAAATTCTCTGCATAATTTCTTCCACTCCATATTCCTTATCATTCTGCCCAAAGTAAACCACAACTAATCATTGCTCTAACTAGGTCAATGCCCAAGATTAAAATTGTTCAACGAAGAAATAAAAGCAACCATTAATAACCTACCTAATCTCCCTCCGTCTTATCCGCCGACAAGATTTACCAACACGCTTTGGTGAAGAAGTACCATTAGAAGCAAATGCAGAACTTCTTCTCCTAACAGGTTCCATGTATTTTGTCCTTTGAAAGGAATGGTGAGAATCCTTGCTACTTTTCCATGATAGGCTTCGACCAGTAGAATGAGAAGAGTCGATTTCAGAACTTGAATATGCTTCTATATCACTTCTTCTCACTTCAAAATTTCTGGAGGTTTCCTTCATCTTTGTACTATCATCACTGATCGTTTCCTGGTCAGAGTTGGAATAGTATGAATCCGATGCATCACTTATCCCGTTGCTCTCTAGAATAGCAAGCACATCCACTGTGGCTTTCTCAGCTTTCCTTCGTTGCAGAGACACCATCTTCAGTTGCTCTTCCAGTTCCAATACCTATCGATTCGTAACAGACAGAAAGCAACCCAAAAGCAATTTGGAACCATTAAATATTGACAGAAATGGGCATAAAAAAGAGGCCATGGTTTGTTTATACAACATTAGGTCCACGGATTTACCCTCTTTGCAAGATCATCAGCCCTCTGCCTTGACGATTTTGAAACAGCTCTCTCAGACAACAATTGGGCCCGCAGAGATTCAATGGTCATTGAAGTCAAATCTTCTAGTCCGCCACCATTACTTCTAATAAGAGAAAATTTCAGCAAAACTAGGTTCATTTAATGGACGTAGCAAAGGTTAAGAGTAAACTTGTTAAATCCTCGCATAAATGGGCTTTCAAAACCAGATTCCAAATGGGACAACAATAAACATTTCAAAACAAATGACCTTATCCTGAATAATTCCCTGAAACCCTAATTATGAAATCAAAACCTGGTAGTCACCCTTTCTGGTGGTACTGCAAAGCACAATTAAAATTTATCAATGTTTCTCTTCTCAGGGCCAAAATATATCAAAAGGACATCACAAGAACGTATATCCGCACCCAGACACACACAAACACAGAGATTTAAAAATGATGACCTACGGAAATTTTATTCGGTTCTGCAGCTTTCTTGATTGGTATTTAATTCTGTAACTAGTAGAATCTAAGCTTCACAAAAGCCCCTATGAGCATTTTCAAATAAGAAGCCCCCATTAGTTTCCGAGTGACTTTGGCTTCACAATAATCTGTCAAAATCCGGTCTTTACAACAGCACACAGTATGTACCACTTAGCAGAAGTAGTGTCCTCCTTAGTTGCGGTTACTGATTAGAGCTTATACAAAATCGAGAAATAAGAGACAGAAGTTTCAGTTTAACAAAAAGATCATCATTTTCTACCCTTTTCCCATATGACTATTAGAATAGTCCCTTCAATTATTGGTATTGCAGTACTGAATCGCTCCATTATCTATATTTCCTAATTCTTAGATCGTGAAATAAAACCATTGCCAACCAGGCGTACAGCGTAGAACAAAGTCAGCCGAGCAATTCCTTTTACTTTCCTTTCATTTTAAGTCTGATATGAATGACGAATTTAGATAAGTTCGTAGAATCAGAAGCTAAAGCCCATAAAAAAGATAGTCCAAAAGCACAAAAAAAAAAAAAAAAATGAAACTTTACATCATAAAGTAAACACAAAGGGGTACAAGGGAATACCTTTGATCTTGATCTTCGACTGAACTCGCCATTTTTTGGACACTTCCCCAAAAAAAAAAAAAAAAAAAAAAACCTCAGCTCTCTGACTGCTTAAGTATCAATGTTCTTCAATAACAGAAGCAATCAGAAACCAACCCAGAAGAGCAGATTAAAAGTTAAGAACCCATTTGACTTAGGTGAAAATTTTCAAAAACCCCGAAAAAATCCAGAAGAAAAAAAGGGGGAAAGGAATGAGTCGGATGGATGACTCAGTACCTTAAGACATAGGCTGAATTGACTATGACACTGAAGAAAATCAAGAACCCCTGCCTGCCGTGGTGTTCAGGCGTTATAATTAGTGTGTGAGTGTGTGAGAGAGAAAGAAAAGGTAATAGGATGATGAGTCATTAGAGTTGGAGGGTAACTTGGGGAATGACGAAGATGGAAGCTTCCGTTTATAAAAGTTGAACCAATTAATTAACGAATTGGACCTCCCCACCTTACTTTTAAGTATTTGCTTGAATAGGTCCAAGCTTTGTGTCTGCTTTACTAATTCCACATTTAAGATTTTACATATAAATTTAATAGTACTAAAATGAACGATTAGAAAGTGGATGGAAAGTTTTTTATTGAAATATTTGCAAGTTTCTATGATAAGATTAGATGCCATTGATATGTTTAAGTGCATATCATAAATGAAGCCGTGATCATTACTATTTGGAAACTTTAATTATGTCGATTTGAAGTGAAGGGGTGTGTTAATTGCTTTAAAATCAAAAGGTACACAAAATATAAGAAGTTATTAATGTAAAAGCTATCATCAGCCAAAAAGGGTGGCCCAAGTAGTAAAGGGCTAGGTATCCAATCCGAAAATTCTTATTGAGTAAAAAGACTAACTAATACGTGGCTAGTTAAGGCTAAAATTGTAGTAGCAATTTTGTAGTATGTATAATTATTAGAGATTCTAATGATGATTGGCTAGCATGCTCCATCTAGTTAGTGTAGACTGTAGAGCATCATTTGTTGATAAATTATACCGAGTATTTGAATAAAGCTATAAAAATTGAAAGATCATAACTTACGACTATGAAATTATTACATCATAGATTATAAAGCATTTTGATTTGTTCTATATTTCACATGATATATTTTTTCAGTTGAGAAAAAAGCTTTAAAATATTTTTTAATAATTAGAAAAACATAATAAATGTAAAAAAAATTTATTTTTAAGGGTTTTTTTTCAATAGAAAAAACATATTAGGTGAAATTAAGACAAATGAAAATACCTTAAAAGCAGTATTAATTAAGAAGATGGTTAAACTGCATTCAATTATGTACCCGTTTGAAACAAGTACAAATGAGTTAGCCAACTATTAAAACAGAAATTACAGACTTTTGAAACGTTGTGAATGCACATTTCTTGTGACAAAAGAATCTGAAATTGTAACTCAAAGAAATGTCCTCTGTCGTTACGTTAATAATTTCTTCTTCTTTTTTTTTTTCTCTTTGAAAACCCGTACGTTAATTTTATTCATAGAATCTGCCAACTTCTTTTTCAAGTCCTGCTAAATGCGAGTGTATGTGCCGCTGTCAACTTTTTGTCGGCAGCTCTGTCCTGTTCTCCGACGAGGCTTTTGCCGCTCGTCTCCGCCGGATTGTGAGGACATTTGTTCAAAAAGAAAATGCCAACTTCGGAGAGCGTAATATTAATATGCAGCAACGAAAGTAGTTCAGATTTCAAACTTGAGAGCCTGAACATCGACAAATACCATGTAATTAATTCTTCTACGTTTTTTTTGCATAGTCCAATTTATTTAACTAAAAATAATACTCTATCTGTCCCAAAATTATTGTCTAATTTGAGATTTCGCTTATAGTTCATTTTGAATTAGAAATGAAAATTCAAATTGTACAATAATTATGAGACGGAAGGAGTATTTTTAAAGTGAGACGAAAAGAGTAATCGCGCTGCTCAACCGTGGCTAACTCTTGAGAGAAGGTTTTAATTATGCCTCCTTTCTTGCATACCACAATACGGATGAGTTGGATTGTTTGTAGTATCAAGTGGATTCTATGATCAATACTCTCTAGCCACTTGAAATTTTCAGATATTTTGTCAATGTGAAATCCAAAACTTGAACTAAGATCTATAACATATGCTAGAAACTAAATGATAATGGATCCAACTATGTAACCAACATTATAATAATATCCCAATTATAATAATACTATCTCCATCTCAAAAAAATATTCCCTTATAAGGCATTTTGATTCGTCCTATGTTTCACCTAGTATGTATTTTTAATTAACGAAAAAATCTTAAAAATATATTTTCATATTCGTTATGTTTTCTTGATTTTTATGAAATATTTTTAAGGTTGTTTTGTCAATTAAAAATACGTACTATGTGAAACCTAGGACAAATCTATTTACTTTATATTAAGGACCGAAAGGAGTAGTCCACATTGAATTTTCAAATTTGTACTAAAAATAGTACAAAACTCAAAACTTAATTTGGATTATTGTTATGGGACGGAGGGAGTATAAAAAAATATTTGGAAAAATAGTGATGAAATACTAGTAATAACTACCTACCTTGATGGTGGTTTGTTTATTGCAGAAAAAAGCTGACAACCGACTTAATTAATCTCTGATGTTAATTGATTGATCATCTCAACCTCAAATTCCCCCTTTTTCTTTCTTTGTTCTCATGAAAATCCACCAATAATAGTGTGCAATTATGAACCAAAAAAAAAAGCTTCCACACCCCTAACAAATTCGTACCCATATAATAATAATACACTCAGATCATCTTCGAGTTGGAGGTGGTGGATGTTTTCCTCTGTTCATGGAGGTCGCCAAGAAAAGCCCAATTCTCAGAGTTCTTATGCTGCCATGGCTGGCTCATGGTCATATTCTTCCCTTCTTAGAACTTGCTAAACGTTTAGCAACCCGAAATTTCCGTCTTTACTTGTGTTCTACCCCTGTAAATCTGATATCCATCAAGAAGAAAATCTCCGATAAGTTTTCAAGTTCGATTCAATTGGTTGAGCTCCACCTTCCATCCTCGCCGGAGCTTCCTCCTCACCACCACACCACCAATGGGTTGCCGCCCCATCTCATGGCCCAGCTCAAAAAAGCTTACGAAATGTCAGCTCCTCAGTTTTCCACTGTTCTATCCACCCTGCATCCTGATTTGGTGATTTACGATCTTAATCAGCCGTGGGCGGCGAAGATTGCTTCATCTCACAATATCCCGGCGGTTCAGTTCATTTCTGTTAGTACCTCGTTTGTGTGTTTTTGCCTACACACGACGAAGAATTCAGGGAAGAAATTCCCTTACCCTGAAATTTATCTCAGGGACTATGAGAGGTTATTCAAGCTTCAGGGGAAAACAGAGGTTCAACACAATGATGTCAACGGCGGGAGCGTCTTCCTTCAAGCTGTTGATCGATCTCATAAAAGTTTGCTGATCAAATCTTTTAGAGAAATTGAAGGTAAATTCGTTGATTTCCTGTCTTCCATATCCAACAAAAAGGTAATCCCGGTTGGCCCTCTGGTACATGATCCTACTAATTCCGACGAAGAAGACGATGATCATCAACCTTCAGAGGATGATAGAGAAATCATGGCCTGGCTTGACAGGAAGGAAAGAAACTCTGTGGTTTATGTTTCGTTTGGAAGTGAGTACTACTTGACAAATGAAGAAAGAAAGGAAATTGCAAAAGGGCTGGAGCTCAGCAACGTGAATTTCATATGGGTTATCAGATTTCCATTGGGAGAAAAAATCAGCATCGAAGAAGCCTTGCCGGAAGGTTTTCTCCACCGGATTGGACACAGAGGCAAAATTGTGGAAAGATGGGCTCCGCAGGTGAAAATTCTCAAGCATTCGAGTACTGGTGGTTTTGTGAGCCATTGTGGATGGAGTTCGATCATGGAAAGCATGAAATGGGGAGTTCCGATTATCGCAATGCCGATGCATATCGATCAGCCGTTGAATGCTAGACTGGTGGAAGCGGTCGGAGTCGGCGTGGAAGCCATTAGAGACGAGGAAGGTAATCTGCAGAGTGAAGAAATTGGGAGAGTGATACGGCAGGTTATGGTGGATGAAAATGGTGAAGATGTGAGGAGGAAAGCTAAAGAAATTAGTGAGAAGTTGGAGAGAAAAGGTGATGAGGAAATAGATACACTTGTAGAGGAATTACTAGGACTTTGTCAGAAAAATTTGTATATTGGTACAAAATAAACACAATCTATACAGTTTGATTTATTTTCGCAACACAAACTCATACTGTTATTTTGGGACGAAGAAAGTGACAAATTCTTGAAAAGGGTCATTTTGAAGGTCTAGTTGGGACTGATATTGGCATGCAGATATCAGAAAATCAAGAACACAATATTGTATATCCTCCATTCTTTATTCCCACATTTTCCCCTAAAATAACATTTTAGAGTTTGGTGTAGAAGCAGATTACTAATCCAAGAGGTTAAGTAAGAACCAGAGATTTAAAACCTAAGCAGCAACGAGAGTTAATTCATTTTCATGGTCATTGACTCATTGTTCATTTGGTACATAGAGTTTAGTTCAGCGAAAAGGGCAGAAAACAAGACCAAAGACCAGTGAACAAGCACAAAAACTACATAGGTTTACCAGCCTGAAAAGAAACTAAATACCAGAAAAATAGTTAAGAAGCCTAAAGATTAATTAAGACTCGAAAGATCTACCAGAAGTTCATTTCCCACAATCAACTACGAATCTTTCAGTTGCATTATTCATTGGAGCTCTAGAGGCAAGCACTTCGGGTCAAGGTCAAACTCGCAGCAAAGTGTACCTTCTTCATCAATGTAGATCCTTTTGGTGGAGGGCACTTTATGTGAGAAGCTGTATAAGTTCTCAATGTCTATGAGCAATGAGTCATTGTAACTCTCACTTCTCCTCTTAAATGATTTCAAAGAGCCTCTGATCTTCTCCAAGTAAGCAACTTTAACGCCCGGAGATGAAGATGCATCCTTATAATATGGCAGAATTTCGACAACCTCATATTCGCAATGTCTATGCAATCCAGGATTAGTACTCCATGTACCTATATCCCAATTCTTGTAGAAGACCCAAGTTTCGCCTTCACCGGGAATTATGATGCAAGGATCATATCGAGCACACAGCATTGGGTGAGAAAATAGAGTGGGAGATATAACACTTCTTCTCCCAGGGTCAAACTTACCACAAGTTACCGGCAATCCGGCCTCTATCCATTCCTCCTGACCTCTTTGAACAGGACTAGGTTCAAGCCAATCAACTTCAACCCAAACTTGTCCACCGTTGTCAATGACCTTAATGACTTTAGCATATGATCTTGGCAGACTATCTGTGGTATTGAATGATTTAAAACACGCCCAAATCTCTCCGGCACCGATGTTTCCAGCTAATTTCCCCTTCTCAGCAACTATAGCAACTGGATCACCAATAAGGTAAAAGCAAATAAGCCATTATCTCTAAACCAAATTCATAATCATCAACAACTACTTTATCATGAGACATATGAGCAAACGACAATTTTGAGCTATCATATATCATGAAGCTAGATAGGACAGCAACCCATTTTTACAGTGAATGAAACAATAACAAAGAACAGAATGAGAAGTTGTATTTTAGGACTAAAAGTCTTAAAATATTACCTGATTTTCGAAGGTCATCTACTTGTATTATAGCAAGCTTGCTGCTAATATCTTCCATTTTCATCTCTTCGTCCAAAAGACAAGCAACTTCTCTTCCGGGTTTCATCACTTCTCCACTGTGAGTTTGACTCACTGCATCTTCCAGATTGTTGCTTTCCAAAACACCCACCTTTTCCTCAAGTTGTTTCTCCATTTCTTTTTCTCTTCCCAACAAATATTTCTCTTTGGAATCGAGCTCATTTGACCTTCTCGCCAATCTGTTCTCCTCTGCATCAATCTCATTTCGCTTTCTCTCCATCATCAAATGAATTTCAGCTTCCCTTATCTCCAGGATTTTTTCTTTCAAATCCAGCTCCTTCCCCTTTTCCTCCACTTGACTCTGGATCAACTTCTCTTTTGAATCAAGCTCCTTTTCCCTTTTCTCCACTTGGCGCAGGAACAATTTCTCTTTTGAATCTAGCTCCAGCTTCCTTTTCACCACCAGGTTCTGCATAATTTTAAGGGCTTCAAACAGATTTTCGAGTTCCTTCTCTTTCCCTACAACAACCCCCATCAGTTCATCAAAAGCAACCCTCATATGCCCAAATTCCATTTCCCCATCTTCGATTTTTCGCAAAACCCCTTTCAGATACTTTTCTTTCTGATCCAGTCTCATTAACCCCTCCTCTACATATCTTTTCTTCAAATCAAGCTCTGCATAACTCTGTTTCACTGATTTTTGAATACTCCTCAAATCTTTCTCTTTTGACTTCAGTTCGGCGTAACATAAACGACAATGATCCTCCACCATTTTGAAATGGTCCTCAGCTGCCTTATACTCAACCATTACCTTGTCCGCCCTTTCCAGAAGCACACCTTGTTTTTCTTCAAACAGCCTCGAAACTTCGAATAATTTCTCCAAAGAACCCATCTTTTCGCTTCAGATTTCCACTCACTTTCGATTTCTAAGTATTGGGTTGTTTCTTCTTTCAGTAACTTACGGGGAAACTCCTTCTCTTTTCACCCTAAAGTTCTGAAAGTCTGAACTTTTTTTTGAATGCACTAAAAGCCTGAATGGGTGTTTTTGTTTCTTCTCAACTTTATGGGTACAGAAGTTTTGGGCTTTTCTCTAGAAAACTTTCATTACTAAAAATGGTAGTCAAAAGATTCTTGGAGGTACACATATCTTGTTACAGACCAAGCTGGAAGGAAAACGTTGATGACAGTAGGTTGAGTGCGTTTTTATGGCTGTAATTTCAAAATTTTGGGTAAATCGTATTGGAATCCCTGGTGTTTGAACTTACAATCTTTATAATCCTTGTAGTTTCTTTGTTTTGGTTTTTTATCCTTGTACAATTGTGACAAGACTACATCCTCAATTGTTAAGCTGTAAAATGATAAATGAACAAAATGTTGATTGCCTTTTTGTTGAAAAAATGAAGAAACAATCAAAATACTCCGGATCATAACAGGTCAAAGCCCGTTCCTTTTTTCAAATCATATATCCAATCCCGTTTCCAAATTGATTGGCCATGTTTATTGCATTAGGTGATCATTTCAAGATAAAAGATGTATGATTTATAAATAATCTTTTATTTTGTTTCAAAGCCATTAAGGAGTTTCATAATTTTATTTTGAATCTAAATAGTCATTAGTGAAATGAAATCTTTTGATTAAGGATCAGCTTTGAGACCAAGACACTTCTATATAGATCTAATGAATAAGTGATGTCTCCCTTAATTAGTAAATCGAAGTTTACTCAACCAAAAAAAAAAAAAAAAAGTTTACTGTTTACTATTGTGTACTGTATGAGAATTTGTTTCATTTGCTATTTTCATTTATTGAATTTTCATTAACTTTTTTTCCCTTTCTAATTTTTAGTGAACCTTTAAACCTTCTAAATACAATTTTCTTAGTTTCTGAATACACAATGAGGAAAACTTCTGAACAAAAGTAGGATTGACTGAATTTTTTTGGTTGGAAACTAAAGCTATTTGAAGTAATGTGACGAAGCCTGGAATTGTATCATCGGCTTAACAGTGGAACTCCGATAAAATTTCCAAAAGAAGGCCTCGGAGGTCTGTAGACACTCTGATGCTTAAGTCAGAAAATAAGGTTATGAAAAAGTGTATTATATAATTATTGGAACTAGAGATAGCATACCTCAATTGGCGGTGAGATCAACCCTATTTATAGGCACGGAATTACCTTGAGGGAAGATGAATCCTATTAGATTTTACGTTACTCTGCCGCCCTACTAGAGTCGGTTGAACTCCTTATTTGACGGATGGGCCGGTCCGATATTGGTGGTGGATATGGACTCGTCTTGCTGCTGGTACTAACTACTAACCACCTGAATTTTGAGTTTTGATTAGGTTTCTATTAACAAAAGAACAAAATAGTGGCAGAAGTTTTACAACATTTCTCACTAGGGCTTGTGCAGGATTAATATATATACATAAGAATATATGCTGCCTGCATTTTTTGGAAGCGCTGTACCCAAATGATGATGAACAAACGGGGGATCTGTGGACTTGAGAGCATTTCCCAGTGCTAAACGGAGATCTTAGGTAAGAGCTTCCTTTTGTTAATGGTGGAATTATTCATGATCATGATCTCAAGTTACATCTCAGGATGGAGATACTACACATCATGTTTTTAAGTTACTAATTAACCCATAATCAAAGCTATATATGTAAAGCATGGGTATAATGAATAGATGTACTGAAATGACAAAATTGCCGATTATATCTTTGGACTATATCTCCTTAATGGCTTTGGACAAAATCTAAGGCCGGATGAAATTATGACTATATCTCCTGATGAAATATATTTTGTTTCAATATTTATATATTATTAAAATGTAAATTTCATTTCTCCAGTGTATTAAAAAGAAAAATTAAATTAACAATTTCCATAATGCTTGAGCCTCAAAAGCAAAGACTAATGAAAATGGGCTGGAAAATTTGACTGATAAGTCAAGCCAGATGAGGATGACTAAACGGAAAAAAACCGAACCAAAGATTAACATTTATTCGCTGCTGCCTGCTACAGACTCCATCTTCTAAATCAAATCAAATGGAGAATTGTTTTTCCTCATTTACATAAACAAGGTTAAGAAAAGGACCAGAGATATAACAGCTTCATTGCCTGCACATTTTCCCTTGGTTTTCATAAAACCTTCGCCCAGGAATGGCTCTTAGTTCAGCTAATCAAAGGTGCAGAAAATGAAGACCAAAAAGTAGTGAAGTTCCGGTTAGACTTGTACCTAACTGAAAGAGCTTACAGATTAAGAGGTGGAAGATTTTCACCAGAAGATCAATTTGTAGCTTTAGCACACAGCTTTTCTCTCCTTTTTTTTTTTGGCTGCTAACACTTCATTCGATTTCACGAGGCAAGCATTGCAGGTCCACTTCAAAGAGATGGGGAAGATCACCATCTTCATCAATGCAGATTCTCTTGTTGGAGGGAACTTTGTGTGAGAACCTGTATAAACTGTTCGAACTTATGAGAATTGAATCATCCATGCTCCTCCGCTTGAATGAGTTTGCTGATTCAGTTACTCTATCCAAGTGCGCCACCCTAACACCCCGCGTTGAACACCCGGCCTTAGAATATGGCAAGATCTCCACAATCTCATACTTGCAGTCTCTGTGCAATGATGGATTAGATGCCCAAGTATTAATATTCCATTCCCTGTAAACTGCCCAAGTCTCACCTTCACATGGAATTATTATGGAAGGATCATATTTATCAGGTATCATTCGATGTGAAAAGATGTTGGGAGATTCAACACTTTTTCTCCACATTTCAAACTTTCCACAGGTTACCGGTAAGCCTGCATTTATCCATTCCTGTTCACCTCTTTGCAAAGGGCAAGGTTTCAGCCATTTAACTACAATGCTAACTCCTCCTTTTTCATTAACTTCCAGTACTTGGGCATATGATCTTGGCATATTATCATTGGCATCATGAGATTCAAAGCAAGCCCAAATATCTCCAACAACAATGTTTTTCGCATCCCCACCAGCTCTCAATTCTGGATCACCAATAGGGTTAAAAAGTTATTGAATCTGAATCACATTCATTATCATCAATGCCTATCATATATTTAGGATCCGTTGTGATTTATGATGGTTCAAAACGAACATGGTATAGAAACTCAAATACAGATGACTACAGCACCACAACATAGCAATTAAGTGAGTAGTTGTGACTTGTGGAGTAGACAAACAATGCTGTCTAAATTTCATCTTAGCTAGAGCATAAATATTAGCATTCAGAGTAGCAATAAGAGCAGGACAGTAGCCTGAGAGTAGCAAGTCAGCATATCAAGCAATGTTGTAATAAATGATGAAATCCATTAGTCAATGTAGAGAGAATCGAGCTTATGGATCTCCAAACTTCAACAAAATTCATGGGAATCCCTATATATTGAATCTGATAAACAAGATTCCAGCAATCCCGTCATACCCTTATCTAATCTTACGAATACAGAAATTAAGAACAGAATCCTAATGTGTATGATAGGAAACCATTACCTGACGCCTGACGATTGTGAGGTCTAATTTGTCCAGTGCTGTTTTTGGAAGTGGTAATATATCTGTAAGCAAGATTGCTGCCATTTTGTTCCAGGTTCATCCCTCCATCAGAGAGACAAACCCCTTTCCATCCGACCCTCCTCACTTGGGCAGATTTGGTTTGGCTCTCTGAGTCTTCCAGCTTGATGTTTTCCGAATTTCCCTTCTTCTTCTCTGAATCCACCTGAAAATTTATTTTTTCCAGCGTCTTATGTTTATAAGCAAACTCTTTCTCCCTTTGAACCAGATTTCTCTCTTTCGAATCAAGCTCATTAGACCTTCTCACCAATCTTTGGCTTTCCACATCAATCTCATACCGCATTCTCTCCAGCATTCGTGTTGATTCATCAATCATAACTTGCCTCCTTTCCAGATCTTTCTCCTTTTCATTCAGTTTATCCTGGATCAATCTCAGGCCTTCAAAAAGACCCCGAATTTCCGCCTCTTTCAGATCAACATCCTCCATCTGTTCACCCACAGAGACGCTGGTTTTCCCAAATTCCATTTTCTTGAGTTCAATCTCTTGCAAAACCCTTTTCAGTAACTTCTCTTTCTCATCCAATCTCTTCAACCCTTCTTCCACGAACTTTTTCTTTGAATCAAGCTCTTCACAGCTCTGTTCCACCGAATCTTGAACAGCTCTCAAATGTCTCACCTTTGAGTCAAGCTCGGCGAAACATCCACGGAATAGATCCTGTGTCGATTTATAGTGGGTGCCAACTTTGTTACATTCACGCGACACCAAGGCCATCACTCTTTTTATTGAACCTTTCTTTTCTTCGAACAAGCTTTTAGCTTCCTCAAATCTCCTCAAAGATGACATTTTTTTCTGTTTCAGAAATTCCGCAAACTAAGCTTCATGGGGTATTCAGGGGAAAAACGTTTTCTTGAGCTTCCCTAACAATGGTTTTGAATTTTGAAATTGAAACGTCAGTTGATGTTTTTGATCCCTTTATCTGGTATGGACAAACTAGCAGAGGGATTTCTCGAGAAAACACAAAAGTAATTGCTGAGAATGGAATGCCAGAGGAGGTACAAAAGGTTTTTATCTTTGTTTCAGAAGAAAGCTGGAAGAGGAAACGTTGATGAGTAGGTTGAAGTAAATTATATTCGGCTCCCTCATACTTTGATTTATATTCAAATTAATCCTAATAATATGGCATTACCTATTCTCATTTCAAGTCTTTTTCTCTTTTTTTTTTCCCCTTTCTTTTTGTGTGCAGCTGATGAAAAGGCCGGTCCTTTTTTCCTGAAGTCCTCTTGTATTGAAACATACGAATTTGTTGATAGCTACAATTGACATCTAATTGCAACACCATCATTGACTATTTTTCACCACCAACCGTAGCCATTGAACTGCATTTGGTTGGTCGGATTCCGACCAATTTGGCCGGAGCAACAACAGGCTGTGATAAGTCAGTTGTAGAATAATGTGGTCAATGGTGGACCGATGGTGGACCGATGATCTACCATCCCAACTCTGTAAAAAGATGGAAAAGGCAAAATGGAACGTGATGCCTTGAGTGACAGAGATTCCGATTCAAGCTACAGCCGCATATCTTCAGTGATTCCGGTACAACTAGATGGTAATGCACAAAAGAAACATTCAACAAGTACTAAGTCAAGGCTCTTGAGGTTTCCTGGTGAGGACATTATTTCATATACAAATGAAGTTCATGAAGATATGCCTATGAAGTATAAATTACATGGAATGAAAATCTGCCCAAACTGTGTTGACTACCAAACATAATATCAAAATCTTGACCTATTCTCAACATCTAGCTGACATAATCTCAAAGAAGTTTTGCATCAAACACTTATCCTTCAAAAGAAAGTACCACCATAAAAGAAATCACCCCAAAAGCATGTGCTCTTTCAAAGAATACATCCAAAGAAAAGCAAAAATTCAATTCAACAAACCTAGTTCCTAACTATGCATGGTCTTAATATACCACTGCATTGAAATCGGCAAGGAGGAATTTTGATATCTAACATCATCAAGGAAGCTAAAAAAGACCAGGAATGTAAAAAGTAGATGACCCTTGTATGTAGTGCAGAAAACGCGGAAAAGAAGACCAACAAGTAAGTAACAAGAACCGTAGTTCTTACTGGTTTTAAATTACGGAACTTACCATTGTGCTGCAAATCAGATCAAACAATGAAAACTGAACTTACCCTGCTAACTAATTAGTAATACATACCAGCACTTATCAGTTGGCTGATTATCATTCTTGAATGAAAACAACATGAACTTTCGCTTTAAGTTGGAAACAAGCTTGAAGGCAACTTTCTAAGCCTAAGAATTAAATTTCAACACAACTTTACCGCTAAAACCAGCATTGCAAACGCTGATGAAGTCAAAGAGGTAAGCACTTCTGGTCAAGTTTAAACACACAGTCAACAATACCATTTTCATCGTTATAGGTCTTCTTCATTGAGGGCACCCTATGCGAGAATCTGTATATGCTATCCGGGTCTATGAGAGATGAGTCTTCGTTATTTTTGCTTCTACGCTTAAATGAATTCACGGATTCTGTGATTCTGTCTAAGTAAGCAACTCTAATACCCCAAGATGAAGATAAATATGGCATAATCTCAACGATTTCATACTCACAATTTTTATGAATTTCTGGATCAGAAATCCATTTAGTGATATCCCAATCCGTATAGATGGCCCAAATTTCTCCTTGGAAGGGAATTATTATGCAAGGATCATCTCGAACGCATGCAGTTATATGAGAAAAAATGTTAGGAGATTCAACACTTGTGATCTTACGTTCAAACATTCCACAAGTAGCTGGCAAACCAGCATCTATCCACTCCTTCTCGGCTTTCTTTCTCGAACAAGGTTTCAGCCATGTAACCTCAAGCTTAACTTGTCCATCTTCATTGATAATGTTCATGACCTGGGCGTACGATCTTGGCATATGATATTTCGCATCAAAGCACGCCCAAGTTTCTCCAACGTTGAAGGTTTTTGCTTGTTTTCCTTTCTCAACAGCAGGAAAACTTGGACCATCAATAGTACAGGACGCAAAACTGCCTATTGAATCTGAATCATATTTAAAACCATCAGGAACTATCATATTTTCATCAGTAATATGTGCACGTGCTTGCAACGTGTCATGTATGCCTAATTGTCAATAGACGAATTGGATAATTACAGATCAGGAAGCTACACAGAACCACAATCCCAGTCATAGGTGAATCAAAACATTAAAGAACCAGCATGTGAAGATTGCAAGATAAAATCAATTACAAGTTATTGCAGGATAAAAATAATTACCTGATTTTTGGAGACTGTGAGCTCCATTTTGTCGAATAATGCTATCACCATTACAGTAGCTTCCTTTAGCATGCTTGCTGCTGCTTCCTTGCAATTTTATCTCTTCATCAGCATGACTAAGCCTTTTCCTTCCGGCCATCGTCTCTGAATGCCTCTCTCTTGAATCAACCTGAAAATCCTTCTCCTCCAACATTTTCTGCTTGGAATCAGTCTCAGTTTCTCTTCCAGCTTCACCAATCTTTCTGGTGTCCTGCTCTTCTTCTGTTCCCACTAAATTTCTCTTTCTGGAGTCAAGCTCGTTCAACCTTTCTTCCAATCTCTTCTTTTCTGATTCAATTTCATTTTTGTTTGTTTCAAGAAGCCGTTCTATTGCATTCACCTTCTCTTCCCTCAGATCCAAATTTTTCTGTTTTGCATCAATCTCCCCTTTTCTTTTCCTCAAATTTTCCTCAATCAAATCCAGTACTTTTTCCCTCTTCGCCAATTCAAAATGACCATCAGTTTCCTGTTGTTTAAAGAACATCCTTTAGCCTATTATCTACAAAGATTCTCATTTCCCGACATTTCATTTCCTCCATTTCCATTTTCTGAAAAGCCCCTTTAAGAAACTCTTCTTTCTCATCCAGCCTCTTTAATCCCGCTTCAATCCATCTTCTCTTTGAATTGAACTCTTCACATCTCTGTTTAACAGATTCTTCCAAGCCCTTCAACTGTTTCTCCTTAGACTGAATATCACCGAAACATCCACGGAGAAGATCCATTATTTCTTCAAAAATGGTTGTTAACTCCTCCAAAATCCCTTTTCAGCCAGCCCATTGCTCCCTGTAACCTCTCTTTCCTTTCTATGACACGATTTGTGGCTTCAACCAAATTCTTTAAAGACCCCATTTTTATTTTTCCTGTTTCAGTTAATTCTTTGATTTCCCAGCAAGAATTTCACCGGGAAGCTCTTTGATTCTTCCGTACAAAAGTAAAAAGCAAAACTTTTGAATTCTCAGTTAAAACTTAAAAGGAGCCAGCTAGCTGGTTGAGCCCTTAAAGACTGCTTCCAATTCTGGTGTCCTTTTTTATCTTTTGGATACAAAAGTGTAACTGTGATTTCTGGAGGAACTTTATTTTATCGCTGAAAATGGAAATCAAAAAGATCATTTTCAGATACATTTTGATTTTTTTCCCCCTCAGAGCCAGGAAAGAGAGAGAAAGTGACTGATGATGGATAATGGATTTATTTGATTTGGTTGCCATCCCCCTAGTTTCGGCTATATTATGTCTTCCATCCTCATATTTGTATTGTTATTCACTTTCAATCCCCTGGGTTCACACGTTACGCAACAAACTAGTATGCTGCAAAATGAAAAGGGTACTAAAAAAAAGATCACATCTTTTGGTTTTCCAGATGATGATGGCGGATGTGATATTGAGGTAATGATCTTCTTCTATGGCTATGTCATATAGCTGAAGATGTGAAAGCTTGAATGAGAGTACAAAATCCCCTTTGCGGATCCTATTCCAATTTGCATTTACTTCTCACTAGGTGTTAGACCCGTCTGATGGACGGGGAACACATATACATAGACATTACTACACAAACAAATCAAAAAAATGTTAATATTTGTATAGATTTTTGTATTTTTATAAAAATATATAATCAATTTATCAAAAACTATAAAACACAAACATCGACAACACTTTACCAAACGAATACACTGGTAATTTATTTAACGCAAAAAATATTGTTAAGAAATTTTTTAAAAAAAGAACTTTGAATGAAATAATTATATATCTTGCAATATTTCTTGGTAGACTATATTGGTAGTCTGGGGTGGAAAGGTCGGCTAAGATGGTTAAGAAATTATGATAAGGAATTTTTTTATTTTTATTTTTTTGAAAAGGTTTATGATAAGGAATGGTTACTACAGAAACAACAACCCTAACTTGTTGTAGATGCCATCCAATTTTTTTTATAAGAAAAATTAAAAAAAAAATAATAAATGTTGGATATCAGGACCTTTATTCCTTGTTTCGGAGTAACTTTTGATTTCAGTGTTTTTATTTTATTATTTTCTTTTTTAAATATGACGTATTCTCACTTTCCTTCATTTTTTATTTTTTAGCCTCATTTGTTCGTTTGATTTAGTTATTTCTCATTACCTATCTAATAATTTATCTTTAATTAACTTACCCGTTGTCAGAAATATTTTATTTAAAATGTGAGGGTGGGACTATTTTTTTACCCTTAAAGAATATCATTTACCTATTTTTTTTCTTTATTAATATCTTTCTAGACACTTTCGCAAATGTCAAATCCATCCTGCTCATTTTTTTTTCGAATTAAAGTTAGATATTTTAAGAAAACAATTTTAAAATTTGGTTCAAAAAATCATAAATTTGCCACATAAGATTTAGTCATATTTATGCATGATACGATACCTTAGATTTTCTCTCTCTGGAGTTTGCTTTATTATAATATATATATATATAGAGAGAGAGAGAGAGACTTCTTTTCAGGAAAAAAAAAGGAACCAAAAATTAAGAGCCCAATATTTAGCCGCATAATATTTATTGAAAACACGAAACATTTAGCAGTCACACACGATTAGACAAATAAATTTATCTTATTAAAAAGCACAAATATTTTTTTAGGAAACAGAAACCGGAATAAAAAAAATAAGTAGATAATCAATTCAACAGTTACTGTACCATTGTTGGAATGTAGTGTGCATAAAAAATCTATGCAAATTTTCAATGGAATGATGAACACAACCTGAACTTGAAATTCATTACCAAGATTAGCGAAACAGAGGTAATAATCAAACTATTCTAGATTTCAAAACAAATAGCACCGTTAGAATCATGATTTCATTAGCATTCAAGAAGAACCATTTCGTCAGTATTCAAAGCAATTTCTTGATTCCGTTTCTGCATGACAAAACAAACAGCTTCTCAGCTATTTTGCTTTCTATCCATCTTCAGACCATTTTTGTAAGATCCCGAGTGTTGAGACCTCCTTACTTAGCGAGTAGTAGTTGATTTATGTATAAATTAGTATATTTATTTATAATGTATGTACATTTTGCCATTTAGGTTCAAGAAAGATAAACTAAAAATTTGGATTTCAAAACGTTAAAAAAGAAGAAGAAAGAATAACCATAGTTGAAGTCTTTTAATATTTTGATTCTTTACCAGAGCCATTCTTAGCCCCGCTACATCAATCCATCACCATAGTATTTTAACTCAATTTCATATTTGAAGCTAAATTATAGAAGTTTCAGGTTGGCCTAACTTCTTTAATTATTTTAATCAATTATTAATATAAAATTCTTTTTCAGTTGCATTTTTTGGCCTAACTTCTTTAATTATTTTAATCAATTATTAATATAAAATTCAGTCCATCAGTTGTAGGGATTTGGTCGAATCAATATAGGGTTTGGATTTTTTCAGTTGCGTTTTTTTTTTGTTTTTATTGTTTTGTTTTGTGCATTTTTATATCTAGAAAATTAAGAAAATGCCACATAAGATAAAATCCTATGTGGTATGTGCTCCTTAACTTTAGATTTCTCTCTCTGGTTTTTGCCTTAGTATAGTATATAAATAGATGTTTGAGTATTTCATAGTAGAACCTAAACTGGTTTGAGAGGTCTATTTCTTTCCGTCTCATTTAAAATCGGAATTTCACTAAATAGGTTTGTTGCAATGTTTAGAACTTTAGATTGTGTTTTGTTAATGTCTCAAATCTCAATGATGGAACACCAGGTATACATGTAGTAATAAGAATATCATAAATTTTTACGTTTTAGATATTTGATCCTAATCATAGTTAAAGTCTAATTATCATGTAGAGACTACGCATCCGAAGACCAACATGATATGATTGGGTTTCTTATCCTAAAAATGTTGTTATCTAAACCACTAAGGGTGAGCTTCCTTTCAGGGCAATGATTCTACCAAAACAATTTATAGCATCCAGGGGAAAATTTTGCTTAATTTCTAAATTTACTCCTTAGGAAGTCAAACCACATATTTTCTCTCTTGAGCTCCGGTTAGTTGTTAAAATCTCCATTTTATTTTTCGCTCTCTCTCCCCTACTGCCGGTGAAACTTCGGCAACGTTGCTTCCCCTGCTCCCAATTAAAACGAAAATCGTCCCTCCTTTCCCTAATTTGAGTAGCGTGAGAAAGGGAACCCCAGAGAGGAGGAGTAGTACCCCATCAAGAGGAAAGGTTGATGGCGGTGGAGATCAGGGGAAGAATTAGGCCCGTCGATCAACAAAGGTGGCCGGCTAGGACGAGACTGGTAAATCCTTTGTTTAGAAGTTTAGATTGTTGCGTTGAGGAGTGCAGCGGTGTTCCCTTCCTTTTCTCCTATTCAGCCATAACTGGTGGTTAATTGCAATTCCGATTTGGGAGACTATAACTGAAAGGATAAACTTTTCGCTTGAATTTGATAAAGTAAGCTTTTTATGTGGTGATTTCTCGATTGAGGTAGAGCCAAATAATGAAACTGATATTTCATAAATCAAAGTTGCCATTAGAAACATTGCAGATTGGGATATTGATCTAAATGTACTAAGGTTGATTATTGGGGTTTTTGTGAGCACACGCTCAAGTTTTCTTTGATGATGCATTGTCCCCCAAAGAATCTATGTTGGAGCAGGGGATATGGCTTTTCCCAAGAAGTGATATTTTTAAGTAATTGCTGCAAGATGGGAAGGTTTTCCCCGGAGGAATTCTGATGGTTCATCATGAAGTCCACATTTGTTTACCTAATTGTTTGGATTCGCAGTTGAAAACATTTTTAACAAAATTGAGATATGGGTATTCATCTATATTCATCCGTAAAGGATAAACGTGGAGGAGAATAAGGAAGTTATTTAGAAGGGAAAATCAATGGGTGATTTTTTTTTTTTTTTTTTGGAAGAAGTGTGAAGAAGATTTAGACGAAGAAGAATAGAAAGGGAAAAAAAAAAAGATAATGCCGGAGATGGGGAGAGAGGATTTCAGTTTGACTTCATGAGGGATAGGTTTGGAAATTTTATCCTGAATACTAGAAATTGTCATTGCAAAATCACTAGCCTTCCTTTCATTGTAACCAACAAGAAAAAAAAAAAAATACTCCGAAGCTTTCCAGAGATGGTCCTAATTTATTTGTTTTTTTTTTTTTTTTCAAATTCTTACTAGTACTATTGCCGTGCGTTGCACGGTTTTAAAAAAATATTCTATGTCATTTTCAAATTATTAATTAAAAATTATTCATACATGCGCAATTTGTTATTCACAATTTATTTTTTTTTTTATAAAAGTGATAAGATCGCAATCTTTTTCAATTGAAAAGGGAATAAGACTTGGAAAGCTTGTTACGTTAAACGTGTTCTCCCGATTTCAAGCCTGTGTTTCTCATGCCGGTGTGAAGGTTTGCTTGTGATGGTTTACTCCTTTTTACTGTGATTTCTTTTCAATTAGAAATTTAATGACTTGTGATATTAGTTAGTGTCATAACAAGTAGAGTAAACTGCACATGTATATGATTTTTTACATCTGTCAAAAAATTTAGTCGTTTACGTTAAAAATTCACTGAATTGATCCATTACATTTGTCTTTTACATTAATTTAGACTTTTTTACCTTTTTTTTTTTTATATACACTTTACATTTAGTGATTCTTGGATTGACCCATTTATTGGTCAAGTCATCCGGGGCATTTTCGGTAATATTCAAATTACAAAAAAATATTAAAAATTTGATTAAAATAATATTAAATATATTATATTAATTTAAAAAACTTTAAAAATTCACATTTTTTTTTAAATCGGATTTTTTTTTATCCCATGGTTCCCACATCCAGTATCTTATTATTGACTTTATTCTTTAACTTTTTTCTCCATTCCCATGGTTAAACACTTTCTCTTTCCCAAACCATGTTCTAGATGTGGAGAAAAAGTAGTTAAAAAATAAGGTTGATAATAAGAACCTGGATGTGATGGGATGTCAATCTTCAACACGATAAAAAAACACGATTCCTAACACACAAAAAGTGAGTTTAAGATTGAGCTATGACGGATTTGGGTTGAAATCGGATCGAACCGCCGAACACGTTTAATGAAACATATATAACTCATATTAACATGCCAGGACCCGTATTAACTCGTTTAAACTCGATATTCAAAATAAGTATTTAGGACTTATTAGGTAAATATTAAAAATATACTATTTAAACCATATATATATACTCATATTATCTAGAATATCTATTTTTTAGTTAGCTCTAAACATACTATCATGCTTATGATTTGTTATTTAGTTAGTTCTTTCCCATAAAATTCACAAGAATTAAAATAAAATTGCATATTTAATGTTTGTAGACATCTACTTATTGTTTAAGTTATAAGTACTTAAAATTTAACCTTTTTCAAAAATTTCTTAGTTTTTTTTTAAAAAATGTATTTTGTTAATTGCAGATATATTAAATTATTTTCGAGTCATTTCATGCCGTGTCGAGCCATCCGTGTTATTATTAAATCGTGTTCAGGTTCAAAAATTGACTTGTATAGTTAAACAGGTTGTGTTCAGGTTAGCAAATAAATATTCGGGTTTGTGTCGGATCCGAACCGCAAACTTGAAACCCTACTCGATTGACACCCCACTGTTGGGCCCACTCGATTGAATTTTGAAATTTTTATTTTTTCATTAATTATAATTCAATATACTATAATTATTATTATTTAAATCAATTTTAGTTTTCTTATATTTTTGAAATTAAACATTACCAAAAATATCCCTTTTGACTTGACCAATAAATAGTCAACCCAAGAACCACCAAATGTTAAATGTCAAAAAAAGTAAAAAGCTCTAAATTAGTCTAAAAGACAATGTAACGAACCATCAGTGAACTTTTTAATGTAAAAGACTAAATTAGATTTTCTAGTAAATAGAAAAGGCCATTTGATTAGTTTACCTGATATCTGATATTGTAAATATGATGTTCTAAAAATATTTACTCTCAATGATTCAATTTAACAGAAATGATATCAATTATCAGTTTCCTAAAATACTTGGAATTATTTGCAATTATATTCACAATACAATTATTAATTATCTAATTAGTTAATGATTGGTTATTCTATAAATATATTCCTTATTTAATTTCTTGAGAAGAGTATGATTGATTCATCTTGTCACATTTAAGTATTGTATTAGTTTTAAAATTTATTGATTCTGCAGATAAATTCCTTATATAGATTAGTAATTATGATGATTTTGTTTGAACGTATTTATGATCCTCTTGTAATTAAAGTATGCAACGATAGAATATGGTAATCATTTTTAACACTGAAATAAAGTAAAAAAATTATTTTACCAAATTACAATATTTTTTCACAGTTTAATGAAGGAGAGTTGTAGAGACGACACGTGTCATAATTGTCCTAAACTAACTCACTGAACGACACATACCGATTATAAACTCTCCTTTAATATATACTAGTGTTTACCCCACACGGTGTGTGGGTTATCCAAAATAGTATCAATGATATATTAATATATAAATTGCAATTGTATAATTTTTAATATGTCAACGTGTTTTGTTATTTTTTGTACATTTGAAATAATTTTCAAGATTCGAAATCATTTAATATAATTTATTTTTCTCTCTTTTTTTTTCATTTTGTTGATTTATGGCTTTACATCTTTTAAAAGTATTCGCTTAATTTTTCAAAATGACCGAATTAAATTTTTTTACTTGTAACATATTTTTTTTAGCTCTCTATCTAACATAAAATTTTCTCATTATTTATTTTCATAAAATTATCTTTATATTCCATTTCTCTATATACCTTTTGCAACCTTTCTATAGATGTTTGTTAGTATATTTTTTCTATAATATATTGTTATTTTATTTTTTTCCGCGGTTGCATAATTGTCACTTTTTTTTTTTAACTTGATAACCTCTCTTTAGAACTTTATTTACTAAAAAATTTGTAATAAATATTTTATTTTTCATTATTATCACGATTTCCTTTTTCATATTTTCTTATTCCCTTTATTATTTTTTCCTTCATATAATTATTTTTAATTTCTCAATATGGTTTTCTTCCACTGTTTGTCTCACGAAGACCATTATTCTTTTTCTTATTTTGGAAAACTTTCTCCCTGTTAATCTGTAAGTTTTGTTTTACTATCATAAAGTTAACTTTTTCTACCAATATGAAATACGTAAAAAAATATAATGAATATATTATATTATTATATTAATTTATTAGTAATAATTTATTAAAAATATAATGAATATATTATATTATTATATTAATTTATTAGTAATAATTTATTATATTAGTTTATAATATATTATATTATTAAAATTTTGACTGAAAATGTATAATTATATTATTAGCATTATTATTATTTTACTTTTTTTTTTGTAATTTTTACACAATTTAATCAATAATAATCATTTATTAGTATTGCCCATTAGAAGAAAAAAATAATTACTATTAGAAAATATACAATTGGAGTACCACCAACTGAAATAACACACTAACTAATAAAAAAAAAAACCGTTTAGTGATCAAACTTTAACACATAGCTACAGAAATTAATATTGATCGTTCAATTGATTTTTCTCATCATGGTCATCGTTTTTTTTTTCTTACATGAATTTTTTTTTTGGTTTATTACTTTGATTTAATTTGAAGTATAACTGCATACGGTCGTTTGGAAATACACTTTAAATGATATCCTGAAGTATTAATCTTGTGCCTTGCATCGATTTTTAAATACTTTACTTTTAATACATCTCCAAATTCAAATATTTTTAATTTTCCTTTTAAATGTTTTATACTAATTTTTTTAAAAAAAATTATACTATTTTTACAACTATGTATAATGATGATAATCATTTCAATTTATTTTTAAAAAATGATAATCGGTTCAAATATTTGTGACATGTTTCAAGATGATGTTAATACCGTAAAATAAACTTACAAAATTATTCCATGAAATTATTCCAAAGAAATAAGACAGAATAAGTTGGATCGATCTGGCCGCTATAATGATGGAAGCATATTGATAAAAGACCACGGTGGATACAAAAAACATATTGCGGAAACATCCAATTGATATACGAAATTTAGCAGGACTTTGTCTCCATTCAAAATATAAGTTACTTTAGATTTTGCACGTAACTTAAGAGATAATCATTTCACAATTAATTTATGTATAAAATATCTGTTTTACCTATCATTAATTGTATTGAAATTACAAATAAGACTAAATGGGAAATAGTTGACATTGTTTATTAAGGTCAAGCTTGGAAAATTACCAATTAATTTGCTTTGAATTCTTAAAATGATTTATATTCTGAAATATTTTTCCAAATATAAAACGACTTTTATATTTTGAAATGGAGAGAGTAATAATTATTTAAGGTTATATTTAATTCATTTTTCACAGTGGGGATTTGTTATTTATTTAACTTTTTTTTTCGGAACTCGATTGGAACTTTAGCATTGGAAGTTTGGAACTCGATTCGTATATTCAAATTGTACTCCCAAGATGTACATAATGTTTTATAGAAAATTTTGCCATTTCCAAGATATATTTTAAGTTCATTAGTTGAAGAACGTGTTAGAAATTAGAGTATAGTACTTAAGTTATTTCACTTCAATTTATTAATTCGTGTAAAAATGGAAATGAGTTTATTTAAAATTGAAGGGAGTATTAGTTACAGTAAGTCGCAAGTGTCCTTTAGATTTTGCAAAAAAAAAAGTTGCTAACCGGAAAAAAAATCATCATTTTCAATCTATACCTTATAGAGTTTTGTTGATCATCCATAAACCTTTTTGTTTTAGATATGGCTAAATGTGAAAGACTCCATAACCTCCTTCCCACTTCCCACCTCTGTCCTTTTTACCTACTTTGTCTTTATTGTACCAAGGGTTTACTTTAAAAAGAATTCTGGTAAAATATCGTTAAATTAATAATTTATAAATTATTATTAAATTCGAACAATTAATAATTTTCTCCCGTTTCAATTTTGATCCGTGTAAAAAGTGAGTAAAATCGATAAAATAATAAGAGAGTAATATTTTTAAAATCTTTTATATATCCATTGATCCTGAAAATACTATAATTTAATACTTGCCCCAAATAAAAAAAAAACTACAAATATTTAGTAAATATGAATTATCAATACCTGATTTTTTAGTCCCGAAGATGATATGAATTTAGATTTTTGCATCAAGAATAGTTTCAATATGATTATTTGATTCGGATGGTAAATATAATTAAAAGTTACCAGTTAATTTAGTAAGGATTTTTTTCCTTAAAAAAATCTTCTAATTATTTAATAATTCTCTAAATTAATAAATTTTGATTATTCACTTTAATATGAACCTTCCAAATTCCAATCAAGATGGGTGGCAAAAAAATAGAGCACATTGACCACAGTGGCTAGTCCAGATCGCCACTGGCGTTCGCAGAGAAGGTAAACGACTCTGGTTCGAACATTGTCATAAACCGCCAATGACGGTAGACTATGATCAATCATTGTGTACTCCTTATTTCATTCCCAGTTTCTCACATTCTTCCTTAAACAACCACCTAGTTGGTTCTGGTGTTATATAGACTTACAGTCACAGAACGCAATGATCATTACAAATCATCAAAATTCTCAAGTGACCAAGTATCAGAATCTACCTAAAGGAAAAAATTTTAAAGAAAAACCATGAAAAAAATAATCACCCAAATTAACTATCTGAAGAAACAATTGTAGCTGTAGGATAAAGCCCTGATCTACCAATGCACTGAGATCTACCAGGAGAAACTCCAAATTTGAATACAATGGACTGTGCAATATTATCCGAACATTCCAAATTTGATGAATTCGCATCCAGTAAATGAGTCTTCTAAGCATAGTGTTGAAGCAAAAGGCAGAAAAGAATACCAAAAAACAATGATCAACTAGAAAGTTGCTAAAAATTTCGAGCCACAAAGGTAACCAATTATCCGGCAATTCACAAACTACAAATTATACAGCTAACTAATGAATACAAGCGCTACACAGTTGCTGGATTTAGATTCCAATTGTAAAGGAGCATAACAAGTTTACACGGCTTCGAGTTGGATGCCAACTTGAAGGTTAACTTCATTAGCCAAAATAATATGAAGACATGCAACCTTACCACAAAACTTGGTGCTGCAGACCACGACAGAATTGAAAATTCAGGTCAAGTTCAAAAGTGCAGTCAGAAATACCATTCACACCAGGAAAAGCCTTCTTAATGGATGGAACTTTATGCGAGAATCTGTATAAACAATCAGGCATGATAAGAAATGAATCCCCATCGTTCTGTCTCCTTCGCTTAAATGATGTCACAGATCCCGCAACTTTGTCCAAGTGAGCGACTCTAATGCCCACAAATGAAGAGTTGATGACAGGATATGGCAGAATCTCCACGAATTCATACTGGCAATGTTTATGTATTTCTGGATGAGAAGCCCATCTGATAAGATCCCAGTCCTTGTACATAGCCCAAATATCTCCTTCACTAGGAAATATTATCCAAGGTTGAATTCCAGTGCATAAAGTTTTATGAGAAAAACTGGTGGGAGATAAAACCGTGGCACTCCCATGTTCAAACATACCACAACATACTGGCAAGCCGTTGGCTACCCACTGCTCCTCACCTTTATACACTGGACGAGGTTTCAACCAAACAGCTGCAAGCTTAATGTCTGCACCTGTGTTTATAATGTTAATGATCTGGGCATGAATTCTAGGCAAATTATCCATCGCAAAACACGTCCAAATTTCCCCAACACTGAAGTTCCTTGTTAGTCTTCCTTTCTCAGCAGTACTGGAACTAAGATGGGCAACAGGGTTGGGAGCTACTGGACAAATTAAATTCGGACTAGGCTCAGGATCAAGAACTATTATATCTTCAGGCACCTGTGCTTGTGACCTATTATTTGTACCTAAGTATTCAATAGACAACAGAATGAGAAATAGAACTACAATAGATCACGAAGCAAGATGATAAACAGAGATGTAATCCCAATCCTTAAGGTAGGTATACAAAACAAAATGAAAGAACAGGATAAAAACATAATTACCTGATATTTGAAGATCCAGAGCTTTAGCACGGTTCCTGCTACTTTCTTCCACGCTGATCTCTACATTAGCAAGACAAGCTGTATTCCTTCTGGCCATATTCTCTTTCGCAGCAACTTCCTGTTCTCTGATCTGTAGCTCCTTTATTTTTACCTTTAAAAACCTCTCCTTCAAATCAAGCTCAGTGAACTTAGACCCCTGTATCTTCTCCTTTGAACCAATTTCTTGTAGCTTCCTCTCCAAATGGCGTTCCATCTCCTCAACTTTAGCAACCCTCAGGCCCAAATTCTTCTCTTTTGAGTCAACCTGAAACAACTTCTCCTGCAATAGTTTCTGATTGAAAACCACCTCATTTTCTCGGGTGTTCAGCTCCTTTTCTCTCATCAACAAGATCCTCTCTTGCAGATCAAGTTCAGTAAGCTTTCTTTTCTCTTCAGAATCGATTCCTTGTTTCTTTGTCTCCAAATTTCGTTCCATTTCATCAATCTCTTTTACCCTCGATTCCAAATTCTTCTCTTTTTCATCATTCTCGTCCTTTAAACACCTTAAAGTTTTCTCCTTTAGGTCAAGCTCGGTCTTCATTTTCTCCATTTCACCCTGGATTCTTGTCATCTCATCAAAACGACTTTGAAGCTCCTTCTCTTTCTTCAGAACATAATACAGCTGATTGTCAACAGATTCCTTCAGTTTCTCATATTGCACAGTCCCCATTTCTACTTTCTGCAAAGCCCTTTTCACCCTTTTCTCTTTCTCCTCTAATCTATTTAACCCCGCCTCAATCGACCTCTTCTTTGGAGCAAACACTTGAGAAACCTGTTGCATAATCGATTCTTTCACCGACTCCAAATATCTCTTTCGGGAACCAATTTCATCAAGACACCCGCTTGAAAATTTGTGCATCACTTGATAATGGTCTTCAACTTCATCACATTCAAACATCACCACTTTCATCCTCTCCTCGAATTTCTCTTTCTTCGCTTCAAATGTCCCCAAAGCTTCAGAAAACTTGTTCAAAGACCCCATTTCCCTGTTTTTCATTAACAGGGTTCTCTGATTTTTTACAAGGGCTTCGGGTGGTTTTTTTTTTTTTTTTGGTTATTTTCCTTTTCTGTTTGTTGAAGAAGAAGAAGAAGAAGAAGAAGAGGAAAAAGGGAGTCTTCCTACTCTAAAGAAACCCTCTGAAATCGGCTCAGATAAAGACTGTGAAATGACATTTTGTCAAGTTTCTCAAACTGGGTTAAACACAAAAAGGTTCTCGAGAAATTATTAATGCCATTCTGAACTGAAAATGGTCATCAAATGAGATCTTGGGAATCCAGTATCCACCATTATAGAATAGATGATGAGGAGGGGCGAATTTGAAGAGTCTGATGTTAATGACTATGTGTAATGATGTCTTATCTATGTTCTATAGCTTTCAACCAACGAACGAGCCTAACAATTTTAATTTCAGATTACTTGGAGATTGGAAGCGTGTTGAGTACAATTACTTAATGAATATTTCATTAACTGCACTATTATTTCCTATGCTTTCCATGGGATTTTTCCGGGTTTTTCTTTCCAGCTTTTTACATTTCCGAAAACAAAAAGGAGACACAAAATGTGATCAGCATGCATATATCCCAATAATAATAATTGTACTTGTAGGGAATTATTATTATTATATTTTTATAAAAATGATTTATTTTTTAAACTAGTAATTAAAACGAATAACTACTTTTGAATGGAATACGATTGCCTGTTTTTTCCTTGATTTGTTTTTCTGAAGAAGCGTTTCAACAGCGTGCAACACCTACTAATGATATCATTATGATTCCACTACTACTTAACACAAAGTTCCTTGTTATCCTGTGTTGTTTTCCTTATTTACAAGCACTTGGAACAATAATTCAATAACATCCCATGTTCATGAAACTGAAATAGCTATAACACAAGTGACCCTTATTCTCTCCACCTTTGTCCTTCTTTCCTAAATAATAGTTTTTTTTTTTTTTTCATTTCACCATATGTTTACTTCAAGAATATCTTCACCGTTAATCTAGATTATGTTATTTGAGATGGAATCATATGTAATGTGACAATTTGTGATTTGTCTAGTGGTCCATATTTACATAGTCAAAGTTGGTAACTTTTTGTTCAAAAGACTAGTGATTTACGTTTATATTTCATTAGTTTTTTTTTGGACAAAAGAGACCACCTCTCAAATTACCATCTCCACGTAACATAGTGTCAAAAGAACTTCCATTTAACCAATGGATATGATCCGAATACAATTATTGGGGCAGAGAGCATTTTCCTGTTTTTTCCTATATCAACACACACACACACACTCACAGAGACTGAACCACCAAGATAATTCCAAGCTTTCTTCCTCTGTTTCACTGGATTCATTTGCCATTGTTAAATGTCGTAACAGTCTTCCCTTATTTGTTTTCAGATTGACTAAGGCATCTGAATGGATCCATCCCACTCATGCATCCTAACGTTGTTGCTCTTATACTTATCAGTTCTTCTGGTTATAATCAACAAGGCCTTCAATTTTTCCGGCAAAACTGTACAAAGGGTCATCTGTATATGAAGAAATTGGTGTAAAGATGAAGTTGATGAGGGATCTAACAGGCTCACCATCTTACATTAGTTTGTGGAAACATAATGGAACAGTGACAACATGCCAAAACCAATAAATATCAAAGCCTCAAGGTCGCTTGATTTTCTTCAAACTTCAATCCAGTAAATGACTCTTTAGTTAAGCAAAATGCAGAAAATGAGACCAATATAAACAGGGAAGTAATCTGAAAACAAAACATTTACACAGAACAAATTACTACCACCACAACCTAGTCTGCCTGATTCAGCTTTCAATTGTAAGATAGCAGTAAGATAACATAACAGGTACAACTTCGTTAGCCTGCAGATTGACTAATAAATCAAGGCACGAAAGATTTTCTTGCAAAACCTTAGGGGAGTTGAAGAGGTAAGCAATTCAGGTCAAGTTCAAAAGTGATCTCAGGAATACCATTTCCATCATTGCGGATTGTCTTCACGGAGGGCACTGCATGCGAGAACCTATATAAACAACTATGCTTTATGAGAAATGTATCTTCATCATTGTTGCTTCTTCGCTTATATGAATTCATAGACCCAGTGATTTTGTCCAGGTGAGCGACTCTAATGCCCGAAGATGAAGACACGCCTCTGGAATGTGGCAGAATTTCCACGATCTCATACTCGCAATGCCGGTGAAGTTCTCTATCAGATACCCATTCAACAACATCCCAGTCCTTGTAAACGGCCCAAGTCTCTCCTGCCCTAGGATATATTATCCACGGATGATGCAGAGCGCAAACCTTTGGATGGGAGAAAATGTTGAGAGATTCAACACTTGATCTGCCCTTCTCAAATTTCCCACAAGTTACTGGCAAGCCGGCGTCGACCCATTCCTCCTCACCACGAAGCACAGGACAAGGTTTCAACCAAACAACCTCAAGCCTAATTTCTCCACCATTGTTAATAACCTTGGTGACTCGAGCATATGTTCTTGGCATTTTGTCTTTTGCATCAAAACACGCCCAAGTTTCTCCGACATTGATATTTCTGGTTGTTTTTTCTATCTCAGCACTAGTAAAACTTGGATTGTCAACAGGGCTGGAAGCCATGTCACCAATTGAATCTGAATCAGATTCAGGATCAAGATCTATTACATCTACAGGCATCTTTGCTTTTGACTTAATGTCTGTACCTAAATTATCAATGAACATGATATAAGTAATTGGACTATAGATATCACCCTAAGCTACACAGATAAGGCCATAAGTTCATTCCTTAAGGTGAGCAAAACAACATTAATATACAGAACCTGAAAATCTACTATAGGATGGAAGACATGATTACCTGGAGTTTGAAGATCATTAGCTCTGAATTGTGCAGTGCATCTCTGAAGGATGAACCTCTTTTCTCTAGCATCTAATGCATCTTCCCTTTCCTCCAAAAGCTTCTCTTTTGAGTCAACCCGAAAGCTCCTTTCCTCCAGTAGTTCCTGTTCAGATTTTATCTCATTTTCTAGGATGTCCAGCTCCTTTTCTCTGGCCACCAAATTGCTCTCTTTCAATTGAATCTCACTTGACTTTCTTTTCTCCTCTGAGTGGATTTCGTGTTGCCTTCTCTCCAAATCTTGCTCCATTTCATCAACTTTTTTAACCCTTAACTCCAAATTCTTCAGTTTTGACTCAATCTTATCTTCTTTCCCCCTCAAGATTTCCTCCCTTGAGTCAAGCTCTGTTCCCATTTTCTCCACTTGAGCCCGGATCCTCTTCAGCTCATCAGAAAGACATTGAAGCTCCTCCTCTTTCTTCAGACCATCATTCAGCATTTCCTGGACAGACTCTTTCATTTTCTCACATTCCATCTTGTCCATTTCCAAAGCCTTCTCTTTCTCATCTAGTCTCTTAAACCCTGCCTCCATGGACTTCTTCTCTAAATCAAACCTTTCACACATCTGCTTCACCATGGATTCTTCAGCAGACTTCAAATCTTTCTCTCTCGACTCGATTTCACCAACACAGTCACCTGAAAGAACGTGGAGCAATTTAAAATGGTTTTCAACTTCATCACATTCACTCATCACCACGTTCATCCTTTCCTGGATTTTTTCTTTCTTCTCCTCTAAGATCTCCAAAGCTTCTGATAACTTTTGCAAAATTCCCATATCCATCTTCTTTTTTCTTTTTTCCTTTTTTTTTTTTTTTACACCAGAAGTAAAAGCCTAAAAGGGCTTTACCTTTTTCTGTAAGTCTGTAACCCCCGTTTGTTGGTTTCAGAATTTAGACAAAGAAGAAGACTCCAACTCTATAACCTTTTTTTCTAAGCTGTCAGATAAAAAAACATATCCCTTCTTTCTGCTTTAATAAACGAGTTGAATGAACCATGAAATTAAAGACCCTGACTTGATTTCTGCCAAAAGTGTCAGTGCTTTCTCTAGAAATAAAGTCCGTCTTCTTTTTGTCTGAGAATGGTAATAAAAAAAAAGACTACACGAGATCTTCGTTTCGAATGATGAAACGGACTTGAAGTGTTTGCATATGATGAATTTGACTCTGCTTTCATATGAGTGTCTCCGAATAGAGTGTTTTTGCTTTTTATGGCAGGCTATCATACTTAATTTTGTTGGATTTGCATTTACATCCCTCATATTTGAAATTTACAGTCGAATTGATGTTGATAACTTATAATTTCTTTTTTTTCTTTAGGGGTTTTCTATCCCATTTTAGTTCAAGAGTATCAAAATAGGAAGGAAATAATTTCAAAACGTACAATTTCATTAGGCGGGTGATTATGCCAAAACAATTTTTAGCGTCCAAAGTAAATTTTGGATGAAAGGACAAAACTACCCATATTCAAACTGTCATTACTTGTCAATTCTCTTCCCCAATTCCAAACAGAACCAACTATTTTTCCCTTGAAAACTATTCACTAATTTTGTCCATTTAGGTGTTGAAAAAAGCTCCAAAGAATTTTTTCCAAATCTTTAGTTCAACGAATTCCATTTAAAAACGCCATCATACAATACAAATTGCCGATCTCAAACCCCTTGCTACGGATAAGCACTTCGGAACCATAAACCTGCAGCTCGTTTGTATGAATCAGTTAACATATTTTTATATTTTTTTTGAGAAAATAAAGTTTCATTCATATTTACTGGAAATCGTCCAGAAGCGTGGTCGCAGGAATGTGCGACCAAATATTACAATCTTCATCACTGTGTTTGGCTAACTCAGCAAATTGATGTGCTACTACATTCTCACAACGTCGGATCCAAAAGACCCCTACAGGCCGGGTCAAATGAACCAAAGTATGAATAGCCTCCATGACCGGATCCAATTCAGAAGGGTCAATAACAACTTCTTGTGCAGCCAAGATAGGATTTACAGTATCTCCAATAATAGAGAAGTCGACTAGGTGGCAATCACGAGATAACTAGTGCTTCCTGTAATACTAAGGATTCCGTAAGATCCGAATCCTGAATGCCTCTGATTTTCCTGGTTCTAGCTTTTACAAAGACTCCCTGAGCATCCTCACACCAAACACCAATCTCAGCACATCTATGAAGTCGGAAAATGGCAGCATTAAACTAGATTTTTGGATCAGAAGGGATACTACCCAACAGAGAGTGGTATTTCAGATTGGATGATGCCCTCTCCGGCCAACTTTTAGCATCGAGGAATGTCTTCCTCATACTTCCTGCCATCATAAAAACCTCCATAGAGCTCATCCTGCAATTCTCATGGAGCGCCTTATTTCTACAAAACCAGATGCAATTTAGAATGGTGGCAAGCATCTCAACATCCTTTATGTCCACCTGCATAATCATTTTCCTGACCAAGCACTACCTTCGTCTTCTTCATGTTGTCTCACTATGTTGGTCATGTTCGCTATCCTCCAAACCTCAGCCGCAAAAGGGCAGCCGAAAAAGATATGCTTAGTGGAGTTCTCAGGTTCATTACAGGTTGCACATAAATCCGTCTGTGGAACATATCAGTTAACATATTTTGGTTTCACTGAGTTTTTTTTTTTTATAATACACCGGAGATACTTTTTGTTTTCTTTTCCAAAATCAACATGTTGATTTTTTTCACTCTCTGGGCAGTAATTCACGTGGAATAAGATGGATCTTTCTGGTTTTATTGGTAGATTAGTAGAATTCAACTCACCATTTTTAAATTCCTCTATCCAATTCCAATTAGTTACCACTTTGAATTTGAACAATCCTATGAAACTATGTTTTGAAAACCGGACCGAAAAATGAACCGGCAACTTAACTGGTTCATCGGTTCACTGGTTCAACCGGTTTGAATCGGTCTTAAAAATCGATCAAAACCGACTATAAAAAATATTAAAAAATAATTTATCTTCGAAATTCGGTCCAACCAGTACTAGTTCTCGGTCGAACAACGGTTTTGTCCGAGTTTAACTAAATTTGACCGATTTTAAGTTTGCTGCTTATTAACCAAAACCAGACCGGAAAGAGTTCCGATTCTCAGTTGTACCAGTTCGACCGCCCGATCTGATCCGATTTTCAAAACATAAATATGAACAAATACAATGCAATTACAATTCCTTCACCGATAAACATGGTGGACACTTAATTCGGTTTCGGTGGCCGAGGTAGAGCCCAATATAAAAGGTAGGCGAGAGGGTAAAAGTCTAAAAGATAATATTGAATGTTGATTTCCGTAAAATGGATAATTTTGTCATTTTACTCTAAATTTACTATGAAAGCTAAACATTGTTTTGGCAGAATCACTAACTATTTAGTTTACTCAATGTTGATTTTCGTAAAATGGACAATTTTATTGTTTTACTCTAAATTTGCTATGAAAGCTAAACATTGTTTTGGCAGAATCACTAACTATTTAGTTTACTCCCATCTACAAAAATAGAGCAGACACCACGGGACCAACCAAACCAGCCAGCAATTTGACCTTCCTATTCAAAAACACCTCAACATTTTGATTTCATTTGTCAAATCAACGCTTCGATCGCCAAACCGATACTCGACTATCTTCAATATATCTACAGTTGCATAATATTTTTGGTCTTCCTTGTCCATAACATTTTCCCGGACAAAATTCATAATCGGCATCTCTATACTGTTGTCCAAAACTGGTGCCACACAATTCATAAAACTCCTCAACTCAGATAAAACAACATCCTTCCAATCAGGCCTTATATATTTCTTTTAATCCTAGATGGCCTTGATTACTTGACTGCCATTCTCATCAAAGAGGCATCCTATTCTTGTCTGCAACATGGATAATCATCAGTCAGAGTCAATACAATGTCCAACAGTAACAAACAACTACAACCAGTGCATTTCTGAAGTTGCAATAGGGAGCACCCCCTGGTAAGCCTTGTAAAGCCATGTGGACAACAACTTGATGGCCGAATGGGCAACTGCGGCAGTCTCAAGAACCCCATTGTCTGTAATGACACCTTCATCAACATACACAGCTTAAATTTTAAAATTGTACAATAATATTTTTAATTAATAAATAATATTTTAACAATTAAATAATGAAATTTGAATTTTAAAATATTTTTAATGATTTAAATTTTAATAAAAATTTAAATTAAATTAAAAGACAAAAATACCCCTGATTTCGGCGTGTCAACGGTCGGAAACAATGAAATGAGACCAAAAAAGTGTGAAAATATAATGTTTGGGACTACGATATTAAAATGTTAATGTAAGAGACATAAATTCAAGTAGGCCCAAATGTAAGGGACTATTTGGACATTTTAGTCTTAAAACTTTTGTGTCCATAACAATTGAAACAGAACTGCAATTCAGGGTTTGAAGAGAAAGTATATATACAAATGATGATTTGGTATTCACGGAGCAGGTAGGCAAAGCTTTAAAGAGTATGATCAGAATTGCTAATTGAATGGTAGTTTCTCCAGAAAAGTTTAATCTCATTACTGTAAATGGAAATCAAAAGATCCTTCAGGTACATTTAGATGATATCTTTTTTCTTCAGACCAGGCTTCAGATCACTATTTTCTTGCTTTCATTATGGGGCATGTCTCTAATTTTGAGAAAAATTACATCTACAGTATCCTTCATATTTGGACTTATCCACCATTTTAATCCTCTTAATTAGGGCCCGTGTGCCAAGCTGAATGAACAAATCCAAAGGCAGAAAAGAAGACCAAAAAGTAATGCACAAGCAGAAGAGTTATCAGTGATTCCAGAACACACAACTTACCACCAATTTATCTTAGATTTTGCAGATGGAGATGGAACTAACGAAACCAAAGTTATACAGTTATACAGCAAACCATCACTGCATGATGCGATTACCAGTTGTCCTGCAAACCAACCGAACTACATGAAAACCAAACTTTCATAGGACTAATCATAATCACATAGTTACTTGATTCAGCTTCCATTTGTACAATAACTTAACATGTAACTTGAAGTTAGCACTCATTAGCCCGAAGATTAACTAGGAAATGCAACCATACCAACAACAACTTGTGTTGCAAACCTTAATGGAGTTGAAGAGGTAAACAATTCAGGTCAAGTTCCAAAATGTCATGAAGAATACCATTCTCATCAATACACATCTTCTGAACAGAAGGCACCTTATGAGAGAACCTGTATAAGCTATTAGCCTTTATGAGGAATGAATCCTTGTCCTTCCTGCTTCGCCTCGTAAACAACTTCACGGATCCTTCGATTCTGTCTAGAAGAGTGACACTAATGCAACGAAACAAAGGCTGGTGACGGGGATGTGGCGGAATCTCCACTATGTCATACTCACAATGTCTATGAAGTCCTTGATGAGATGCCCATTTAACAATATCCCAATCCCTGTAAAGGGCCCATGTTTCTCCTTGGCGAGGCAATATTGTCCAAACAGGATCTAAGATGCCTAAAGCTAGATGAGAGAAGATGGTGGGAGATTCAACACTTATCTCCCCTGGTTCAAATTCCCCACAAGATACTGGCAAACCGGCTTCGACCCACTCCTTCTCCCCTTTATACTCAGGACAAGGTTTCAACCACAAAACCTCAAGCCTAACTTCTCCATCTTGGTTAATGAGGTTAATAACTCGGGCGTATTTTCTTGGCATTCTATCTTTTGCATCAAAACATGCCCAAGTTTGATGAACATCGAGGTTCTCATCACTTGTAAAACTTGGATCACCAATGGGGTTGGAAGCAAAGTTACCAAGTGAATTTAAATCGGGTTCAGGATCAAGTTCTGTTAAATCTTCCGTCATTTGTGCTTGTGTAGTAGTCTTTCTACCTAAAGTATGGATCGGTGACGAATAAGAAAGAGGCATATCGGACTAACAAATCATAAAGGCAAACACTAAAAGTGGCAATAGTCATGACGTCAAACACTAAACAGGGTCAAGGAATCAGTAAAACAACATTGAAGACCAGACCTGAATTTTGAAGATCCTGCACTTCGATTTTTCCAATGCTTTCCCCAGGAATGCCACTGCTTCTCTTACCACGCTGCCTTCTATTTTCTTGCACCTTTCTCTCCTCATGACCAGGGCTAACTCTTTTCCTCCTGACTGACCTCACATCTGCTGGCTTTGTAGGACTCACTGAGTTGTTTGCTCCTCCTAAACCTTCCTCCTTAGCTTCAAGTTGCTTTGCAAGATCCATCAGATTTTGAGCTCTCACATCGAGCTCATCTTCCCTTTGTTTCAATCTTTCAGCTTCTGAATCCAGTGCATTTTTCCTCTTCTCCAAAAGCCTCTTTTTCGAATCAATCTGAAAATTTCTCGCCTCCACCAGTTTTTGGTTGGAAATGACCTCATTTTCTCTGGTCTCCAGCTCACATAACCTACTTTTCTCGGCCGAATCAAATTCATGTAGCCTTCTCTCCAATTTCCGTTCTAATTCGTCAACTTCATTTACCCTCAAGATCAAGTTCTTCTCCTTTTCATCAATCTCATCTTTTCTGCACCTCAAGGTTTCCTCCATTGAGTCAAGCTCTGCCCCTCTTTTTTCCACTTGACCCTGGATCTTCTTCAGCTCATCCAAGAGACATTGAAATTCCTTCTCTTTCAGAAGAACATCCGTCAGCGTTTTCTCAACAGAGACTTTCATAATCTCAGATTGTTTTCCCTCCATTTCCATTTTCTCCAGAGCCCCTCTTAGAAACTTCTCCTTCTCACCAAACTTCTTTAAACCCTTTTCAATAGCCCTTCTCCTTGAATCAAACCTCTCATGAATCTGCTTGGCCACCGATTTCTCAAAAGATTTCAAGGATTCCTCCTTTGACTGAAGCTCATTTGAACGTCCATACGAGAGATCTTGAATCTTTTTGTAATGGGCTTCAACACTATCTAATTCACGCATCACCATGATCATCCTTTCCTGGATGCTCACTGTCTTTTCTTCGACAAGCCCAAATGCTTCAGATAATTTCCTAGAAGATCCCATTTCCCTGTTTCAAACTGTGAAGGACTTGTTGATTTTTGCAAGTAAAGATTTGAGCTTTTCTTTCTTTTTTGGTTGTTTGTTTCAGAATGTAATTTGACAAAGAAAGGCTAAAAAGTAAAAACGCAGGCCAAGACTTGATTTTTCTTGTTTTGTTTGTAACCCTTTCTGAGTTAGTACATTAACAGAGAGCTTTCTCGAGAATTGATGGCATTTTGTGCTGAAAATGGTAATCAAATTGATCCCCTGAGATTGTGATAACTATGAAGGTTAATTAGTCAGAAAACAGAAGCTCTTTTTCTTTTTCTTTTTTTTTTTTTTTTATCAAAGAAAACAGATGCTCTTTTTCAATTTCAAGGCTGAGAGATATTAATATTGATCAAACCTAATTTCATATAACGACAACTTCATTATTTTTTTTTTTTTTTACAAGTGTTAAATTTCATCATTCCCTTTATTGCGCAAAAATAGTACAACTAATTGGATAATTGGGACAGAGGGAATGGTTGGAGTAATATGTCCTGTTTCTTGTACAAGTAAAGTCTGGATTCTTTTGCTTTTTTACGAGGATAAAATAATCGAGCAATATTGAGAATTAGCCCTGTGAGGGAATAAATTACTGCATTGTCTTCATTTGGCAGTTCATCTAAATGTTGAATGTTGTAAATAACTAAATAAGCTTTCCATATTCATTTTCAGAAATCATAAACGTTAGTTTTAGGACTCAACTGAATGGCTTGATTTCATTCATGCTAACTAACTTAGGTAACATCGTTCCTGTGATAATAATCAACATTGCATACTTTTTTTCTCAGATCAAGGAAGGCAGGTCAAGCCATGGATAAAGAGAACCTGAAAGATATAATGCAAGAGGGCTGATCAACAAACCATAAATGTAATATGCAGGATATAATGCAAGAGGGACAACATCAACATCTTCCCTACTTAATATCCTGGAAAATGTGCAAATGCTGCAAGATTACTTGATTTCCATGTAACTACTTCTGTCTGTGAAACAAAACTCTTTTTAGTTAAGCAAAATGCAGAAAGAAGACAACAACAAGCAGAGCGGATCTTACATATATTTCAAACCGCAAAAGTTACCTCTTGTCCTGCAAAATGAACTAAATATACACAGAACAAAATCATAACAGTACTACATAACAACTACTCCTCGAATGTTCACTTCATTAGCCTAAAGATTAACTAACACAACTGTATCGCAAAATCTTGTGCTGCAAAACTTAATGGAGCCGAAGAGGTAAGCAATTCTGGTCAAGTTCGAAAACAGTGTCAAGAATATCATCTTCACCAATGCAGATTATCTTCATGGAGGGCGCTTTATGTGAGAATCTGTATAAACAATTAGGCTTTATGATGAATGAATCCTCATTGTTCTTGCTTCGTCGCTTAAACTTGCCAGATTCCGTGATTCTGTCCAAGTAGGCAACAGTGACTCCCGAAAATGAGGACTCTTTGGGAGGAGATGGCAAAATCTCCACAATTTCATAGTCGTAATGTCTATAAATTTGTGTATTAGAAACCCATTCCATAATTTCCCAGTCCTTGTAGATGACCCAAGTTTCTCCTACACAGGGAACTATAATATCTCCAGCACATAAAGTTGCTTGAAAAAAATTGGTGGGAGATTCAACACTTGTTTCCCCCAATTTAAATCTCCCACAAGTTACTGGCAATCTAGCAGCGATCCACTCCTTCTCACCTTCATACTTGGACAAGGTTTCAACCACGCAACGCGGAGCATGATTTCTCCACCTCTATTTATAACATCAGTGATTCGGGCGTAAGTTCTTGGCATATGATCCTCAGCATCCAAACATGTCCAAGTTTCTCCAACATTGAAATTTCTTGTTTGTTTTCCTTTCTCAACACGACTAAAACTAGGATCGCCGGCAGATTTTGAAGCTAAATTACCTACTAACTCTATATCTGGTTCAGGATCAATATCTATTACATCTTCAGGCACAGGTATTCCTGACTTGTTATATATACCTAATTTAATAGACCATAATAAAATAAGAAATTAGACTCTAACCAATCATGAAGGTATCCTTATAATGTGAGTAAAACAACACTTAAGAACAAAGCGTTAAAGTTTATTATAGGAGGGAAAAGAATAGTATTACCTGGATCATTAGCTTTGATTTGGCTTGTGCTTTTCTCATGGATAGAACTTCTTTCTTTCTCCAGGTTTCTCTGTTCATCACCAGGACTAATTTTTTTCCTCCCGACCGTCGTTAAATCTGCTGGCTTAGTTGGACTTACTGCATTGTTCAATTGTCGAAAGAACTGTACCACAAAATTCTTAACAGAAAGAAGCTCAGACTTGATGTCCAAAATCCCTTCCTTAACTTCAAGCTTCTTTGCAAAATTCATCAGTTTTTCATCTCTCTCGTCGAGCTCATTCTCCCTTTTGTTCATGTTTCCAGCTTCCGAATTTAGTTCCATTTCCCTGTTCTCCAAATGCTTTTCTTTCCAGTCAACCTGGAAACTCCTCTCCTCCAGCAATTTTTGCTCGGAAATCAGCTTCTTTTTTTCGGCGCCTAGCTCCTTTTCTTTCTCCACCAAATTCTTCATTCTGGAATCAAGTTCACTTAAATTTCTTTTCTCTTCTGAATCGATTTCGTGTCGCCTTCTCTCCACATTTCGTTCCATTTCATCAACTTTGTTTACCCTCAAGTCCAAATTCTTCTCCTCTGCATCAATTTCATCTTTTCTCCTTTTCTCTTCCGAATCGATGTCCTGTTGCTTTCTCTCCAGATTTCGCTCCATTTCATCAACTTTTTCAACCCTCAGGTTCAGATTCTTCTCCTTTGCAGCAATGTCATCTTCTCTGCTCCTCAAATTTTTCTCTCTGGAATCGATTTCATCGACACACTCCCGTGAAAACTGGTGAACACCTTTGTAATGGTCTTCAACCTCATCACATTCAAACGCCACCACTTTCATCCTTTGCTTTATCCTCTCTTTCGTTTCTTCAAAGAGCCCTAAAACTTTGGACAACTTCTCCAAAGAACCCATATCCCTGTTTTTTAGTTTCAGGGACCGTTGATTTTCACAAGTAAGGCTGCGGGGTTTTACTTCTTTTTGTTGTTTCAGAATCAGGCGAAGAAAAAAGCTTCGCAAATAGGCAAGGGGTTTCCTGGAATCAATGTCTCACGCCACTACCAAACAGTCTAACATTCTCAGCTCTCAATCGAATGAAGGAAGAATCCCATGATAGACCAGTTCCAGGCTTCCAGCAAAATGCAATCTGAAGAAAGATAGAACCTTTGCCACTGACTATGGAAGATCGATCAACCAAGAAAGCACAAGTTGGATAGAGTGAAGATGGTGAAGAAAGGGGAACAGGGATAGTGAGATACAGAGATTTTACAGAATACTCAAACCGGAAAGCTCCTATTATCCTTGAGGAGGACTAGAATTTGACCATAATGGTCAGATTCCAGCTATCTGGCTCTTTTCCCAAAGGATCAATCGAAGATCTCTTTTTTTTTTTCCCTCCCAGAGAACCCTTTTCTTGTGTCACCTCTGCTGATTAATGACAACCTTTTTTTTTTCTGGTGGAAAAAGACTCCAAAATGGGTTCATGCAGAAAATAATGAGTTTGACAGGAGTTTTCGTCTCACCTCTCTGTTTGAGGTACACAACCCAAAAGTGCTTTCTCTAGAATTAATGTCATTTTATGCTGAGAATGGTAACCAAAAGATGACACAAAATATTGGGTTTCAGTAGGTGATGTGAAATTATGAAGACTTGAAAAAGAGCCTTTATGAGCAATTTGCTTTTTGCAGGTGCTTTTTCATGGCTTAGGTATGGATGTTTATCAAATTTGCAATTACATCCCTTTGAGTTTATTACATTCCAGATCCTTAAAATTTCATATGACTACAATTTCGTTTCATTAGTTTGTTTTTTTGAGACAGTTAATGTAATGTGGGAGTATCTACACAAAAACTTCCTAGAGCATGGTTTTGATCTGTGTATACTTAAAATTATGTTTTAGTGGTGCCTTAGTATTGTTGTATAAACTACTAAGCTTGTTTTATGTTAATTTCTACAACTTAAAATCAAAAACTTTAACCCAAAAATGCTGTTTTTTTTAGTAACAACAAATTGTCGCTGTTGCTCAACAATATAAACAGTGAATGACCTAACCTAATGGCTAATATGAACTACAGTTTCTTTTTTAGTTTGAAATCAATATGGAGAAACGAGAGATGCTACTATTAATGAAGTGAAAGAAGAACCAGCAATCCAAAGGCTAAAGATTTTAATGCAGCGAAATGGATTTTCATGAAGACCAAAACAAGCAGATTTCCTTACAAAACTCTGCAGATAGGCACTATGTTGAAGGTAAACTTCGCTAGCATAAAGATTAACTACGAGATGCAACTTCACGGCGCAAATTTTTCCTCGTATAAACCTTATTGGAGTCGAGAAGGTAAGCATTTCCAGTCAAGCTCAAAAATGCAGTTTGAAATACCATTTCCATCACTTCCGATCTTCTTAGTGGAGGGCACCTTATGTGAGAACCTGTATAAACTATTGGACAACGTGAGAATTGAACCCTCATTGTTATTGCTTCTGTGCTTGAAAAATCTCACAGATCCTGGGATTCTGTCCAAATAAACAACTCTAATGCCTGAAGATGAAGATCCATCCTGAGGATATGACTGAATCTCCACAATCTCATAACTGCACTGTTTATGAAGTTTTGAATCAGATGCCCATGTTGTGATATTCCAATCCTTATAGATGGCCCAAGTTTCTCCATTACCGGGAATTATGCTGTGGGGATGACTTCCGGAGCATACAATTGGATGAGAGAAAATTTCAGAAAACTCAACACTTCTTCCTCCACATTCAAATTCCCCACAAGCAACCGGCAAGCCTGCCCTGATCCAATCCGTCTCATAATTATTGGTTGGACAAGGTTTCAGCCATTCAACCTCAAGCCTAATTTCTCCACCTTTGACAAAAACATTAATGATTTGGGCATATGATCTTGGCATATAATCGTATACATCAAAACACGCCCAGATTTCTCCAGTGCTGAAGCTTCTTGCTACTGCTAGTTTTCCCTTCTCAGCACTAGTAAAGCTAGTTGGATACACAGCAGTGCTGGAAGCTAATTTACTAATCGAACCCGAATCAAACACCAGGACATCATGAAGTATGACATCTTCACCAGTGATCTGTGCTTGTGACTTACAATGTGTACCTAAATGTCAATAGATATGATTGGAATAAAAATACTGATCGATCAAAAAACACAGTAAGGACCATAATCCTATCCCTATGGTGAATAATAAAAGCATTAAACAACAGGAATCTTGATGTACATTATAAAATCAATAACACTACCTGAATTTTGAAGATCAGGAGCCTTATTTTGCCTCATTTGTTCATCAAGAATGGAACTGCTTCTTTTAGCATGCTTGCTGTGATTTTCGTCTGAGTTTTTTTCTTGGTCATCAGGACTATCTCTCTTTCCTCCCACCCTCCTCACAACTGCACTCTTATTGGTTGGACTCACAGGGTCTGCTTCTGGTGTGGACTGTTCTAAGGAATTCTTAAGCGAGAAAAGTTCGAACTTTAAGCTCTCCAACATCACCGTCTTCGCTTCAAGTTGTTTTGTTAGATTCACCAGCTTTTCTTCTCTCAACTTGATTCCATTTTCCCTCATCCTCAATATTTCAGCTTCAGAATGCAGTACATTTTCCCTCATCTCCGAATCCTTCTCCTTTGAATCAACCTGATTAGTCCTCTCCTCCAGAAGTTTCTGTTGAGAAAGAACCTCTTTTTCTCTTGCCACTAAAATCCTCTCTCTGGAATCAAGCTCATTTGACCTTCTCTTCAATTTTTCCTCTCCTGTGACAACATCAATTTGCCTTCTCTGCAGAGTTCGTTCGGCTGCATAAACCTTATTTTCCCTGATGATAAAGTTTTTCTCTTTTGAAGCATTCTCATCTTCCCTTCTCCTCAAATTTTCCTCCATCAAATCAAGCTCCATTTGCAATACCTCTGCTTGACTCTGTTTAACACCAAGGGCACCCCGAATTTTCTCCTCTATCAGAAGAAGATCCTTCATCTTTTTAGCTATAGTTTCCTCCATTTCTCCAAATCCCATTTTCTCTATTTCTATTTTTCTCAAAACCCCTTTCAGAGACAGAGCTTTCCCATCCAATCTTCTAAAACCCGCCTCAATCAACTTTTTTCTCCTGGAATCAAAATCTTCACAAAAACTCTTTCTAACAGATTCTTCAACACCCCTCAAATGTTTCTCTTTCGACTCAAGTTCACCGAGACATCCACGGATAATACCCCGCAGCTGTTCAAGCTGGCCTTCGGCATCCTGCCATTCAAGCACCACCAAGCCCACCGCGCTCTGCATACCCTCTCTCTTCTCTTTGCCAAGACTTATGGCTTCGGAGAGTTTCTGCAAAGATTCCATTTTTATGTTTCAGATTTAGGAATGGGTTTGGGTTTTTCTCTTCAAAAATTCAAGAAGTGAACTTCTTTTCTTTTCTCTTTTTCCGGGCTGATGATTTCAGTAAAAAAGGAGCAGTCAGTAATTTGAGTAATTACATCTCTCTCCCTCATATTTGAATTGGTAATCAACTAATGCCAGTACTCATGAAATGATGACTGATGTAATGATGTAAAACGTAATTCAATAATTGACGTGTTAAAAAAAAAAAATGTACTATCTCCGTGTAAAAAAAAAAAGTCCACATTGAATTTTTAAATTTATATTAAAAACAGTAAAAAATTTAAAACTCAATATGAACTATTTTTGTGAGACGGATGAGTATATGGGGTTGTGTGCCAAAAGGCTAAAGACTATTGTAATGATAGTAATATTTAATCTGGAAGTTTATAGTCGGCAAGGAAAGTGAAAATATGACCGGGAAGTGAAAGGAATGAAGATGAGTTTGTGGTTGAGGTTGCCCTTATCCCCTTGCTGTAATAATGCAAGAGTATATTTAAACAAAACCTAGAAATTTATTATTTTTAACTTTTGGTAAACAAAACCTAGAAGTTTAAATTAAGGAGAAAGTTAAAAGAGGCAATGGAGCTTCTTCTCCCGCTGTTGGGAATGTTGTTTCCATTTGTTCCTGTTTGTTATTTGTGCGTTTCTTCAGCATATGTGGTGAATGAGTGGTAGAGATGTTAGAAGCATTTGGGGTCAAGTTCAAAAATGGAGTCAGTGCCTCCTCCATCAACATAGGGCACTTTGTGCGAGAACCTGTATATACTAGTGCTAGGCAATTCGGAAGTTGAATCCTCGTCGCCGTTGTTCTTGCTTCTCCGCTTAAACAGATTCTCAGATCCTATGATTCTGTCCAAGTAGCCAACTCTTACCCTCCAGGATGGCGATGAAGGTCCTTCGCGAATAATTTTCAATATCTCCACAATATCATATTCTCTGTCACCGTGCAACCATTTTGTGATATCCCAATCTTTGTAGATCGCCCAAGTTTCTCCTTCTGAGGGAAGTATCACGCAAGGATGTTCTCTCTTGCAAATGATTCGATGAGAAAAAATAGCGGGAGATTCGACACTTGTCTCTCCTCGTTGAAACATTCCACAAGTTACCGGCAGGCCAGCATCAATCCACTCTTTGTCACCTTCATATACAGGAAAAGGTTCCAACCTTGCAGCCTCAAGCATAACTTGTCCATCTTCCTCAACATAGTTAACAACCTGGAAATATGTTCTTGGCAGGTCATCGTTTGCATCAAAACAGGCCCAAGTTTCTCCAAAATTGATTGTTCTTGCTGGGTTTCCCTTCTCAACACTAGTTAAACATGTATCAAAAACTATGATATCATCAGGTAACTGTGCTTGTGACGTATTATTAGCACCTACATTATCAGTTGAAGACTGAATAAGAAATTGAACCATAATCTAATCCTGAAAGTGTGTTAAATAACATCAAAGAACAAGATCCAAAACATAATTACCTGATTCCTGAACATCTTGAGCTTCAAATCTCCTCATTCGTTCATCGAAATTGCAACTGTTTCCTTTAGCATGCTTGCACCTATTTTCTTCCATGATTATTCTCTCTTGGCCATCAGGACAATCTCTTTTGCTTCCCACCCTCCTCACTTCTGCAGACTTTGTTGGACTCATTGGGTCTGCTTCTGGAGTGGACTGTTCTAAGGAATTCCTAATCGAAAAAGTTCAAACTTTAGCTTTGAATCCCTGCCTTGGCTTCAAGTTGTTTTGAAAGATTCAGCAACAACTTTTAATCTCTCAACTTGATTCCTTTTTCCCTCATGCTCAATCTTTTAGCTTCTGAACGCAGTACATGTTCCCTAACCTCTAAGTCCTTCTCTTTGGAATCAACCTGAAACTTCCTCTCCTCCAAAATTTTCTGTTGGGAATGAAGCTCATTTTCTCTTTTCTTCAGACCAATTTCTTTGGTCTCCACCTCTTTTTCTCTGGCCACCGAAATTCCTTCTCTGGAATCAAGTTCAGTTTACCTTCTCTTCATATCTTCCTCCTCTGAATCAATTTCATTTCTCCTTCTCTCAAGAATTCCTTCTGTTTTGCTGAGATTTTTCTCCTTTGAAACAGTATTAGCTTCTCTTATCCTCATAGCTGTCTCCATGAAATCAAGCTGGATCTGGCTTTTCTCCACTTGACTCAGTTTCAGTTCCAGGGCACCCTGAATTTCCCCCTCCATCAGAAGAAGATTCTTCATCTGTTTACCTGTAGATTCCTCCATTTCCTCAAAACTTACTTTCTCCACTTCTATTTTCCTTAAGAACCCTTGTAGAGAAAGCCCTTTCTCATCCAATCTCTTCAAACCCGCCTCAATCCACCTTCTCCTGGAATCAAATTCTTCACAGAAACCCTTTCGCACAGATTCTTCAACACCCTTCAAATGTTTCTCTTTCGACTCAAGTTCTTCGAGACATTCATGGTAAACCCCTTCCACCTGTTTAAATTTAGCTTCAACATCCACCCACTCAAGCATTACCAAGCTCATGACGCTCTGCAAACCCTCGCCAAAACTGGGGGCTTCGCATAATTTCTTCAAAGATTCCATTTTTTCGGATTCACAGTTTCCCAAGCAAGGCTTTGAAGGTTTATCTCATCTCATCTCATCTATATCTATTTGATTGTAAGAACTCCTTTTTGTTATTACTAACTCAAAAACAAGGAAAAGAAAAAGAAAGATATTTATTAGAAAAAAAAAGTAAAAAGAAGTCGCAACAGTACACTGTTCAAATTTTGAAATAAAGAAATAATAGTAACAATAGATCCCGAAACTAATGAAAAGTTGTAATTCCCCGTTTGTGTTTTTTGTACCTAAACAGTTTAATAAATGATGAGCTTCCATGATCCTAAAGACCTGCAAGACAAAAATTCAAACTCCGACCAACAAAGATTAACACTCCCACCAACAAGTCACTGTCGGGTGTAAGACATATCAGTCTGTATTAAGGATGGAGCAGAAGAAGTTACCTAGGCATAGACATCTTGGAGTGGCATATTCCTAAGAGTATCCTTTGCTATCAATGGGTTTGGACCCCTTTTAGGGTTTCATTGGCCCATTAAGATAGCCAACAAGTAGTCAACTCCACGAGTAGACTTATTGGACTACTCGGTTGGTCCATGCTCCATCAATAAGACTACTATTTTTTCAATGGAACTGCTAAATTGACTGCCAACACTTGAACTGTATTATTTAAGTATTGATTGCTTGCCAAAAAAATTATGTTATGTGATGGTGTCAATGCTTTTGGGTTCCAGGAATATGTATAAAATTGCGATGTGTGTTTGTTAACTTTCTGCCAAAAATGAGGGGGGGTGCTTCAAATAAATGCCATAGTTCTGATTTGTGAACTCCCAATTGATATAAGTAGGTACACAATGCAAAACACTAAGTTGAAAATTTCTTGACTGGATAGGTTTAATATTCTGCTAAATGTTCTGTTAAGACAGCACATCCTCACCATCTGGACAGATTTATGGAACAGTGATTCGAGCATCACTGAAAACTACAAGTGCATACGGAAACATAGAGATCGATTTACATGAGATCTTTTGAAATAAGTTCAGAGCAAATTGTTGACCCCATTAACAGAGGAATTAGCACTTGAATCCGCAAGCGAAAAGCTTTAACTTGGTACAACTGCAGTAGTAACACAGCCTACTACTATACTAGTAAAAAAAAAAAAAAGCATCATCTTGAAGAACCTATAAAAGATATGAATCCTAACATGCCAGAGAAGGTTGCAAAAAAATTGACTTGAAAAAGGCATATCACTAGTGCTAGCCAGGTTCTAGGAAAGAAAATCCAAGTAAGATGAGATGTATCCTTTCAGTTGATCTTGGCATGTTATCTTTTTCATCGAAACAGCACCAAAGCTTCTCCGACATTGTTGATGTTTCTGGATGGATTTTCCTCCTCAGCAGCACCAGTGAAACCTGGATTGCTGTTAGGGAATACACCGTTCGAATTTAAATAAAGTTCAGCATCATCAAGAACTATAATACCGCCAGGCATATGTGGCTGTAGCTCATTTCGTGTACCTAAAATATCAACAAGTGGTCGAACCGAAAATTGCTTGATTTAGCGTTCATTCTTGTAATAACATAACAAGTTGGAGACTCAGGTGAACTTCACTAGCCTAAACAAGATTAACTGAGATGACTAAAGCAACAAAATAATAGAACCTGGATGTGCATTCAGAAACATTACCTGATTTCCGAAGATATTGAGCTCCGAATTGTGCCATTGGTTGATCACAAGTGCATATGCTTCCTTTAGCATACTTGCTGTGATTTTCTTCCATATTTCTCTCTTGTCCATCAGGACAATTTCTTTTGCTTCCAGCCCTCCTTACTTCTACAGGTTTAGTTGGCCTCATTGCATCTGTCAATCGATTGGTCTGCTGGAAAAATTCTGCATTGTAAAAAGTTCGAGTTTTAAGGTTTCCAATAACCCTGCCTTGGCTTCCATTTGTTTTGAAAGATTCAACAACAGCTTTTCATCTCTCAACTTCATTTCATTTTCTCTCCTACTCAGTCTTTCAGCTTCCAAATTTAACACATTCTCCTTTTCTTTCAACACTTTCTTTAAGGAAACAACATCATTCTCTCTTCCGGCTAGAACAGTCTCTTTGGTCTCCACTTCTTCTTCTCTATTAATCATTTTTGAAAGATTCAGCTGCAGCTTTTCATCCCTCAGATTGATTTCATTTTCCCTACTGCTCAATCTTCCCGCTTCCCGATTCAGTAAACTTTCCATCCTGCTCAATCTATCAACTTCAGAATTCAGTGAACGTTCCCTCACCTCCAACATTTTCTGTTTGGGAACAGCTTCTTTTTTTCCTCTCGCCAGAACAGTCTGTTTGGCCTCCAGCTCTTTTTCTCTTCTAAGTTGTTCCGAAAGATCTGACAGCAGCTTTTCATTTCTCAACTTGATTTCATTCTCCCAACTGCTCAATCTTTCAGCTTTCCTGGTTAGTGCCTTTTCCCTTTTATCAAACAGTTTCTGTTTGGAAAGAACCTCATTTTCTCTTCTTGCCAGGTTTATCTCTATGGTTGTCAACTCTTTTTCTCTTCCCACCAAGGTTTTCTCTTTGGCATCAAGCTCATTTGACCTTCTATTCAAGTTTTCTTCCCCAGAATCGATTTCATTTCCCCTTCTCCCCAGAATTCCTTCTGTTGCGTTTAGGTTTTTCTCCTTTGCAATAGTCTCCTCTTCTCTCCTCTTCAAATCTGTCTCCAAAAAATCAAGCACAATTTGCCTCTTCTCCACTTGACTCTGTTTCAGTTTCAGGGAACCCTGAATTTCCCTCTCTTTCAGAAGAACATCCTTCATCTGTTTACCAACAGACTCCCCCAATTTCTCGATTTGCATCCTCTCCGTTTCTATTTTCTGCAAAATCCCTTTCAGACACATCTCTTTTTCATCCAACCTTTTCAACCCTGCCTCAATCAAGCTTCTCCTGGAATCAAACTCTCGTTCACAACTCTGTTTCACAGATTCCTCAACAACCCTCAAAGCTTTCTCTTTTGAATCAAGTTCTCCAAGACATTCAATGAAAACATCCTGTGCCAGTTTAAGATGGCCTTCCACATCCTGCCATTCAAGCATAACCAAGCTCATTGCGCTTTGTATACCCTCTCTTTTCTCTTCACCAACCCTTGTGGCTTCAGAAATTTTCTCCAAAGATTCCATCTTTCTGCTGTGGTTTTTTATTTCCAAAGTAAAAAACAGGGTTTTGGGTTTTTCTCCTTAGAAAGTGTTGAAAAAACCTTGTTTTTTCTCTCTTTTCGTACCAGCAAGGCAGCAACACACTATAACAGTAAAGCTGGTTGGTTGCAATAAAAGGAGCAGGTTCTGAGCAAGAATTTGGGTAAATTACATCATCCTCCCTCACATTTAAAAATTCTAATCAGTTAGTCCCTGTTAATTTTGACATTCATGGTTTTTTTTTTAGTTATGATACATTAAGTCCATCCAAGCCATCTACTGCCATTGCATTCAACTATCTATAAATTTGAGGGTTGTTATTGAAAAGTGAAAAACCATCTAGTTTGGGTTCTTATTTATTTATTTTTTCTTTTTGGAGGACAAACGAGTCCTTGAAAAACACACTTATGTACCCACAGCCACATTACAGATGTCACAAAAATAAGAAGTGCAAGTATATTTCATTTAATCCAATTTTTACTACTTCAATTACAGTACTAGCTGGTGGCAGTGACTCATGAAGAAATTGTTACTGCTCTGTATACCAGAGCAATAAAATAGTTCTTCCTTTTGAAATTCAAGGACATAAAATGGGTTACCCCAACCATCCCAAATTACAAAAGTTGGACCTTCATTTGGGATGGAGGGAGTAGTAGTATCAGAGTCATGAACACAGTTCAATTTTCTTAGTTTTTGCACTTTTTGAAGCAACAGATCAGCAAAACCTCAAGGTGAATCACAAGACAAACACAAGAAGATCAAAGGGCAGCTCCAATATGGAAATTTAAGATTGATTCCTGCCAGATCATTTTTCTTTCCGTTCTTTTTGTAAATGCATCCACAAAGATTCTTTGCTTTAATATCTATTAATGAACCGAATTAACGCTTAGGTTACAAAAGATCAACCTTGGCTGATACTCCTACTAGAGTCCAGGACAAAAACTGAACTCTAATGGACTGGATAAAACCTATGCAAAGGCATCAGCAAGTGTATTTCTTTGGCTTTGAACCTCCCAATTCTTATCTAAATTCGCCTAATACCATGCAAAAGACATCCACCGAGTAACAGAACAGACTCACTCACTGATCACTATCCTCACCCAACTCTCTCACCCCTCCCAAAAATTAAGCTTCACCTAATGATGCTGGTGAAGCCGAGGCCGGGGGAAGACGCTTTTGCCTTTTCTTTTCATAGCTGATTCCTCTTGCTTTTGACTGCAAATCACGAACTTCTCGCAGATAAACCACAACAGCAGGAGCATTAAAAGGGTTAGCTTCAGGCCTTCCACCATTTTCTGCATAACCAGCTTTAAGCCTTCCAAGCAAAGAATCAAGGGATCCCCAAATCTAAGTGGACAGTGACACGGTGCAGGAGGATTAGTATGTCCATAGAACGGACATATCGGAGTATGCACTTTGGTCAAACCGAACTGATCTAAATGCTGGAGGAATTCCACAACATGAGCTCCGCTGCATTGTGAAAGTGTAAGTGGAGGCCTGTGATCTTTCAAGTATTGCCCAAAATTGTTCCAAGCTATCCGCTTTTGATACTCGTATCTACTTGAAGTTGTAGTTGAATGTGCTGGTGCTGGTGCTGGTGCTGGTGCTGAGTTGATATTGTTGATGTTCTTTGATTGGGTTGTTTGAATATCTGAAAATGGATCAAATGTAAACTAATCTATGTTCAGATCAAAATTATCCCTTGTTTCACTAGCCTTATTATAATTTCCTAAGGTGAATGAAAAATTAAGCTACAGAACTCAGTCATTACCTGATCTTTTAAGATCTTGATCTTTAACTTGTCCTGTTTGTTCATGGCGAATGCAACTGCTTCCTTTAGCTTGCTTCTTGGTCTGATTTTCTTCCATGTTTCTCAGTTCGCCATCAGGGATCTCTCTTTTTCTTCCGGCCTTCCTGAATTCTGTAGATTTAGTTGGTCTCACTGCATCTGCTTCTCGAGTGGACTGTTGGAAGAAATTCTTCATTGAGAAAAGCTCAAGCTTTAAGGCTTCCAACAACCGTGCCTTGGATTCCATTTGTTTTGAAAGATTCAACAGCAGCTTCTCATCTCTCAACTTGATAATCTGTTCCCTGCTGCTCAATCTTTCAGCTTCCAAATGCAGTTCATTTTCCCTCTCCCCAAAGATTCTTTCCTTGGAATCAAAACAGTCTGCTTCTCGAGTGTATTGTTGGAAGAAATTCTCCATTGAAAAAAGTTCAAGCTTTAAGGTCTCCAACAACCCTGCCTTGGCTTCAAGTTGTTTTGAGAGATTCAACAGCAGCTTTTCATCTCTCAACTTCATTTCCTTTTCCCTCCGGCTCAATCTTTCAGCTTCCAAATGCAATTCATTTTCCTTGTCCTCCAAAATTCTCTCTTTGGAATCAAGTCCACTTGACCTTCTCTTCAATCTTTCCTCCTCCAAATCAATTTCATTTCGCCTTTTCTCCAGAATTTGTTCTATTGCGTTCAGGTTTATCTGCTTTGAAAAAGTGTTGTCTTCTCTTAACCTCAGAGCTGTCTCCATCCAATCAAGCTGGAACATCCTTTTCTCCACGAGACTCTGTTTCACTTTCAAGGTACCCTGAATTTCCCCTTCCATCAGAAGAAGATCCTTCATCTGTTTGCCCACAAACTCCCCCATCTCTCCTAATTTCCGTTTCTCCATTTCGATTTTCCGCAAAAACCCTTGCAGAGACAGCCCTTTTTGATCCAAACTTTTCAAACCCGCCTCAATCCACCTTCTCCTGGAATCAAATTCTCGTTCAAAGCTCTGTTTCATAGATTCCTCAACAACCCTCAAAGCTTTCTCTTTTGACTCAAGTTCAGTGAGACATTCACGGAAAATATCCAACACCAGTTTAAGATGGCCTTCAGCATCTTGCCATTCAAGCATTACCAAATCCATCACCGTCTGTAAACCTTCTCTTTTTTCTTCGCCAAGTCTTGTGGCTTCAAATAGTTTCTTCAAAGATTCCATCTTTCCTTTTCAGGGTTTCAGTGACTTAAACCCTTTCTTTTCTCTCTTTCTTACTAGCGAACAAAGTAAAGCAGGTTTGAACGAAAAAAAATAAAAGTAAAGCAGGGCCGATTATATCAACCTCCCTCATATTTGACAATTCTAATCAATTAATCCCCATTAACACAATTTGAGCTAATTATCAGTAACCATAAGTTAAGTCATATGATAATTCAGTTTGTTACTTAAAAAAGTGAACTATATGTGTAATAAGCTCCAATCAAAATTGAATGGTTCACAAATCTTATCCATTTGAGAGCCACTATTGTCATTGCCATTTGAATTATCGACTGAATCGTTCAATTTACAAAATCAGGATTGCTTATTTTGGTCATTTTACTTTCTTTGAACAATATTGTGTTGACGAGTGTTCATTTTTTATTTTATTTCTTTGTGTATGTACTCACGTCAATGGAAATTAAAATGAAAAACAAAAATTGCATTATGCTATACTCACACTGTGAAATGGGGTTAGGATAAGAAGAGCTGGACCTTAAAATTAAAGGGAAAATTAATGATATATTATCTTTGTCACGAAATTATTGTTCAACTTTAATTTTCAGTTTTTGTCCAAATTAAACTCGAAATTAAAATCCAAATTAGACTATAATTTTAGGACGGAAGTCGGAGGGGGTACTAATTCCGGTACAACTCATTTGATAATCACCATTTCAACCCTTTACAATTTGATTATGTTTACTTTTAGACTTTAGAATTTGAAACTAATGAAACAAGAGAAATAGAGAAGATCACCAAACAACACAGGGCAGATTTTGACTGAGAAATGGTGACACCAGAAATTCTTCTTCCACTACCACCAAAACCACACGAAAAAACCTTACTACTTCAACAAAACTAACTTTTCCTGTTGGAAACCTGATTTGGGGAAGCATTTGGGGTGAAGTTCAAAAATGAAGTCAGGAATCCCTCCTCCATCAATGCAGGTTCTCTTAACATTGGGCACTTTGTGAGAGAACCTGTATAAACTAGTTTCCGGCAATTCGAAACTCGTATCCTCATCCTCGGCACCATTCTTCTTGCTTCTCCGCTTAAACAGATTCACAAACCCTGTGATTCTGTCCAAGTAACCAACTCTTATTCTGAAACATGGAGATGTAGCCCCCATGAAGAACAACAGTTGAAAAAATCTCCACAATCTCGCATTCTCTTTCGCCTTGTAGCCATTTCGTGATGTCCCAATGTTTGTAGATTGCCCAAGTTTCACCCTCACATGGAAGTATTCAAGTATCACACAAGGACGTTGTCGTTTGCATATGATCCGATGAGAGAAATTGTCGGGAGATTCGACACTTGTATCCCCCTGTTGAAATATTCCACAAGTGGCCGGAAACCCGGCAGCAATCCATTCTTTGTCGCCTGAATATACCGGAAAAGGTTTTAACCGTGTAACCTCAACCATAACTTGTTCATGACCTTTGTCAATGTAGTTAAGAACCTGGGCGTATGTTCTTGGCATCTTATCTTTTGCATCAAAACACGCCCAAATTTCTCCAACATTAATTCTTCTTGCAGGGTTTTCCTTCTCGGGACTCGTGAAACATGGATCAAGAACTGTGATATCTTTAGGCATTCCTAAATAACCACCAACAGAAATGAATAAGAAATTGGACTAATAACAAACAGTTTACCTATAGGTATGTGAAATAACATTCAAGAACAATAGATCAAACACAGAATTACCTGATTCTTCAAGATCAGGAGACTTAGCACGCTTGTTGCCACTTTCTTCTTCCAAGTTCATCTCTTTGTCAGCATCACAAACTCTTTTCCTTCCAGCCATCTTATCAAAAAAGCTTCTCTTTAGAAGCAACCTCATTTTCTCTGTTGTTTAGCTCCTTTTCTCTTGCCTCCAAAATTATCCCTTTAGAATCAACCTCACTTAATGATTAATTTCAACTTTCTCCTTCGAATCAATTTCTAGTTTTCTTCTCTCCACATTTCGTTCCATCTCATCAACTTTAGTTAGCCTCAACTCCAAATTCTTCTCTTCTGCATCCATCTGATCTTCTCTGCACCTTAAAGTTCCCTCCTTTGAGTCAACCTCTGTCTCCATTTCCTCCATTTGCCTCTGTTTCAGTTTCAGGGCACCATGGATTTCCTCCTCTACCAGAAGAAAATCCTCAACCCTTTTCCCGAATTGAGTTTCCTCGATTTCTATTTCCCGCAGAGCCCCATTCCGAGATAGCCGTTTCTCATCCAATCTTTGTAATCCCGTCTCGATCCACCTTCTCCTGGAATCAAACTCTTTCCAACAACTCTGTTTTACAGATTCTTCAAGAACCCTCAAATATTTCTCTTTTGACTCAAGTTTACCGAGACATTCACGAAACGTATCCAGCACCAGTTTAAGATGGCCGCCAGCTTCCTGCCATTCAAGCATAACCAAGCTCATTGCGTTGTGCATACCCTCTATTTTTTCTCCATCATCAGGACTGTTGGCTTCGGATAGTTTCTTCAAAGATTCCATTTTTATGTTTCAGAGTTTTCAGTGGCTTCTTTTAGTATTCTTAAGCTATGATCTCTGAAGTAGAGCTTTGGCTCTTGTATTGAGAAATTGAAATTCAGTCAAACTTTACAGCCAGGCTGATTCAGTAAAAGCACGTTCTGTGACAGTAGTTGAGTAATTTGGTTAAATTGCATCTACCTCCCTCATTCGAAGTTATAATCAATTAATGCCTAAAAAATTAAAAATAACTGTTACATTACCGCAGTTTGTCAATTTTTATTTTTTCACTGGTGAAGTTTTGTTTTGTTTTTTTTTTTTTTTTTTTTTTTTTGTGATAAGTTCTTGTCACCTATTCTTGGGTTATCATATGAATTTGCGCCTATGGCAAAGTGAAAATTGTGCATTCAAAGTGACTAAGTTAAATTTTACTCCACCCTTAATCATAGGTTGAAGGTTAGAACTTCACCATAAGTATGGAGCAACCTTAAATACTTTGACCAGTTATCCCATCCATCGAGGTGCCTACAATTCAGTGAGGAGAATTAGTTACTGTTGCCGACGGTAAACACCCTGCAAATATGAAAAAAAAAAAAAAAAGTGACTAAATTAAATTTTGCAGCGAATAATTTGATGGATATAGAGACAAGTTGTCATGAAAATTTTGATGATTAACCTTTAGATGTGACGACATTTGTTCTGTTTCGCTATTTTAATGGAGACTGGTTATAGATTAGATGTATGTTTATAAAGTCCTGAATAGAACGAAGTACTCGGCGTTTGGGGTTAAGGGGTTTTGCAACCTTTATACTCACCAAAACTAAAACACACCTTCCATTATTTATCTATTTTCAAAATTATATTTGATATTCTCGTCATGGACATAAAGTAACATTAAATACTTTGGTTAGCTGTATCATCTGTCGAGGTGCCTACAATTCAACGAAGGAGATTAATCAATGTTGCCGACAGTGCATACCCTACAAATATAAAAAATAAAAATAAAAAATATTTGATATTCTCCTCTCATGTGCCTGTGTGCGAAGTCTTATTTTGATAGTCATTTATTGTTACTATACTAATAACGAATTAACCTCGTGTGAGTAATATAATACAGAGTATAGTTGACGTTGAAAAGATGAATATTACTTGATGAAGGTCAAATCCGTCAGGATGGCGATCCGATGATGTTCATAGATCTAAGACCTGCAAGACAAGGATTAACCTTCCGACGAGCAAGTTAGTCCCGGAAGTGATAGTATAAAGCTTATGAGTTAAGAAGGGAGTAGAATGACCATACAAATAGAGTATATATAGAGATGAGGTGGGGAATATTCTTTCCTTGGTTTAACGGGCTTGGGCCCTTCCTAGGACTTCTAGCGGCCCATTAGATAGTATAGGAGTGGTTCCTAGCCCAAGAATAGTGGTTGGGCTCAATCATAGGTCCATGGTCCATCATTACTATTGCTATTTGAATATGTTTTCCCCTCCGTTCACGAAATTTTATGGTTGGTTTTTTTTTTATGGTTTTTTTTATATTTTATTATTATTATCTGTCACATCTTATCATACTTTTTTACATTTGCAATACATCTTTTTACATTCTCAATACAAAAAACATCTAAAAACACATACTAAAAAAAACAATCCAAACATACTATTTATTACCCAAGTTTTCATTTTCTTAGTATTTTCATATTATTACCAAACAAATTGTTAAAAAAAAAAATTGAAACAAAAAATGTAAAATTAATTTTAATGAATTCCCACCAATATATATATATATATATATATATATATATATATATGTATGTATCATCGTATCAACAACCTTTTTGCCTCCCGACTCAAGCACATGTACAAAGAAACTAAGTTTAGTTTGCAGTATATTTCCTTGCCTCTCAAACGAGATCCATATGATGCGGCCATTGTCGATTGTTAGAATCTTTTAAAGGATCACGATTCTATTGGTGTTATGTAAATTAGGAGTATAGTTATATCATTGCTTCAAGGTTTATGCCTTCATTATTGTGTAAAATGAAAACATCTTAATTTTCATTCGTTGTTTTTGGTGCTCACTGCTCAATATAACTGCACCAACTGAAGAATACGTCGCAAATGAAAATAATTAAATAATGAACTCAAGTAAAGTTATACTATGATCTAGAAAAGGTGTAGCGTCACATTTTTTTTTATATATTTTATTTTCGACTGCTTTCTAGCTAGGTTATGGGAAAGAAAAGTCGACATCTTCTAGAAAAATTAGTTTGTCACTACACACAAAGTGGCAGTATGCCGTATTCATTGACCTCAGCAAAACTTGAACTGGAGCAATCGTGGTATTTTTTATTTTTTTTTAAATTCAAATCATGTTACTTTTCTGATTGCTCATGAGATTCCTCCATATAAGGAGATTACCAGACTGAAAGGGAAACCCATTTAGGATTATTATCATTCTCATGGAGCAGAACAAGAAACTTCTGAGGGTGCTAATGTTGCCATGGTTAGCTCATGGCCACATTTCTCCATTCTTAGAGCTTGCCAAAACACTAACCACCCGAAACTTCCACATTTACATATGTTCCACCCCTGTAACACTCGCTTCCATCAAGAAAAAAGTCGATAAGAATTACTCCGGTTCCATTGATTTGGTTGATCTCCATCTTCCATCTTCGCCGGAGCTTCCACCTCACTTCCACACCACAAATGGGTTGCCTCCTAAACTCATGCCGGCCCTCAAAGAAGCATACGAAAAGTCCGCCCCTGAATTCTCAAAAATCGTTTCCGATCTCCGTCCTGATTTGGTGATTTATGATTACAATCAGCCTTGGGCGGCGGAGATTGCGTCGTCCCTGAATATCCCTGCTGTTCAGTTCCTTACAGCAAGCCTTGTTTTTGTGTGTTATGCCTTACACATGGTTAATAATCCTGGAGAAAAGTTCCCTTATCCTGAAATTTATCTCAGGGATTATGAGATGAAGAAGCAGGATGAAGCTAAGCTTCAACTCACGGATGAGGACCTCAAGGACAGAGATGCGGCGATTCAAGCTATGTTTCGATCCTACAAGATTGTGCTGAGTAAATCTTTTAAAGAGATTGAAGGGAAGTTCATAGATATGTTCTCTGCTTTCTCCAATAAGAAAGTTGTCTCAGTTGGGCCTCTTGTCCAAGATGTTACAACAACTGATATTGATAATGATGAGGATGAAGAAATCAGGGAATGGCTTGACCAAAAGGAAAAGGGTTCTGTTGTTTATGCTTCTTTTGGCAGTGAATACTTCTTGACCAAGGAGGAAAGGCATGCAATTTCATTAGGCCTGGAGCTCAGCAACGTCAATTTCATCTGGGTTATCAGATTTCCGGTGGGCGAGAACAAAATCACCATTGAAGAATCCTTGCCTGAAGGTTTCCTGAACAGGGTCGGAAACAGGGGAAAAATTTTGCAAGGATGGGCTCCTCAGGGGAAGATTCTGAAGCATCCCAGTACGGGTGCTTTTTTGAGTCATTGTGGGTGGGGCTCTGTTATGGAAAGCATGAGTTGTGGCGTTCCGGTGGTGGCTCTGCCGATGCATATTGATCAGCCGCTGAATGCTAGGTTGTTGACGGCGGTCGGAGTTGGGGTGGAAGCCGTCAGAGATGACGGAGGGAATCTGCGGAGTGAAGAGATTGCGAGAGTGATAAGGCAGGTTTTGGTGGATGAAAATGGTGAAGATGTGAGGAGGAAAGCTAAAGAGATGAGTGAAATAATGGAGAAGAAAGGAGATGAAGAGATTGATAACGTTGCAGAGGAATTACAAGGACTTTGCGAGAATAAACAATGAAGCAATTATTGTCAGTCTTTTTTTTTTCATCAATTTCTTTCCAAAATTGAAAATTATGCTGAAATTTCCACTGATTTACATTTACATGTAACTTTTTCGAATATCCCTTTCTTTTCTGTTAAAGAATGATTGGTCCAAAATTGGTGATGTCGCATCACAAGATTCACAAACTTGATCCTGGTCGGAGAGGAACCAATTTGACTACGACTCTACACTACACAGTGAGGAAAAAGCTCCTTTGACTTGTCTGAATAAGGAGTTTTGGCTCTAGGAGTCTAGTGTACACGTACTTTTTTTTGGGGGGCGTTACTAGGAAGGACCGAAGGAGATGCCATTGTAACCTTGTGAGTTGGTAATGTTCTTGAAACCTCAAGACTCTAGTTACATCATGAGCTCCATTATGCAGTGGCGGAATCACTCCATTTGTTTTTATTGATGTAAAAAAGGGTAAATAAATCCAATTTTGACGAATCCTGGTTACTTAAGTTTATAGGAACCACTAAGCAAATACTAGTACACGAATAATTATACTAAGGAATCAAATATAACCCACTTAGTTTGGTGGTGTATCTCTCGGAGGTTCTGGATTCGATTATCTTTGGATGTATAAATATATATTTTTCGGTACAGGAATAGAGGTAACAATCTAAAGACAATTATACAAGTATATTTTAAAGATATGTTACCCCAATCACATCATGCTCTAATCAAGGCTTTATCTCGAACGGTAGAGCTTCAAGCCAAAACAATCCAAGGCCCTTGAGCTACTAACAACGCCAGATAATTGGCTACAAAGTTTAACTCCCTATACTTATGCTTCAATTCAACCACCCAATTCAAGGTCCAACAAATCCCGAATGTGCGAACAATGTTCGCATTCAATCCCAAAATATCATCATTTCATTGCACTTTGATTATCAACTTCCGCTATCAGTTTGCATCCGCCAATCTCCCATACTAGCGTCAAGGTTTGAAACAATCCTCATAATTTAGCTCCCGTAATAATGCAATACCCGATATTCATCACGAACCCTCCGATCCATCGACCATAATGATTTCTCCGGCACTCGCCATCCCTGAGTCTCGATCAAAACTTCCGTCAAAATTAACTTTCATCCATATAATTAAATAATTAGCCGATCACACCTAATGAAAAAAAAAGATTATTGTTGTTGTTGTTGTTGCATATAATTAAATAATTAAATATTTAAGATAGGGTTTGAGGGAAAAAGGTAATTAGGATTGAAATAGGTAGTTACCCTATGTATATTAATAATAATTCCATTAATTCATTTGTAAAATAATAATAATAATAATAATACTAATACTAATTCCACTTATTCGTTTGTTTGAGGAAGCGAAAAATAGTTAAAAGTGAAAATGAAAAAGCACTTTGACAAAGTAGTAAAGAGCAAAGACGACCACACCAGTAGCTTAAGTGTGATGAGGGTTTGAATAATGGAATGACATTCTGTAGAGATGGAAATACTTGCAAAAAGTTTTATTTCATTAAAACTAAAACTATATTGTAGTATTTTCTTCACAAAACTCAACCGTAATATGATATAACTTTGTTTTCAAAGTATTTTCTTCACTTCACGGTTATATAATACTACTTCTGTTCCACAAAAATAGTCCACATTGAGTTTTCAAATTTGTACTAAAAATAATACAAAACTCAAAACTCAAGTTGAACTATTTTTCTTTTGGACGGAGAGAGTATAACTTTGTTCTCAATGTCTTGTTTCCATACTACTAATAAAGGGTTAATGTATCTTTTACGCTCGACTTAATCGTCAAAATTTTCATCTTTTCCCTCTTGCCCTAACGTCTTGACTGGCCGGGCAACATATGTCTTTTGACAAAGGCGTTTTAACTTTCAAGATTGATGAAAAATCGCACACAAAATAGGATCTTTGAGAGTTTCTCCCTAATTTTGTCAGATGTACCTTCCCAATTACAACATCAATCAGTCAACAATATACTACAAGTACAAAGCATTGTAGTACAACAATATGAAACTATTTTGTATGGGAACGAAGGAAGTAAAAAAAAAAAAACAATTTGAATGGATGAAGAAATGGCTTAATGAAGAGGAAAAATACTTCGTCGGGAATTACTTTTTCTGACAGAGAAATAATAATTCGGGTACAAGTGCATCAATCTCTTCGTCCCCTTTTCTTTCCAACGCTTCACTCAATTCCTTGGATTTCTTCCTCACATCTTCACCACTTTCATCTACCATCACCTTCCTTATCACTCTTGCAATTTCTCCACTCTGCAAATCACCACTTTCATCTCTGACGGCTTCCACCCCAACTCCGACAGCTTCCACCACCCTTGCATTCAATGGCTGATCCAATTGCATTGGCATGGCGATGATTGGAACCCCCCACACTATACTTTCCATTACAGAACTCCATCCACAGTGACTGACAAAAGCGCCGGTGCTCCGATGTTTCAGAATTTTCGCCTGAGGAGCCCATCCTCCGACGAGTTTTCCCCTGTTTCCGACCCTGTCTAGAAAACCTTCCGGCAAGGCTTCCTGAACGCTGATTCTCTCTCCCTTTGGAATTCGAAGAACCCATATGAAATTCACGTTGCTGATCTCCAGTGCTTCTGAGATTACATCTCTTTCCTCCTTGGTCAAGAAGTACTCGCTGCCAAACGAAGCGTACAAAACAGAGCATTTTTCCTTCTGGTCAAGCCATGAAATGATTTCTTCATCCTCATCTCGATCATCTTCCGGGGTTGATTCTTGCACTAGAGGACCAACTGGAACTACTTTTTTGTTAGCTGCATCGGACAAGACATTAAAAAACCTACCATCAATTTCTACTGATGATTTAACCAGCAAGATTTTCTGGGATTTTTCCACAGCCAGATGGAACCTTTCTCTGTCGCTGACATTATTAAATTCAACATCACCAATGCTTCTAAGTTTCATCAGTTCGTAGTCCCTGAGATAAAGTTCCGGGCAAGGGAATTCTTTCCCAAAATTCTTCATCTTATAAACGGCATACGACCCCAGAGAAGCGCCGGCAGTCATGAACTGAACCGCCGGAATATCCAGAGACCAAGCGATTTCCGCAGCCCAATACTGATTAAAGTCATAAATCACCAGATCAGGAAGCAGAGAAGTCAGAAAATTAGTGAACTGAGGGATTGACATTTCATAGGCTTTTTTCAGAGAGATCATCAGATGGGGCGGCAACCCGTTAGTGGTATGGTACTGAGAAGGAAGCTCCGGCGAGGATGGAAGATGGAGCTCAACCAATTCAATGGAACTGGAGTATTTATCAGTGACTTTTTTCTTGAAGGAATTGAGAATTACAGGGGTGGAACAGATGTAAATGTGGAAGTTTCGGGTTGCAAGTCTTTTGGCAAGCTCTAAGAAAGGAGAAGTGTGGCCATGGGCTAACCATGGCAACATCAGCACTTTCAGTACTGCATTTTGCTTGTTCTCCTCCATGAATCAAGCTTGAACCAACGAAAATCAAAATCAAAATCTTCCAATTTTCCAGTTACGAGTATCTGGGCTGGAACTACAAACTATAAATTGATGGAATGTATAATGGAATCATAGGTCAACCTTGAAATTAACCACCTACTATTACATTATTGTAATGGTTACTGTTCCACAACGTGGACGCAGACAACGAAATTAAGAATTTAAAATAACACCTAATTAGAATACGAAATTGTTTATCAATTTTGGCACGCTTGTTTACTTGGAGTATTTGGATGCTCAATAATGCATTTCTTTTTTCAAGAAAAGAAAAATAAAAAATGTGATTAATTTGCTTGTGTTATGTTCTGTAATCTTTGCTTATGCACTTCCAACTTCACAGTGTTTGATTAATTGATTGGTAGACCAAAAAAGCAAAAAAGGACACTGCGGAATATGGATGACAACTGCCTTTTTCTTAAAATCCTGCGCCTAATGAACAAAATTATTGAATGGGAAAAAGAACCATTATGACTACTTTTATTATTTCTTCTGAATAAGACCTAATAATTCATCTGTAAGTGCATCAATCTCTTCATCACCTTTTCTTTCCAATGTTTCACTTAATTCCTTGGATTTCTTCCTTACATCTTCGCCACTTTCATCCACCATCACCTTCCTTATCACTCTTGCAATTTCTTCACTTTGCAGATTACCATTTTCATCTCTGACTGGTTCCACGCCAACTCCGACTGCTTCCACCACCCTTGCATTCAGCGGCTGATCAATATGCATCGGCATGGCGATAATCGGAACTCCCCAAACCATGCTTTCCATTACAGAACTCCAACCACAGTGACTCACAAATGCGCCGGTGCTCGGATGTTTCAGAATTTTGGCCTGAGGAGCCCATCCTTCAACGAGTTTTCCCCTGTTTCCGACCCTGTCTAGAAAGCCTTCCGGTAAGGCTTCCTGAATCCTGATTTGCTCTCCCTGAGGAAATCTAATAACCCATATGAAATTAACGTTGCTGAGCTCCAGAGCACGTGAAACCACATCTCTTTCCTCCTTGGTCAGAAAGTACTCGCTGCCGAAAGAAACGTACAGAACAGAGCCTTTTTCCTTGTGGTCAAGCCATGAAACGATTTCTTCATCCTCATCTCGATCGTCTTCAGGAGTTGGTTCTTGGACAAGATGACCAACAGGGACTGCTTTCTTGTTAGTTATTTCAGACAAAAGATCAAAATATTTACCATCAATTTCTGGGGAGGATTTAACCAGCAAGATTTTCTGGGATAGTTCCACCGCTCGGAGGAACCTATCTCTGTCGCTGAGGCTATTATTATATTCAACCTCATGTTGACCCTTCATCTTGTTCCACTCGTAGTCCCTGATATAAAGTTCTGGGTAAGGGAATTCTTTCCCGGGATTCTTCATGAAGTGTAGACCAAAAGAAATTATTGATGCGCCGAAAGTCATGAAATGCACCGCCGGAATACTCTTGGACAGAGCAATTTCCGCAGCCCAGTATTGAATGAAGTCATAAACCAACAAATCAGGTTGCAAAGAAGTTAGAATATCGGTGAACTGAGGGACTGACATTTCATAGGCCTTTTTAAGAGTAATCATGAGATGGGGCGGCAACCCATTTGTGGTGTGGTAGTGAGGAGGAAGCTCCGACGAGGAAGGGAGGTGGAGCTCAACCAATTCAATCGAACTGGAGAATTTTTCAGTCACTTTTTTCTTGATGGAATTGAGTAGAACAGGGGTAGAACATATGTAAATATGGAAATTTCTGGTTGCTAATCTCTTGGCAAGCTCTAAGAATGGAGAAGTATGGCCATGGGCTAACCATGGCAACATAAGAACTTTCACAAGTTTGCTGCTTTGCTTGTTCTCCTCCATGGATATCACTGAATTCAAAAACCAAATCCAAGTGATGAATGGTGATGATATCTTTCTTTTTCTCTTCTTCTTTTTGTCTTAGTTTTTTCTGGATTAAATATGAATAATGGAATGATAGGTCAATTTTGCACCACCAAAATGTATTTGTTACTGGTTTATAAATTTACATGCAAACAAGGATGCTGATGTATATGAATACGTGGATATAGACAACAATTTTGAAGTTTTGTATATTCTGGTTTTCCTTTTCTTCGCCAATTGACAAAAAGCCGACAGTTGGCAAGATTTGGCGTCGCCGAAACCAAGAAGGGCGGCTATTCTAATTGGACGCCCCACGATAATTTTTTTTTTTCTTTTACATACAACTATTTTTTTATATTACTAACATTTATTATATCAGAACTGGGGTCTTCGATGGAAATATAAAAAATGGAGAAAAAGAGAGGGGAATGTCAAATTGAGTAATCCAATCTAGATTTTTTTTTAGAATGGTACCTGTATTAATTAAAAAAAGAATACATATGCTATTACATCGCATCCTATTATATACTAAATTATGCATGTCTTGAACATCATTTCTGCTTACTTTAATCAGTTTGCAGAATTCAAAAGAAGCTATTAAAGAAATTAATAGATCAATTACTACTTGTACTTCTGCCGGGAATTGCGCCTCCCTGAGATTAGTAGCTAAGAGCTCACAATCCGTTTAAATCTTAACCCGTGTGATTCCAAGATTTGATGCTTGTTGTAGTGCTGCTAGGCAAGTCATGGCTTCAGTTTGGAACGGAGAAAGAGCACGAAGATCTATGGACTTTAACTGCATTACCATACCATGTGGTGAGATTATTTTCCAAGCTCCTGCAACTACTCTACTAGTTGGATGAAATGAGCCATCAAACATGATGACAGAGATTGACACAAGTTGCTCATGATCACGAATCTCAGGGCTATGTAACTCCCCTCCTCGATGTCCAAGCGGATTAATACGGCATAGGGACTATTTATGTACCTAAAATTCTGACTGTATAAGTGTTTAAGATACCGAAGAACTATGAACTTGATTTTACCAAACTTTATCATTCGGCTCCATCCAGATTCTCCAAATAATGATAAGAAAAAAATCCACATCTGATTCTGTGGGAGTACTCTGTATCCACTGAATAAACCATTGGAACAAGGAACTAGTTCCACAGTTGACTATTGAGCTGAAGGTGGCCGGGGGCAAGCGCCCGATAGCTTGTGAGACTTGGCAATTGACAAAAAGATGAAAACTATCCTTTTCATGACATTCACATCTAGGGCATGTGGTCTCAATCGGGATGCCTCTTTTGTTAAGTCCCTCCCTTGTTGTTAGTGCATTTAGCAAAACTCTCCAGAAAAGCATCTTTATTTTTGGCTGCACTGATGAGTTCTAGAGTCTTTTCCAGGCCAATGTCTCAGTGATAAACATTACTGTATTCCTCCACAAAATGCTCTTGGTGAGTACGCTGCACTGTAAGGAAGAACTTTGGACCAGGCGGCCACTGTGGAAGAACTACGCCGAATTTTGGACTCGGAGTACTAGCAAGTCCTAGTTCTAGAAAAAAAGTCAAGAGAAGTTATTCTCTCTCATGATTACAGAAAGAAATATGGAGAAAACAATGAAACTAGCATATTATGGCTTCCAAAGTCTAGCCTGACTAACCCATTATGCAATACTTTATGGCCTCACACATAATTAAGGGAACCATTAAAAGGTGACTAAAATACATTTTGGTGACTACCCGAACTAATAATGGAGGCAAGAATACTTTACGGCCAAGTCCCATTCATTAATCATAATGATACCGTAAAATGCTGCACAGTTTAGCCTGATTATCCCATTATGTATTACTTTATGGCCTTGCACATAATTAAGGGAGCCATTGAAAGGTGACTAAAACACCAAAACCGCAATTACCCGAGCTAATAATAGATGCAAGAACACTTTACGCCCCAAGTCCCATATATTATTTGATTATAATGATACCGTGGAAACGCTGCACGATTTAGATTTTCAGTTTTAATACAATTTTAAGAGGAAGAAAATAATTTATAATTGTGCTATACATTTCTTTTTCAACGTCAAAATTCGCAATAAAATTATTGGAAGTAATACTATGGTGGGGAAAGATACTACAAAGTGGTGACCATTAAAGAAGTTATATTTTGTGATAAAAATTATGCCACTCTTCAGAGGTTTCTAGATATTTGGCATACAAAAAACACAGTAGTCCGTATTCAAGAGAAAATCACACAATGAATGATATGGCGTGGTCAAATCACTACGAATTCATTTGACAAAGTCGTATCAACTCTTCAGTGAGACTGTTAATCTCCGCATCCCCTTTCTTCTCCAGAGTTTCACTCAATTCCATGGCTTTCTTCCTCACATCTTCCCCACTTTCTTCCACCAAAACCTTCCTTATCGCTCTCGCAATTTCCTCACTCTGCAGATTCCCTTCGCCGTCTTTAATGGCTTCCACACCAAATCCAACCGCTTCCACTAACCTGGCATTCAACGGCTGATCAATATGCATCGGCGCCGCGACGATCGGAACCCCCCATTTCACGCTTTCTAAAACGGAACTCCATCCACAGTGGCTCAAAAACGCTCCGGTGCTGGAATGCTTCAGAATCTTCGCCTGCGGTGCCCATCCTTGAACGATTTTCCCCCTGTTTCCGATCCGGTCGAAGAACCCTTCCGGCAGGGCTTCTTCCACGGTGGTTTTTTCTCCCAATGGAAATCTGACGACCCAGATGAAATTCAGGTTGCTGAGCTCCAGCCCTTTTGCAATTACATCCCTCTGTTCCTTCGATAAAAAGTATTCACTTCCAAAAGAAACGTAAACAGCAGAACCCTTTTCCTTTTGATCAAGCCACTCCATGATTTCTTTGTAATCATCATCTTCTTCTTTGTTGGTATTGAAATCTTCGACTAGAAGTCCGGTGGGGACAACTTTTTTGTTGGACGTTTTTGATAGGAAATCCATGTATTTGCCTTCAATTTCTCGAGAAGCTCTGACTAACAAGATCTTGTGGGATTTTTCCGTAGCTCCCACAATCCCGGCAACGTCAACCTCGCCGGAACCAAGATTTTTGGCCCAATAATCCCTGATGAAAATCTCTGGGAAATCATCTGCCGGCCTTCCGCGAAAAGCCACAAACGCTGCGCTAGCAGCAAGGAACTGAACTGCCGGAATCCCCTGTTCCGAAGCAATCCGAGGTGCCCAGTCCTGAATATAATCGTAAATGACCAAATCCGGCTTGAGGGATTTGAGAATATCGGAAAACTGTGGGCTTGCGGCCTTATAGGCTCTAAGCAGAAGGGTCATGAGATGGGGTGGGAGGCCATTGGTGGTGTGGTAATGAGGTGGAAGCTCCGGCGTGGATGGAAGATGGTACTCAACCAATTCGATTGAACTGGACAATTTCGCAGGGATTTTCTTCTTGATGGATGCAAGATTTACAGGAGTGGAGCAGAAATAGATGTGGAAATTTCGGATGGCTAATCTTTTGGAAAGCTCTAAGAAAGGAGTACTGTGACCATGGGCTAGCCATGGCAACATCAGAGCTTTCAGAGTTTTTGAGTTTTGCTTTCCGGCCTCCATGATTGATCAACCCAGCTGCAAAAGAACGGATTCCTCAATAAAAATCTCCAGATTTTCAACTTCTCTCCTTTATTGAGTATGGAATTTATTGGTGGTCGACGGTGAGGATGTTTGATTAGTCTAAAAGTTAAAAAGTATTGAGCATATCAGCTCAACCATTCACCAAATGCATTTCTTCTAGAAGTGATTGACCGATTATACTTAAAAATTGACTCCACTTTCTAGAATCCTAGTCTTCATTGGTGCTTGGGTAAAAAGGTTAACGTTTCTTGGTCGACTTTGATGAACTTTGTCTCCCCGGAGGACAGGAAAACTACACCAATGTATTCACACTCTCCGTTTCAGGCTCGAAAATGTCCTGTTTTTCTCATCCCTAATTAATTCCTCCTGGCTAATTGATGCCTGCTTTCAAAAGGTTGACCAACGGGGCCAGTGTATGGGGTCATATGACTTTTGCGGATCCCCCCTTATGTGAAATCTTGGCTTTTGCATGATATAATGGGAATTTCGTACTCCCGGATTGTAATAGACTAGAATTAGGCTATGCCTCCATCTTTGTACCAAATAAAAAAATCTTGGTCGTTTAGCGTATGACTTTCTCCGTCTCAACACGAATGCAACTCTATAGAGATAACAAACAAGAGGATCATGATTTAAAGACATGAAGACTTGCACAGAAGTAAAGAAACTTTTTTTTTTCCTTTTTCTTTTTTATAAAAAACGAATACTTGATACTGAATAAAAAATACTGAATTCATTAAGCGATTACCAAATAAGTAATAAACTAACTTTTATTACTTATATTTTGTACTGTATTTTTAACGCACTTGATTCATTAAGAGGTTTATTTTTCATTATCAGACATGTTTAAATGAAAAAATAATTAATTAAATTATTTTAAGTATTAAGTAATGTTATCAAATAGGGCAAAGGACTTGTGAAAAGCTTCGCTAAGGTTTCAACTTTCAAGAACGAGCTCCATGAAAACGAAGAAATCAAATTGGAAAAATTTTGTATTACTGATATTTTTTATTTTTTTATTTTTCCTTTTGGGGGCAATGAAAAGAGGCAAAACCCCTATAACATCAAATAAAATAGACTATGATAATGGATAAAAAAAGACATAATAATCCATCAAAACTAATCACATCTAAGGAAACTAAGAAATTCGCCCGTTCTCTTCATGATAAATCTCAAAAATATGAACTACTCTATTTAAAAATCTTAATGTGTGAAAACTAAAATCAAAGAGTATTTGGTACCGAGTACCGTGAACCATCTCTTTATCCATTGCCGTAACATCATCGTTGCAGACAAGATCAATTGTATCTGGACCGCTAATATTGTTGTAAAAAATAGTGCTTAATTTTAAATGATTAATACTGAATTAGAAATACTGAATTCATTAAGTAGTTCAGAATAAGAAATAAGTTAATTTTTATTGTTTATATTTTGTATTGCAGTTTCTGCACCACTTAATTTATTAAGAAATTCATTTTTTTTATGGTCAAATGCTTAAATGAATGAGTACTTAATATAATAATTTTAAGCATTAAGTGACTGTTTGATAAAAATTAGTGCTTAATTCTGAATGATTAATACTGAATTCATTAAGCAGTAACAACATAAGTAATAAGCTAAATTTTATTATATATATTTTGTATTACCGTTTTAATACCACTTAATTCATTAAGAGATTTATTTTTTGTTATCAAACATGCTTAAACGAATGAATACTTTTTTTTTATTATTTTATATATCGGGAAAGCATAAGTGCTTAGTTACAAAATACATGTGATATTAAAAGCTAGTTTCTCCAGGATAGATGTCAGAGGTGTTGTCAAAATATGTAACCTCTCCGGCCAGAGTACCACAAATGTGCAAGGGAATCCGGTACTTAGCCCATACAACACTGCCCATAGTTCCGCTTCCAAAATAGGGTCCCCGATGTGGGCTGTAAATCCTATTATCCATTGACCTTCATGGTTCCGTATTACTCCGCCGGCTGTCGCCGCTTTCTATGCCGGTGATTCGGAGCCGTCCGCGTTAATCCGGATCCATTCCCAAGGGGGTGGTTCTCATCTGGAGTCTTCTGCTATTGATACGATGAGCGGATGAGTGGCTTTTTTGGTTCGAGAAGCTTGTTGGAGCGGATTATTTCTGCTACCGCCGCCATTGTTGCGTGGGCGATATCTCTGGAAGTGGTGTAGTTGCCGAAGAAAACTTCCTCATCGCTGTGTGCCCAGATTTTCCAACATGCAATTGCAAAGTATATCGGCTAACATGAATGCAATGGACTGGTGTAACAAACGTCGCCTTAGAATGCAATGGGCTTGCGGTGCTGTCTCATTTCTATTTAATTATGATTGATCACCAAAAATCTCAAAATTATTATGTCTTTGACTCAAATTTTTCTACTCTTACCCCCACAAGCATTTTTGACGTGTTGCCAGTAATTATTTTAGTATCAAGATTTGATATGTTTTGAACTCAGTAACTTGTGTTTTATTATTATAATTAAGAAGACACCTTATTTTCTTGAGAAACTATAAGATATTTATTATACATTTATAAAAGGAAAAACTTGATGATGGCGTTTACTATTTTTAAATTGTGGTATAATATTTTTTTCCTGAAATAAAAATTTAGCTATTTTATTGAATTGTACATATAATGAAAATTGAAATTATTGAAAGAGTATACTATAAATAATATATATAATATTCTTAAAATTACCAACTAAAATTATTCATCAACGTGTTATGACTGCCACTAAATTTTAGTAGAGCACTTGCAATTTTCGAAAACTAGTTTTGTCCCTACTTATGGCACAGGTGAACCGGCATATCGGATAGTCGAATCCAAGCCACAATTGACTTAATTTGATCACTTTCCTCATCAAAATCTTTTGTCTATGGTGGCACATGAAGGTAACGACTGGTTTTAACAAAAAAGGAAAAAAGAAAAAAAGGTAACGACTAAAGATGATCCAAGGACCACCGACTAATGCCTTTATTGATAATAATCATTGTTAACGACGTGTTTGGCGGGCATATATACAAAGTTAACCTAACTAACCCCTATTAGCAGAAATAATAAATAAGAAGCTAAGTCATCTTACAGCCAACTGAACAAATCTAACCCCAGGATCATATACAAAAAGTCAAAAACTTGATCTCATATCGGTGGGTTGCATTTTATCGTTGAAATCGTTGAACTTGATCTCCCAATGGCCATTTTGGTCCAGTTATGTTCGTGAAACATCAAGATGGTATAGAAATATATTACTTTTATTCCAAAAAAAATAACCTAATTTTAAAAATATAAATATTAAAATTCGACCTATGAGATTGTTATAACTTAAAATTAATTATTAAATTAATAGATAGTCAATTCGATTTCTCATATTAATTTTGCAAGATTACTAATCTAATTTTTATATTTTAATTTTCAAATAGGATTGTTTTTATGAGACGGAAGTTGTATTAAAAAATAAAATTTATAATCACTTATAACTATTCAAAAGCACCATTTCAAAAAGAAAAAAAAATATTCAAAGCGATCAATCCACAAGGATTGATTTATGGCTTTTTCATGATGTTGTTAGGATCTCGAGGATATATCCTCGTAATGTAATTTTTAAATCCTGAGGTGTGAGCTCATTCCTTCGCAACAGAAAAAAAAAAAAAAAGAAAAGAAAAAGAAAAGCAATCAATCCATATAATTAAAAGATGTGGTAAATAGACATACATCCAAAAAATTGGCTAATTTACCAAAAATTTTAAGTGCGTTGCTAATGTTACCCTATTATTTTTTTATTAGTCATTACTATCCATATCTATCAAACATTAGTTAATTTTGTCCAATTTTCGTCAAAATTAAAGAATTTTTGTTAGTTTTAATTATAAAAATATCCCGATAGTTTCAAAATTTATAAAAATGAGCCAAAAATTTTATAAATAACAAAACAATCTCTTTTTATTTTTATTTAATTTTTTCTGTTTTCTATTTTTCTTTACTACTTTTCACAACCATAAAAGTATATAGTATGATCTTTGAAGAAATATTTATTTATTTTTAAACTCTATTTTACATATTTATATTTACATATTTGTATCTCAAGGTTGATTTATATAAATTTAATTTTTTCAATAATATAGTTTATTAGTAATATACTATTTTGTTGATCCATTTTTTTCTTCCTAATATAATATAAAAAATAAGAATATTTAACTAAAATTAATTTTAACAAAAACAATTATTACAAAATGTTAATCCTCGCAATGATAAATATATTATTTATAAAATATTTTTTACCATTTTTGTAAATGCAACAATACTATATTCTTGTATTGGGTCAATGTAAAAACGAAATAGGTTTTTTTTTTATAACTTTCTGTTGGTACTTGGGATTTTAAAGAAAAAATATATTTTTTAATTTAATTATTTTTTTAAACAAAAATTGTATAATATAATCTATAATTTGTTGAGTTAAATTATAATATACTAAAGTATACCAAAAATTAATTTTTAATCAATGGCAAATATATATATTTTTTTGTGAAAAATTAGTTTTAGTTGAATAATTTTATTTTTTAGATTGAAGGAAAAAATGGATAAAAAAAGTATATATTAATAAAAACATTAATATGTTTATATAAATCAACCATGAGTTACAAATATGTAAATATAATTTTTTCAAGTATAGATTAAAAATGAATAAATTTATCTTTAAAAGATCATATAGTGTATTTTTATAGTTATGAAAAAATAATAAAAAGAAATAGAAAAAAAATTAAAATAAAAAGTGAAAGAGATCTTTTTGTTATTTTTACAAAGTTTTAGTATCATTTTTATATTTTTTAAAACTATTGAGATATTTTTGTTAAAACTAACATAAATTCATTAAGTTTATTGGAAATTGGGTAAATGAGACAAAATTGGCTAACATTTGATAGATAAAGGTAATACTGATTAACAAAAAAGAATAAAGTAACATTAACAATACATGTAAAGTTTTAAGTAGATCGGCCAATTTTTACTACAAGCATATATGAATTTACTTCACACGAGACAGTAAAATGGCAAATGCCACATGACATCACGTGAGGGCGTTACACCACAGTATATCCTTTTTTTTTTTTCGCAAAATCCCCATAAGTACTACGTTGCATAATACTAATTACTAAGTGCTTGTTTGGAAGTCAATTTCGTTTTCATTTTCAACTTGAATGTAGAAAGTATTTTTAAGTGGAAAACATAATAAAAGATGAAAAAGTTATTTAGATGGTATTTTAACAAAAAAGTTGTTTGGATGTTGGTTGGGAAATTTTTTTTTGAAATATATATTAAAATATCAAGTACAAAAAATATCACTAAATAATCAAAAAGTGTCAATTTTAGTCACTGTAAAAAAAGAACTTAAAAAATGATCACTAAACAACGGAAAAGTGTCGATTTTGGTCACTATAAAATGATCACTAAAATCACGGAATAGCTTTTAAAATTAATATTTTACAGTGACCAAAATCGACACTTTTCCGTTGTTTAGTGATCATTTTTTTTTCTTTACAGTGATTAAAATTGATGCTTTTCGATTGTTTAGTGATATTTTTCGTACTTGATATTTTAATACATATTCCAAAAAACTTTTTCCTAACCACCATTCGACTGGGCCTCGATTTTTTGACTAGAGGCAAACTAAAATAAATGTGCAAAGTTTTGGATTTAGTCACTGAATTATTTTTAGTTTAAAAAATGGTTACTGCACTAACAAAATGTTTCAAGTTTGATTTTAAAATGTAAATTAAAAAGTTATTTGGACGTTAATTTGATTTGCTTTGGATTTTATGTTTAAGAGGCAAAATGAGTTGAAACTACAAAATGAGTGAACGTCAAAACAAGCTTTTATACATTACCGCCACACTAGTACAGTTTTGGCAGGAATTAGACAAATAGAAGGTTTAAATTACAAACCACGTGAGACACTTTGTCACTATGTCTCTATCATTGTATGAAAGGATTGAAAACCATATTCAGCTCATCATAGAGGTTTTTGCGTAAACTTTAATCAATTTCAAATCACCATTCGGCAATAATTCATCTTATTTAAACCTTCTCCCAGCCTGTTGAAAAACCCAAATAGATCTCGCAATTTGACATCTTCCCCTGGCGATTCCCTATCTATTATTGTCTTTTTTGTTCATACATCTTTTTAAAATATGTATTCCAGATCTTGTTTCATTCAACGTGCTAACAGAGATCATTGGTTTCCACGTTACAAATTTTAATGCCAAATTCTGGAAACCAGCCCTACTTGTTCGCTTGATTTATTTCCGATTTCTTTTCCATAATTGTTGTAGGTACTACTTTTTTAGTTTAATCCTCTAATTGGCTCATTTGTCTGATAGTATTTAATTTCTTCCTCCTAGTTATGTGTTCTCCATCCATTGTTAGCAAATGGTTAAAAATCTTGCATAGAGAATTTCAAGCCCTTCTAGAAAAGCTGCACATGTAATAACGTCAACAAACTCAAAAAATAAAATAAAAATAAAAATAGAGATTGAAAATTTGAACCATACTTCCACTTCCATGATAAAAATATTCCAAAAGTCTGAGCAATATTAATAGTTTATTCAGGTCACCATATAGAAGAAGCCACCTCCACAATTTCAGAAAACCCAAAAAAAAAAACTAGGAACAGAAGAAGATCAGAAAGGGGACAACGAAATCATGGTGATTACGTCGTTCAAGGTGCTTATGTTTCCATGGTTGGCTTATGGCCACATTTCTCCAAACTTAGAATTAGCCAAGAAGCTCACGGACAGAGGATTTTCCGTCTACCTCTGTTCTACCCCTGTTAATCTTGGATTCATCAAGAACAAAATCACTGCCAAACATGCCGATTCAATTCATCTTGTGGAGCTTCATCTCCCTGAAAATCCAGAGCTTCCTCCACGTTACCACACCACCAATGGCCTCCCACCTCATCTCATGTCAACTCTCAAGAATGCTCTGTACAAGGCCAAGCCCAATCTTTCCAAAATCATGGAGGATTTGAACCCTGATTTGGTGATTTATGATGTCGTTCAGACATGGACGGGGAAGTTGACTTCCGACCTCAACATTCCGGCGGTCAAGTTTTCAACTTCCAGTGCGGCGATGATGGCGTATTTCTGTCACATGTTGATGAAGCGAGACGAGAAATTCCCTTATCCGGCTATTTATCTTTCGGAAATCGATTACGCCAGGGCTCGTACCGTTGGGGAATCTGCTAAAGCTGATGCGGAAGAACTCGACCCTGCAGAAGAAAGGCCGAATAGGTTCTGCGACAAGATCGTGCTGGTGAAGAGTTCTAAAGAAATCGAAGAAAAATACATGGATTATCTTTCCGAAGTAGCCAATTGGAAGACTATGGGAGTGGGTACTCTGTTTCAATCCCCTGTTTTTGGAGATGAAGACGAGAATAATGAGCTAATCCAATGGCTTGGGACTAAAAATGAGTGTTCCAGCGTTTTCGTGTCTTTCGGGAGCGAGTATTTCTTGACCAAGGAAGAAATGGAGGAAGTCGCATTTGGGTTGGAGCTTAGCAACGTTAATTTCATATGGGTCGTCAGATTTCCGGCCGGCGAGAAGATTAGGCCGGAGGATGCTCTGCCTGAAGGGTTCTTGGAAAGGGTCAAAGGAAGGGGCAAAATTGTGGAAGGATGGGCAGCACAGGCGAAAATCCTTGCTCATCCTAGCATCGGAGGATTTGTATGTCATTGTGGTTGGAATTCGGTGGTGGAAAGCGTCGAATTCGGCGTTCCGATCATCGCCATGCCGATGCATCTTGATCAGCCATTGAATGCTAGGTTGATGGTGGAACTTGGTTTAGCTGTGGAAGTAATGAGGAATGGAGAAGGGAAACTGGAAAGAGAAGTGATAGCGGAAGTGGTGAAAGATGTTGTGGTTGAAAAGTTTGGGGAAAATGCCAGGAAGAACATGGTGGATGTGAGACAAAGGATCAAACAGAGGGAAGATGAAGAGCTGGATGAAGTTGTTCAATTGCTGAATCGACTCTGTGAAGAAAAGCGCCAGAATGAGAAGTCATCCTCCTAAAATTAGCTATCTTTTGAACAAGAAAGTTGGAATGTTTTTTGTCCTTTCTGTATGAATTCAATTCATCCACAGATTCATGGGGCCATTTGTTGTGGTTGTAGACTTTGTAGCTCTCAAGAAGATTTCCACTACTCTTATTTGAAATTATTATTAACCAAAAAAAAGAAGAAGAAGAAATTATTATTATTATTGTTGAAGGAATTTGAAAGTCTCAATCTTTTAGAAAGTGGATTCAGTTGCATTAATCACAATTGTTTTCGAAGTTTCTCTTATCCTAATGACAAATTAATAACCTAAAAGGAAAAGGTCTACAATTCCCTTATGGTACTACTAATAGTGAGAGGGGATCCACAAGATACGTGAGGAGAAGTTGTAGAAATTGATGAGTATTAAAATCCTGTCTACTTATATTTTTTGAGAGATTTTTTTTTTTTTTTTCATAAAAATGTTTTTTTGGGTCGAATTAGAATTACTCAAAATAGTGAGTTTGGTACCACTTCCTCCGGTCCTTATTATAAGTAATTTTAATTTTTTATAAGTTTTATTTATCATGTTTTTAAATTTAAAAATAGACTTTATAATAATTGAGACACAATAAACGTGAAAATATAGTTTTAATATTTTGTTTTCAATTGCAAAAACAGAATAAATGAAATCTAAAGGAACTTAAAATAACTTATGTTAAGGACAGGAGTAATAGTATATTTATAAAAAAGTTTATTTGCCAAATAATGTTAGTATACTGTTAATTCAGCTTGGTGATGACAAAGTGATGAAGTGAATTCATATGTCTCAGCTCAAACTTTGTACATAGGTGGACTTTCTGGATACAAATTAGCCCAACAGAATTGCGACTTTTCCCTGGTCCTTTCATTTGACTTCTTTGCTCTATTACATTTCAAGAGGTGTACCCATCTCAAGAGTGTGATACATTCAACAGTCAACAATCACCATTATTGTAAAATTAAATGAAGAAATCCTGAAACCCACATCTTTTATCTTTTTTCCCCAGACGCTGTTGACCCATAATTGCAGCAGCATCAGTCAAACTCCTGCATAATTGAGTTTTGAACTAGAGTATACAAGAAGAGAAAGGCTACAGCTAACCGAGAAAGAAAGAAACCTCTCATCACTGAGGATTCAGACAAGATCAAAGGTGAATTCATGGGTACAAGAACAACTGGCAGTTCTGATCTTAAGGTTCTAATGTTACCATGGTTGGCTTATGGTCACATAACTCCCCATCTACAACTAGCCAAGAAACTGGTTGACAGAGAATCCCTCATATTCTGTTCCACCCCAGTTAATCTCATTTTCATCAAGAACAAAATCCCAGAAAAATGCTCTCCATCAATTCACCTGGTTGAACTTCATCTTCCTGACACCCCAGAACTTCCCTCTTCTTGCCATACAACAAATGGACTCCCACCCCCTCTCATGCCAAATCTCAGAACCGCTCTTGCCAGGGCAAAACCCAATCTTTCCGGCATCCTCAGGAATCTCAGTCCTGATCTGGTCATATACGATGTTGTTGTGTCCTGGACAGCATCGTTGACCTCTGCTCATGGTATTCCGGCAGTGAAATTTGCAACTTCTTCTGCAACAGCATTTGCACACGGTTGTCACTTAGCCATCAATCCAACCACAGAATTCCCTTTTCCTGCCTTGCGTCTTTCGGATTTTCATCAAGCCATGTTACGGAGCGCTGGGAATTTCGGATGCTCAAGAAGATGATCCTGAAGATGAGAGGCCTAACAGGTCCTGTGACAGAATCATGCTTGTGAAGACCTCAAGAGAAATTGAAGGGAAATCCATGGATTATTTATATGATATGATGAAGACCAAGGTTTTGCCTCTGGGTCCTCTGTTTTCTGTTGTGCACGATGATCAGCAGGATGAACACCATGAGCTGATGCAATGGCTTGAAACAAAAAGTGATCTTTCCACCGTTTTCGTCTCGTTTGGGAGCGAGTACTTCCTGAAAAAGGAAGAAATGGAAGAGATTGCTTTTGGATTGGAGCTCAGCGGAGTGAACTTCATTTGGGTTATAAGGTTTCCAGTGGGAGAGAAAACTAGGCCTGATGAAGCTCTTCCTCAAGGGTTCTTGGAGAGGGTGGAAAAAAGGGGAAGAATTGTGGAAAAATGAGCACACCAGACGAGTATCCTAGCACATCGAAGCGTTGGAGGTTTTGTTTGTCATTGCGGTTGGAATTCTGTGATGGAAAGCATTGAGCTTGGTGTTCCAATCATAGCTATGCCAATGCATCTTGATCAGCCTCCAAATGCTCGGTTGGTGGTGGAAATTGGTGTGGGTGTGGAAGTTATGAGAGATGGAAATGGGAAACTTCAAAGGGAGGTAATTGCTGTAGTGATTAAAGAAATAATGGTGGATCAGAAAGGGGAAAATTTTAGAAGAAATATCAAGGATTTGAAGGAGAAGATGAAACTCGCCGAAAATGAAGAGCTGGATGAGGCCGTGGAATTGTTAAAACAGCTGAAATGAACATTATTCGTTCTTGTTGTTCCGTTTTAAATTACAGTGATTAGTTATGATTAGCTTTCAAATAAATAATTTATTTTCTCATATCGTAAGGTGTCTATCGTGGGCAATAGTAATTAATATCTTTCGTCGAATTGTAAGCATCTCGATGAGACGAGTGGTATGAAGACGCTATCAGATTGTTATCTCTAGTTATTAACAAAGCAAAGGCATTAAAGGAGTTGGAACATGGGAGTTGATTTCGAGTATTCGAAGCTTGCCATTGTTTGATCACACAAGTATCATGCTACTTGACAAAGCGGTTTACTTGTGGAATTCTGCAGGAGTCAATCTGCATTTATCCTAATTGCGAGCAAAAATTCAGGAGACTTCCATTTTGTGAGCTGGACTTCCCCACTGAGACTTCCAATCTCAGCTAGTGTTATAAATCAAGATTCAGACAAGATCAAATTAGATCACACCGCTGAGCTGAGAGAAACTGATCTCCAAATTTTCAGAGTTTCTTCGACAAATCATGGGTGCAACTAATCTTAAGGTTCTTATGTTTCCATGGTTGGCTTACGGCCATATAACTCCCCAGTTACAACTAGCCAAGAAACTTTGTGACAGAGGATTCATCATTTACTTCTGTTCCACTCCAATCAATCTCGAATTCATCAAGAAAGAAATCCCAGAAAAATACTCACCTTCATTTCATCCCCTCCCTCTTCATCTTCCTGACACCCCAGAACTTCCCCCTTGTTACCATACAACAAATGGACTCCCTCCTCATCTTATGCCCAAACTGAAAATCGCTCTGTTCAGAGCAAAAACCAATCTTTCCGGCATTCTCAAGAATCTCAGTCCTGATCTGGTCATATACGATGCTCTTTTGACCTGGATTGCTTCATTAACATCTGTCCAGGGAATTCCGGCTGTGAAATTCTTGTTTACATCTGCATCAACTGCTGCATACGCTTCTCACTTGGCAATCAATCCAGGCGTAGAATTCCCTTTTCAAGCCATACATCTTTCGGATTTTCATCAATCCAGGGCACTCAAGAAGATTGAATCAGATCATCCGGATGTTCAAGAAGATGGCCCCGAAGATGAGAGGCCTAATAGATTCTGTGACGGAATCATGCTATTAAAAAGCTCAAGGGAAATTGAAGGGAAATACATGGATTATTTATATGATATCATCAGGATGAAGATGATTCCTCTGGGTCCTATGTTTTCTGTTGTATGCAATGATCATCAGCAGGATGGACACCATGAGCTGATCCAATGGCTCGAAACAAAAAGCGATCTTTCCACTGTTTTCGTCTCCTTTGGGAGCGAAACCTTCCTGACAAATGAAGAAAGGGAAGAGATTGCTTTTGGATTGGAGCTTAGCGGTGTGAGTTTCATATGGGTTATAAGGTTTCCAATGGGAGAAGAAACTAGGCCTGATGAAGCTCTTCCTGAGGGGTTCTTGGAGAGGGTCAACAACAGGGGAAGAATCATGGAAAAGTGGGCACCCCAGAAAGAAATCCTGGCACACCGAAGCATTGGAGGTTATGTTTCTCACTGCGGTTGGAATTCTGCATTGGAAAGCATAGAGCTTGGAGTTCCAATCATAGCTATCCCAGTGCATCTTGATCAGCCTCTACATGCTAAGTTGGCTGTCGAAATTGGTGTTGCTGTGGAAGTCATGAGAGATGAAAATGGGAAACTTGAAAAGGAGATGATTGCTGGAATGATTAAAGAAGTGATGTTGGATCAGAAAGGGGAACATTTGAGAAGAACAGTCAAGGATGTGAAGGAGAAGATGGAACTCACAGGAAATCAAGAGCTGGATGAGGCTGTGGAGTTGCTGAAACAGCTGAAATGAAAAATTGTTCTTGATGATGCAGAAAAATCCTGATAGTTTTTAAATAAGAATGATAAAATCAGATCTGTTAATCCTTAAACCAAAGTATGTTAGCATAATAACAAAATATATGCAATTATGATTCTTGAGCCACATCCAACAGGGAAAAAAAAACCCATGCAAAAATCCAGTTTGATTACATAATTGTCAAATCACTTGGAAAAAGAACAAAGAAAGAAAACTCTCAAATGAATATGAATATATCTACTCAAAAAGTTGGTTAAAATGTCGTTCCATTATATACAAAACAGATTCAAACATGCCCATTTTCTTGCACTTTTATTTCGGCTGTACTCATTGTGCGATGACTGTGATCATCCAAACAGGAGGTTGTTGACAACTTGACATGGGACAACCCAACTTTTCAAACTCTAGAACTAGACATCGTTTTGTATAACTTTCTCCAGCCATGGGTGCCAGCAGTGTTCTGCTCTCAAAGTACTCCAGCTCTGTTGTTCTAATATACCGGGACAGCTTCAGCTTCTTAAATCATCTATCGTCGGTCAAATCACACATCAGAACACCCATTTCCTGGTATTCATTTTCCATGAGCTTCCATGATTCAATAGCACAACCAATGATATGACTGCCAATGGCATATTTCCTGGGAGGATAGAAGAGGAAGCAATGACCTTGGGAGACACTGCAACACATGCAAGAAACTAATCCATTCTAGCATTACTCATCAGGAATCGCAGATGATGCCTAGTCATGCAAAGAATCAAATTTATAGTTCTCATCATTAACATGCCAATGAGCCTTGACCGGCCAATAAATGTTAGGCTGGTGGAAGAGTTGAGTCTTGGTGAAGGGACCGTGGAAAACAAAAGAAAGTAAATCTTGAAAAGGAACTAGCGAAAAGAGTAATATCAAAAACGATGCAAAGGCAGAGAGACAAAAGAGACGTACAAAGAAAGGGAAAAAAATCTACAAACAAAGGAGGGAGAATCAAGAAGAAGAGAGATGATACGGTGGAAAAATGGTAAAACTATGTAAGGTCAGTTGCAGGCATAATTCCGTGAAAATGTTAATGCAGTATAAAAATTGCATATATGTAGATTCCACTTTTCTCCCTCTTCCCAAGGGATTAAACATTCCTACACCAAGTAGAAAAGATAAAAGCAATAACAGTCTGAGTTTCAGATGGTTTACAGCATTATAAACACAAAATATGGCACCAAACCGAAAACTCTACAATAACCAGTACAACCCAGAACAACAGTCAAGAAAAGTTTAGAAGGACCAAGGCTGATTGTCTTACAAGTTTGTCTTCTTTGTTTGTCCACATAGGTTCTCTGGAGCACCCCACATTATCCTACGAATATTTGAAGAAGCCATATGGGGCAGACTTGCAACCATACCAGCTAACAATGTTTTGGTGTCTAAGAGAGAAAACCACAACGTCTTCACTTGAAAACAAAATAACCCATAAAATGCACGTTAACAACAAGAATCCACATCTTTATTACCAGAGTAATCATCTATGCATCAAATGATCAAAGATCTAAGCATGTACTTGGACAATTTCACTTCACTGTTTTCCATTTCACATACAAGCTGTTCAGATTCCTGGTCAGAAAAATCTTGTTCAATGTGTCTAATACGCATGATGAAACGATAATGAAAGAAGGGACCTCAAGGCAAAGTTGCTCCTATTCCTGGTAGAACAAACCAGGTGTTCTCACTCTAAAAAATGAGTGAAATGTGGAAGGATAATGCAGAATTCAGTCCATTAGACACGTCTTAAGAGACTATCCATCTTAGCTTAGTTTTCTACATGACCTCCTAAGTTGACAGTTTCCCAGAAGTTGGTTTTTAAAGTAGATTGAAGAATCATAAGATGACATGTTCATATTGTCATATAAAACAGGCGAAAAGAACTTTAAACTGTACACTACCAGGCCCATTGGTGGAATTTGACTGATGAACAAAAGTGAGACAAAATTAAAGAAGTAACCACCACATTCTTGTATGAAGTAGTAGCAGATAACAATCTGTAACGACCTCAGCCAAAAGGATGTTGAGATTACAGTAACAACAGGCAAGCTTGGGCAGAAGCCGCAGAATAAAACAATGAAGTTGATTAGACAAATGCCAGCATCGCCTTCAAAGCTTTGGAGGCAGCTAAGCAAGCATGCATTCTTCCAGATGTAGCCCTGGAAAAGAGGACTGTCAATAACATCCTCAGAAGAATCAGACCCACAGTTCCAATTCAACGGACCACATCAAATTAAATATAACAGACGAATATTACAATTTGAATTTCGTTGCAACAGTAAACACACAATTTCATTGCGTCTTTAGCAACTGCCCATGAAAACAACTGAAAAGAAGTGTCATTTCTGAGTTGCACCAATTACTTGAGATCAAGCTTAAAGGTGCTACACACAGATCATGATTTATGAAGAATACAGAACATAACTTAAAACGAACATTATCAGAAAACATAAACATTTCTTAGCAGAATGTTATTTGATGAGTACAATTATCAAGTAGTTCCCTTGACTGCTTCATTTAATATCCACAACAGGGAGAACCTAGTACAAAAAGATACTTTGCTTACTATACAGTAAAGCAGATATAAAATAAAAGATCATTCCCTAGAACAAAAACAAAAACCCATGGTTTTAAGTGCTACCTAACAATTAGATTCCTCAACTCTGACAAATGTTCATCATTTGAAATATGGAGCATAATCCGGAGATTAGTCAGTAATAATTCTTTTTCCCAACTTAAGGGGCCAGAAGCATATAATGCCTCTAGAGTGCAGCGATAAGCTTGCAACTCTAGCACATGAATACTTACTTCAACATTTTCACCCAAACCGTGAGAGTAATTCTCCTCTTCATCTAATGAACAATTAGCAGACTCGGCATCACTTGAATCCAAATCTCTTGCTTGGCGAGGAACTGCAAAAGAACAATTATAAAACTTTTCTATCCAGCCATTGTTAATACTGCAACTGCCAACAGAAAGAGCATCATTGTCAGAATCATTTTGCTCTGAGCACCCAGCAAGGTCATGTTCATTGCCAACAATATCTACTTTTTCCCTTTCCAAGTCGCTGTATCCTTTTAATCTGTTGTAGAAAGAATGGTGCGCGTATTTTTCACCGAGATTATCTCCTACATAAGCAACATCATCTACTTTCATGTGAAAGGTGATTGGACCTACTCTCCTTCGCTTGGTTTCCACTTCTACAGCTTTATGTGTGTTTCCCGTGTTTGCTTCCAAAACAGTTGAGCTATAAGGGGATGACCTCTTCAGCATCCTCGAGGAGTTATATTGAGACTCCTTTTGTCCAACAACTTCCTGACGTGCTACCTGATGTAATCTTTTGCCAAGTTTACTCCTTGCACCTTGTTTCACAGCATATGAATTCATATCGTGACGGACACTTGATGGTGATGGTCTGTAAGATTTCATTTTTTCAAAAGTTACAGAATCCTGTCATCATAAAAGAAGAAACGTGTAAGAGAACCAAAAGTGAACACACAAAAGGCACATAAAGAATGATCCATTATTCTTATTATGGTATATTGAGAAACAAAACCAACATTTTTCCCAGAGAACATCATCCCATGGTTGTGTTAATCAAAAAATAAGCTTCCAATGAAATCAACTAAGAAGACGAGTTTCAACTGGCTAATTTTTCTATTTTCGTCATAAAATTTGCATTTTGAAACCAAGTTACTGGTATTAAACCAGCCAAACAGGGATAACTGTAACACAAGCCAAACTCATTCAGTTATGATTACTAACAATAGCCAAGAATCTGCCCAATCAAATAACATCTGAACATCAACACAAGGATCCGGGTTTTGAGGAAATGACACCAAAATCCGGGATAGAAAGATTATGAGAGCAAGCCAAGCCGTCAACAGATACCAAGCAGTTGAACAAGAAGCAGATCAGCAGAACACATAAAACACAAAAATCAATAAAAGTAAATAAATAAAATTTCATCTATGAAAAGTAACTTCATACCCACACAATTAACTCAAGAATCCATCAAAACCCTCTGTTCTTGATTTTGAAAAAAAAAAATAATAATAAAAAAGATCAATATGCGAGTTTTACTATTTGTAATTAAAATAAAAAAAAAGAACTGAAAAATAGTTAAACACAAGAAATTACACAGAATCAAATGCGCACGAGTACGATTGGAAAAAACCCCCCAAAATAATTTTCATATGCTTCAATAAGATAATCAATCCAAGCCCCAAAATGCTGATTGAAATAATTAGGGTTTATTTGAAAAAAAAAAATCATAAAAATTTGGGAAAATGAAATTGGCTTACCTTATCATGGAACTCAAGCAAAACTTCGATTGAAAAGTGCTGATTGTTAGAATCAGGAATTTTTCTTCTCTCCAACAAAAACAATTTATTTTGTAATTTGTAAAATAATTGAATAGAGCTCTTATGTTAAATTGGGAAGGTATGCATTGTGAATATGTGAATGTCAGAGGGTATTATTGGAAAAATGTAAGCTCTTTCTGAAACACGATCAGCCACAGGAAAATTAGCGTGTTTTTTCCTCTCCATAAAATAATAATAATAATAAAAATAAAAGGAATTTAATCTGAAAAAAATTGGTTTAGTTTGTCCTGTTTCGTACACAAAATAACATTTGTTAACTCAATAGTTGTTTATTCAGGGAGAATATGAGAAAACACTTTGGTACTAAATAAACCTCAGAATATGTATTCTCAGGAAATGTATTTTTTTTTTTCTTTTGGGGCTAATGCAATATAATGGTTCGATTAATAAATAGTCTAAGATTAAAAATAATTGAATTACAATTTTTATTAATGTGATACATAAATTGACTGAATCATTTAATTGAATTTATTATAAAATCTTTCTAAATCAACTTTTTTTACGTTACTTGGGGACTCAGCTGTTATCAGTTCATAGATTACTTGGAGTATAGGGCTCAATTTGAAACAATAAATGTAGAAAAGAATTTGTAAATAAAGAAAGTTAGATACCTTTAAGGCTTAATCCTTGCATTTAGTAGTTTTGAAGATGCTAAACTGAGGTCTCTTATTCTTGTACAGCAAAGACACCTATAAATCTCCATTTTTGTAGAGATACCAAACGTGTGTAATTTAATTAACCGAAGCTAAATGAAAATAATTAATGTGAGAAAATGATTTGTGAGATTTTCTTCCTGGTCATTTTTCCCATTACAATTTATCTCGGATATACTCCCCCCGTTCCACAAAAATAGTCCACATTGAGTTTTGAGTTTTGTACTACTTTTAGTATAAATTTAGAAACTCAATGTGGACTGTTTTTTTTTTTTTTTGGACGAAGGTAGTATTATTCTTAATTGCACAACTGAACTTATTTTATCATGTAACACGCTAGATCTATGTGGCTAAATTAAACTTGTCATGCTATTATGTATGACAAACCATTTTGTCATAAATTTTCTTGAGTTTGTTATGGCTCCTCAGTTTTAATTAAAGTTTCATTTAAGAAAACTGAAATTGATTTTTTTTTAATAGTTTGTTATGGGTAACCTGATTTTTTTTAAGGTATATATATATATATATATATATTTCGGGTTTGACTATAAATAAATTTCAGGAATACCATGGTTTTTTTAGCACAATACTTAATTTTTCCATTGTCAGTTATGTGAATTTGTATAGTTCTTGATGTTTAAGGATTTAGATCCATCTTCCAACAATATGAGAATGTACAGGGTTCTTAATATTTGCCCTACAAATCATAAAACAAAAAATTAAAAAAAAAAACTCTTTACCGATACAGATTATTATTTATTTTATGTCACTATATTTTACTCAACTCTTGTACAATTTGAGTTTTGACACGCTCGGAAACCGGAATGATCAATTTTTACGTTTATGTGTAAATCGAATGGATCTAAATAAAGATAGAATAAGCTTAATTTTTAATGTAAGTTTAGAAAGAGCTAAAAAGATTAAACATATTGGGAAAATGAGAATCCAAAATCAGTCAAAACCATGGTGTTTTTTTTATTAAGAAGAGCAGCCTACAAATTTATAAACAAATAATGAATACGCGGCCGGAAGATGACGATGATATGATCATGTGGACTCGAGTATTTTCGAACAACTTTCAAATATATATATACAACTCCCATGCATGTGCTTTATCATTGCTTATACAATGATTTATAATTAATGAATAATATATAATTCTTGCTAATATATCTCGTTTCTATGACTGAGATGAGAAAGTTTCTGTGAGACATAAGAAATATGGCCAGAAATCATGACTCATTCAAACGGATGCCGGTCCAGAAGATTGAATCAAAGTTTTTCTCTTAATTTTTCATATTTTCCCCTCCGATCCTTATTATAAGTCATTTTAATTTCGTCTTAGATTTCACTTAAAATATATTTTTTAATTTAAATAAAAATTTTAAAAACGTTTCATAATAATTAGGATAACATAATGAATATAAAAATATATTTTTAAAGTTTTTTTTCCCTAATTAAAAAAACCTCCTTAGTTAAACCTAGAACGAAATCAAAATACCTTATAATAAGGACCGGAGAGAATATTAAAAAATGGTTTTTATCGAATCCAAAAGAACTTTTATATATGTTGATTAATGAAAAAAAAAAGAAAATAAAAGAAAAAAGAAATAGACAGGAAGATTCGATCCCTAGCGTCCAAGATGTCTGTATCATGTACCCTAGTTAGCATCTTATACATGAGGTATGTTTGTTTCGTTTTTTCAGTATATGTTTTTAGGTATTTTTTGTATTGAGAATGTAAAAAGGTGTATTAAAAATATAAAAAAGTATTTTGGGATGAGGATAATTATTATTTTATTAATTAATTAATAAAACCATAAAAAAACTAAACAAACAAAGCTTTAGCTAGAGTATGAGCAATCCCATTATCCCGACGACCAATCCATGCTAGGTCGATACTTGCTAAGATTTCCTGTTTGGCTGATCATTTTATCAGATAAAATTGATACTTTTACCACAATTGACAATGCAACAACAAAATTTATTTCACCAAATTTAACAAACTAATCGAAATTGACTTAAGATGGCTCGAAAGATATGAAAATTTTAAAATAAATGGACTAAAAAAGTCAATATTTGAAAATGAGATTCTGTAATTCATGAGACTAAGCAGAGGTTTCGGTAAATATTTTGATGAGTTGATTGAAAAAGTAAACAAAAATTGACAGGAACCAAAAAAAAAAATAAAATTAACAGAATTGACTTGAAATGGACCGATGTGCGATGAATTTCTTTTTAATTAAATGGACTGAAAAATCAATACGGAAAGTTGAAATTCAATTTTTTGTGACATGCCAAGAGCTTTTTGTGATTATGTGGTCGATTGAATTTAAGAACTGCAAAAATTAAAATAAAATGACAAGTTACCTTCGTTTCAGAGGTCTCGAAACAGACAAAAGATTTTTTGTGACACATTTGTGTTGTACTCTTTGTGATATTAACTAAAATCTTGACAGTGTTCAATCACTTACCACATAAAATTTACTTACTATTTGTTAGGATGTTAATAATTAATTACTTAAACACCTCTAACTTTAAGTTATTTAACACGTGTCACATAAAGTATCACACAAAATGTCACAAAAGATCTTATGTCTCGAAACATAATAAAAGTTTTTAAATAAATAGACAAAAAATTGTTAATCTTTGGATACGAAATTCGACCATTATGACAAGATAAGGTTTTTTTTTTTCTCAATTTCAAATCAAATGGACTAAAATGTCAATATTTTAGAGGCGAAATTCAATTCAATTTTTTTTTTAAATACAATTCGTACAAGCACCTAGATTATTACATGTCTGAGTATGGGGGAGGATAACCTACTATTACCAGCCTAGTTTAGTGGGGGAGACTCCATACATGCAACACCGCTTGTAACGCCTCTTTCTGCACATCCATCAGGTGTTTGAAGAACTTCCAACTCGAACCGGAACTTCCCGGTTGATGCGAAGGCCCTCTTCCACTTGGGTCACCTCTTTTTGACCTTAATATTTAAATTAAATGGACTAAAATGTCAATATTTGGAGATGAAATTAGGTCAATCATATCGTGTAGCGTTAGGTTATCTCTATCGATTAAACTATTGCTCTAAGAAATTGATCCTAAGTTAGGCACTTAAATTTTGGTGGATTCAATTTCCAAATACAGTATTTTTTTTTTTCCCTATTGTCTTTTATCACTAACTTAGCTTTTGAGCCAAGGGAAAAAACCTCTTCACCACACAGGCAGACTCAGAGATTCTGATGAAACACAGCATCATCCAACATCCCCAAAAGCTGGTTTGCTCTTTTTAAAGTAGAAAGAAATAAAACTACTATACTATATTGTTAACTTCCACTTGAATTAACCGAATCTCCAAACGAACCAACTTGCCCAACCTTCAAGCAATCTCTGGGGATATTATTAATTATTGGAAACAAAAACAAAAAAAACATACTACTACTAATTCAAAGATGTCTCTGTTTTTACCTTATCATTCCAGAAAACCATTATCCCACAAGAATCAAGCTTTCAAAATTTATGCCAAAAACAACTTTTGATTCTTCCAATATTATATCTATATATTCTCGTACATAGGAAAGAAAGAAGCTTGCTTTTCTTGAAATACTAGTTTCCTACGTAAGCAAGCAGAAAACAGGGGAGTGTATTAAAAGCACTTGAATTGAAGAAAAGAGGGTGATAACCCGAATACAGTATTAGCCCAGAAGAGAACTATAGGTATTCTGCGTTGATCTGCAAGGAATTAGACATTTTGATCCATACGAATTTTTTGGGTTCGATTAATGCAGAAAAGTAATAATACTCTGAAAGACAAAATGGGAAGCAGTGGGAGGTTATCTGCGGAATATACAGATGATGAGGCGGCTTCTGCAGATATGTCGAAGCTGGCAATATCATTTCAAGCTAGAGAAGAAGAGATTGAGAGGAAGAAATTGGAGGTCAAAGGGAGGGTGGAATCTCAGCTCAATCGTGCTGAAGAACAGACCAAGCGTCTGGCCCAGATATGGGAGGTAAATTATTAGTCAATCTTAAGAATGCTAGAGAGAATTTCATAAATGTGGCTTCAATCTATTTATTGCTCACTTGGTGTTTGTGAAAATAACAATGTGTAGGAGCTGGAAGTATTGACGGATCCCATGAAGAAGGAAGTTGCTGCTGTCAGGAAAAGGATCGACATTGTCAATCGTGAACTGAAATCACTAGGCCAGACCTGTCAAAAGAAGGTATTTCAATAATCAAAAAACTTAATTTTGAAAGATTTTCATTTGATTAAGTTTGAATCATTCATGGATAAATATGGTGATCTTTTTTCACATTGATGTTGATGTGGCATTGTGCAGGAGAAAGAGTACAAGGAAGTTTTCGATGTATTCCAGGAAAAGACCAATGAAAAAGCTCAACTTACAGCTACTCTAATGGAGGTCAATACCCATCATTGATTCTCTGTTTTTCACAACTTCATCTTTCATAGCCTTTGTTGTAATTTGCTGGTAAGTTGATGTATATCCCTTTGGCTTTTTTGCATGATTCTCTCATCACAGATGGTGAATGAAAGCGAGAAACTGAGGATGAGGAAGCTGGAGGAGCTCAGCAAGATTATCAGCTCTGCACGCTAACCTTGCTCTGAACTTGTTTCGTCACAATTCGAATCAGTAGAGCTAGCATTATCATAACATCCCTTCTGTCATGGTGCAATCCCTTTTTTTTCTTCATAATGTGAGGAACATTATCATTGTCTGTCATCGTATTTGATTTGGTGTGAATTTGGTTCTGTTGAAGATATTTGACCATTGTTAGGTAACTAAAGAGGTATTAGAAATGCCAATTGGCTAGTTTTTGATGTAAGGAGATTTGATGTAATTTCATTTTCTTTCCGTTTGGTGTGTATTTGTCACTTTATTGTAGCAGTGAGGGTGTGAAGCAGTGAGGATGTGACATTAATCTTCAAATAATGGCAAGAGTTTTGACTAAATTATGTACATTGCGGAGCCCTCTATATTCAACTTTTTATTTTATTATATTTTCTGTTCATAGTGCTTAAACCTGAGAATCGAGGATACCCAAGTTCTCTACCCACCATTTGCCAATAAATATCTATTATACAGATTGAAAAAAAAAGGAGAAAATTGTAGTCTATCCTAGTGTTGTACGCAAAGTTAAAAGTGAAATAATTACAGTTATGGGAAAAGCCATTGTACTCAATACAGTATGACATATAAGAGTTCAGGGATACAGCCAGTCACCATCTTCAAGCAAATCGAGCATGCCAAAATTGAAAGTTTGTTGGAGGGTCTGAAATGACCAAACTACGGCACAAAAAGCATTAACCAAGCATCTTAATAACCAGACAATGCTCAGTAATATTACAAAACAGTGTACAATTTTCTGAACTTCTAGTTAAGTGAAGCCAACAAAGATTCTTGTACAAGGGAAACAACTGTACCTTAAGAAGAAATGCCAATGAGAAAATAAAGATTTGAACTCACAAAAGCCTAAGACATCACTGCGTATGAAGCTTTCAATCTTCATTTACATCTTGCAACAGCTGCTTGTACTCTTCCAACAGGATTCGGATATCATCCATGCGCAGCTGCTCAGAAAACCAAAAAATACACTCAAATAGTGGGAGTGAAGGTGCTGTAGTTTGGTGGGGAGCACCACCAAGGAGAAAGATAATGTCGATTAATATATGACGCAGGCTCCATTTCCATGCATCTTGTTATGAGTGATGGAGTAAAAAGCTTACTTTACACAAAAGATGTATGGACAACCGGCAATTTAGCTCGATTATAGACATATCAAGATGACTCTTTGCAGTGGCTACAGAAAGAACTATCTTTACCGAATTATAAAACAAGAAAAACAGAAGGCTGTAAAATAAAAAAGAAATTCATATACCTGGGAAGCGTTTTGAAGATGATAGTATCTATATGTCTCTCTTCTCGGAAAGCTGAATTCTACAGGCTGTGAATCCAACCCCACTTTCTGCCTGTCAAAAGTAGCATGTCGAGACATCTAGTTATTTGACCAGAAACAAGAGTTGACTTCAGAAGAGGAAAAGGTAGAAGCTTCAGGCAGGCATTTGTTTTCCAAATAAGAAAGCTAAAAGAAAAGGGGAGCATTAACTTTTCCCCAGACCCAGCATATTCAGGAACTTCTACGCCCCAGGGTGCCCCCTTTTTTACAATGCTAGAAGCCGATAAAATGACAACAATTGCACTCGCAGGTGCTAGAAATGTAGCAACATATGACCTATACAGACACCAAAGCAGGCAAACAGAGAGTTTTGCAAATCATTTCAATGTAGAGCTACACAAAATATGCATGATTTTCATCAGGAAGTGAACTGCCAATGGCGCAAGAAAAGACACACTAGAACCTTTATCTAATAATTGTGCCATAAGAGCAAAGTTGACCCTTACAAACGATGGCGAGATATTAACCGCTGGTAGTCCCTTAGCAGCGGACCAAGCTCCTTCAGTTGTATGGACACTGGTGAAGACTTCTTCCAGTGGTTTCGAAGAGCCTGCACCATCTAATCAAACAGAAGAAAGTTATACATGGTAATTAGATGTTCTAACACAGGCAACACCATCGTCTAACCAAAGAGAAAGAAGTCCACACAGCAAACACATGTTCTACGAAAGGGCTGCCACATCCTGTAAAGCATAAGAGCGCAAACTTACTTTATTACCTGTATATTACTGGGAGTCTTTTCTCCAACCACATGTGAGGCCAGCTCTACAAGGTCTTTGTCTTCCACCTCATCCAGTATTAGCTTGTGATGAGAGAGTGAAACAGAAACATCTAATCTCTTACACAATTCTGAAACCGTAGATGTTTTGCTTTGGTTTTCCTGCAGAAGTAAAATAATAGATGTAGCACTCAAGCATCGTAGGAGTTAAAAAGAGAGCTAGATGGAACTCGTGGCTAATACACTTGTCACATTGCATTCGATAAAAGATGTTCAAACACAGAGGAATAATAAAGAAATCATTTGTCTGAATCTACCAATTTATCAAATACAATAAAAAACCATCGTACTAACGATTTAATTAGAATATTCTAACAAATAAGTAGCATCAATTTTTCGAGATGTGGAATATACTGGAAATAAACACACACAATGTGTTACCATTGCGCGAGCTTTATTTCACACCCACTATCCAGCGAATTGATTTTGAGGCCACTTTATAGCATTGATTAATGATTGGGAGTTTATCCAATGATTGGTAGTTTATCCAATGAAAAACCCCCAAATTTGCCTGTGTTTTATAACCATGGAGCTCTTGGCACCGGATATCAATGAGCAAAGGATAGAGTTGAAAATGTCACACGATAACAATTTAATGTTGTTACCTTGGCATCAGACATAAAGTTATCATGTTCCCTGGAAGCATTTCTGCTTTCAGGTATGACTTTGCGGGGAGACATAATCATACGCTTCGCAATAGGATCATCTGCCACAGCAAAACAAGCAGAAAGAGAAAAGTTGAGCTTCAACAATCAACATCAACTATCCCCCAACATGAATAGAGGCCATGGAGCTGAAATACATCTAATCTTTCTAGTTTCTTTTGAAGCAACAACATACTATTTTCTCATAGATTCTCTGAGTAATCTTCCAAACAATCTCAAAAATATTTGGAAAATCATACCAATTAGTATCAGATCCTGTTACCTACTAAACATTCATTCATCGCATTTGAGTGATTATTAGAGTAATAATCAATAACACGTATCCATAAATTTCGATGGATGTAGAGACCCATTGAAGAAACAGCAATCACAAAATCATCATTTCTAGACTGCCAGAAAACAGTAAACTAGGAATGAACAAGAAGGCTACTAGGTTGCTTCAACATGTGCAGCCAGAAAATCTCCCACCATCCAGCATATTTAAATCATTTAGACTCAGCTCATATGAAAACTAGGCTTTTAAAAGTACCTTCTGGAACCAACCACCATAGATCACCATATGCTGATTTTCCATCAAATCCCCCAAATAGCAGATACCGTGAACCAATGCAAGACATAGAATGGTATGCTCGAGCAGGTGGTCGTTCGTTACTAGTTGGTAGCCGTCTCCATTGTACGGTCACTGGAGACAGCAACAGAAGATTTGCAAACTAGCATCAGAAAAAAAGCTAGATAGAACAAGCTTCAAAAGTATCATATGATCCTAGTGGGTTGTGGGGAAAGTGATGCAAAACCTGCATTGATAAGAGCATTACAGGATAGAAATCTCACCCCGGTCCAAAACCACACAATCATTGTAGTATATGTCATACCGACTCAACCATCCACCAGTACCATGCCCTCCAAATAACAAAAGCTGCATTCAGATAAATGCAGAATGAAAATAAGTGGCAACAAAGGTGGTGCAGAGATCAAAGGCTAATGCTAAATTTGCATGCTAACTCATAAACCTGGAACTAGATATTCAGAATATGAGACCTGTTTTATCATCCAACCACATACTATTTCATATAATGGTAGAAGCATCTTAACTTTTGTACTTAAAAAACCAATTTATCCAACCCATTGATGGCCTTGAAAGCACTAATGTAGATTTGGTTGATTAACCAAAACATACTACTTAAAATGATTTTGAAAAAACAACAGAACAGGACTGATGAAGCCTCTATTTAAAGTAGGCACAAATGTTTAGTCAACTCCGCTATTCCCAGGGCAAAATGTAAGTAACCACTCTTTGCTCGTAATTTAGATAAAACTGACACAATTAAGTATGGCCCTCTCTCTCGGCCACAAGTAAGAAAGATCATGTCTGTATATGTTTAGAAATGTCAGGCTTACAATGAAAGATAAATCAAACTACAAGAGATGTATTTTTTCATTCTGATAGTGCATTGATAAACAATGTCAACAAGTTCAACTCAAAAGCACAGCAAACACAAAATAAATCAAGAAGACATTACATGAACCCCCCCTGACGTGACCGTATGCCCACAGCAAGGCGAAGGAGCTTGACCAGGAAGTTTCAATTGAGTCCAACCTGGACTTTCATTCTCTTCCTTCCACAATAAAGACAAAACCACAACATAGTAAGCCACTGCCATATTATACAAAAATAATGAAAAACAAACCAACAAAAACTACAGTACATCAGAAGTCAAACAAATAGCCAAAGTGACGTACTATATGTAATATGAAGAAAGTTTTCCAACAAGGCATCTTATCTTATTTAATTGCATATCACTCTTTTCTGCTCAAAAGATTGTGCAGTATAAGAACAAAGCAACAAAAGAATTTGAAGATGCCAGGGAAGGTAATACCTTCTTCAATGAGCCCCTTCAAAGCCCATAAATCACCCATGATTGGCCCTCCACCACCTAACAGTGTTAAACAGGACCACTGTCAATTGGAAACATATTTCTCTAGCATACTCTCTAGCATACAACTCAGGGAATCCCAAAATAACAAGAGTAATTTCTGAATGTCAACAAAAGGAAATATAGAAACCATCCAACTGCAAAAAGTGAACATAGGAAATATAATTCTGCTTTCTGAGGTAACAAAGACTCATGTTTCTCTCATTACATATTACATACATTTTCACTGATACTAACAAAAATTTATAGTAGTTCACATAACAACTCAATTAATGAAGCATATGGACACCAACATAACACTCTTAAACATATACTGGACAATGTAAATTTAACCATCTAACCAACTCCCTGATGTAAAAATTGAGGTTGGAAAATAAATCAGAAGCAGGACTCTTTCACGTGCCCTCATCAGAACAACGAAAAATTTGTACTTGGACTCAAATACTCTAAACTTTCTATCTCTAGAAGCCCAGAAGGGAGAAATAATTGAGACCTTAATGAAATTTATGAAGGAAAAATTGAAGTTTGATTAAACAGAGTTTTACTATTCAATAACCTTTTCGAAAATCTAATTAAATTAGGAAAATGATTACCGGTGGTTACACACTTGAAACAAAACATAGGCTACACTCAACAAAGATTTGATTAGAACAACTTTACATGATATAACTTAGGCATTCGAGCTTATAGTGCTCCTATTCTAAATTACCTCTACCACCATAGACAAGCAACCGCTTTTCAACCATTGTGGCAGTATGTCCACATCTTGGAGGTGGCAACGATCCAGAAACTGATAATTCTACCCATTCAAGTGACACTGGAGAAGAACCGCATTAGCCATGAGATCAACATTTACACTAGACAAAACTAAGGGCCCAACAAGGAAAGATAATTTGAGCATCGAGGGAGATTACTTGTGTCTAAAACATAAACATCAGAGAGCCACTTTTTACCATCCCAGCCACCATACCTGCACATTATTTGAAAATTTCAAGACAGAGGTCCATAAAACAGTTAATGCTATGAAGAGTTAATAGGACAACTGAAACTAACATCACAATTTTACGATTTCCAATGGCTGATGCAGCAGCAAAATCCCGAGATGATGGCAAGTCACCAAAACTGGTAAGCTCTGACCACTGCCATATATCTACGATACAAGCACAAGTTAAACTCAATCAAGCACTTATAGATTCAACGACTTTGAAAGAAGCATAAATGCTTATATAATATGAAATACACTCAGGAAAATTATATTTGAAGTATATGCACCTGTATCAAGGACCCAAAAATCACCCAACCTGAAAAAAGTATCACCAAGAAAGTCAATCATCATTAGCAACTACAAGAGGCTGACAACTACACGAGACACAAGAAGCCTCAGAAAGCACACCCACCTCTTACTTCCAGACCTCCCCCCAAAGATGAACATATGACAGTCAATTGCAACTGCAATATGAAATGCTCGTGGAGCAGGACCCTGTTGTCCATCAGAACCAGTGCCTGTGCATTCTGGCTTAAACCATGATCTGTTGTCTAAAACAATAGCAACAGCCAATGTCAAAAATTTGATCCTCAAAAACTATCTTAAGAAGCAGTGAACTGGTTCTCAACTATAGAGACAAAGCAATCTTATCAGACAGTCAACTGAGAATCTAAAGCGGCAAACCTATAGTAAAGTACTACGAAACAAGACGGCCTTGCTGTGTCTAATTGTACATCACTTAGATTCATTGTCAAAGCAGAGTCTACCAAGATGATACTAAAAAGAAGAAAATAGCAAAAAATAAGAGACAAAATTCAATCTTTACTCAACTGCAAAATAATGCTAGACAACAGCTCGGAAGCTAGGATAACCACATATAGGTGTCAGAAAAAGGCAAATAACAAAGTTGAATTGACTATGAACAGAGTGATCAGGGGAATGTACCAATATCATAAACAAAAATGTCACTGAGGAATTTCTTGTCGATTAAGCCCCCAAACACCACTATCTTGGATCTTCCAATGTTACAAGCTGTATGCCCACTGCAATTTCCAAAACAAACAATTTCTCAGTTTCTCCACGAATTAAGCAGCTCAGCGCAAATAAACCAACGAAGAAATGAAAAATGGGATTTAATTGCCTTCGGGGCAGTGGAATAGTGCCACCAAAATCAGCGGGAGAAGCCCGAACCCAGTAATGGGTTTTCATATGTGAACGAGCTTCCATGGATGTAAAAGCTAACGATCGCTCGAAGCTTGTGGGATTTATGACTTGATTCTGCGCAAGTCGCAGGACTGCAGTGGCTTTCTGGAGGAGTTGATGAGACACAATTTTGATTTGGGGTTTAACATTTGGGTTAACTGAATTTTAGGCCCTTTTTAATAAATTTGGGTCACAATTCCGCTTGAATCATATGAAAAAAAGTTTACAAATTTAAATTAGATTAAGATTTCAAAAATTTCGACCCATCGACCTTTTCGTCAATGTAAATAAGTCTCGACTTTCCACCAAAAAAAAAAAAAAAATTTGTTGCTGAGAATTTCGAATACATTGAATTATTTGATGCATTTTAAAATCAAGTCGACTTCTTAGTCAGATCAAGGAAACCGATGAACAAATTTAAAATAGAGTGTATTGTGGAACTTCACTAGTTTCAGGTTCACTTGTACATCGTTCAAGATATCTCGACAAGACACTTTACGTTACTTGGTGTATTGTTCACATGACGAAGTTCCATCGCCTTTTAAAAATTAAAACAAAAATCTTGATAAGAATTTATTTTGTTTTAAATTGAAATAAAAAACAGCATATAAATTATGTAATTTGATCAATTTCACGAGTTTTTATTTACTTGTTAAGGATAAATTTTAAAAACTGCATTTCTTTTTCTTAAAAAAATTATAATTTAGATAAAAAAAATTTAGTAGATTTTTTCTAGTCGATTTTTTCATCGATTTAGTAAAACTGACGAAAGAGTCGACGCATATAATTCAAGTTGTTAAGACAAATTTTAAATCGATACTTATGCATCAAAGGATATATTCAGGTAAGAAATTTCAAGTAGCAATAGACAATCCAACGTTATAACTTTGCAATGATTTTTTTTTTTTTGTTTTTTTGGTAAATAGGGAATTACATAAGGTTTCTAACTAGAAATCACAATGTAATGGAGATAAGTTACTCCTAATACATCGTGTCGTAGCCAATTATGGACTCCTACGGTAGGCGAATCCCGCCTGCAAATTCCTTCTGGATTCGATCCCGCTAGAGTGGCCAAAAAGTCCGCAACAAAATTATATTCCTTGTGGGCATGATTAAGTCTAACAGTCCAATAAATTTTTAAATGTTATCAATGTTTTAGTACTGTGAAGAAAACCAATGACCAATCTCAAAAAAAATGTAAGGTACTGATTTCCTAGCTAGTAGTTACTTTCACATTGGCCAGGGGAATTCCAAAGATATTTTACTAATTTGCTATTCATCATATTCTGTATATCATTTAACTACTACTATCTATTTGAAGTTGTTCCCACAAAAATTAAAACTTGCTAAGTAGTAAGGTACACCCAATTTTCGATCTTGAAAAATTAACTTTGTTTACTTTCAGTCCCATTTTAATAATCTACACATTGACGAGGAGGGATTTATAGCACAACTCTAAAAAGCTGGAAAAGAACAAGGTTGAAAATTCTGACCCGGCTAGGCTAGCCCTATTGTTCATCAAAATCTGCTCCCCGCAGGCAGAGGAACCTTTCTTTCTGATTTCTTCATTCAAAATAGAACTGAACTGTTGCATTCCAACAAAGACTGCATTCTCTCAGCAAAGATCCCAGCGTTTTCTTCTTTGATTGCCATGGAATCCTTGATGACGAACACGGGCTCACTCCAAAAGGTTCCATTTTTCTCTGTTCTCCGAGTTCAATATTTGATTTAAGTTGTGTTCTTCAGTCACCTAGTAAACTGCTATCGGACCAAGAAGTTTGCTTTTTTCTCTACTTCAGTGCTTTGAGTTATTATTTATCCACCCTCGAAGCTCTCGTTTAGATTTAGTTCTGTTCTTAGTTCAGTATGATATGAAAGTTTCTTTGTTAAATTTTTTTTTCTCCCTTTTGTTTGTTTATAAGATTTTGTCGGAAAAGAAGCTGCTCTCCTCAGTACTAATTGGAAAGTGTCATTAGTTGGGTTTGGAGATTAGTTTTTAGGGTCTGGGTGTTGAATTTGCAGCTGGGTTAGAAGAAGTAATTTGTTTCAATACCGAAACCAAGATGCAATCTAGGAGGGCAGAAGATTATGGAACGAGGCCACCTACTGCAGCTAGGTCAAGGGACCCGCGAATTGAAGAGCCTCCCTCTGACTATTATGAGATGCCTCATCTTGATGTAAGATCCCTGCCTCCTGGAAGGAGCTTAAGCCCACTTCGAAAATCACTGGATGGAGGAGGAGAGAGGAGGAATGGCTCATTTGAGGAGAGGGATTTACATAGATGGGCAGTTAGAGGCCGAATCGACGATCCTAGGTCTCAATCTGCTTGTTATGGCCGATCAGATGAGAGGCCGCCTAATTATGATGACAATCTAGGAAAGTATGATTTCGTTGATCGCATTGTAGACCATGGAAATGCATGGGATGCTGGCTTTAAGCGGAGTGATTATAGCAGTTTTAGAGGTACTCCTGATGAGGACAGAGTTTCGAAGGTTGCTGAGCATCAACTGATGGATGATAGACGCACGATGATGGAACTCGTGGCTATGCACAGAAGGGAATATAGGCAGGCTGAGCTGGAATCTTCCATAATAGATGCTGGAGATTCTGGGCGGTTTTCATCATCTTCTAGAAATGCAGTTGATGGGCGGTTTAGCAGTGAACAAAACCAGTACCCTGACCCTTTCCTCCTTGAAGGAGTGGCAGCCCTTGAAAGAGAAGAAAGGTTCAGGGAAGAGAAGTTGGCTGCTCTGGAAAGTAGAAGAAGATATGGGAAAGTTGAAGAACTGATACCTAAACCTTGGGATGATTCTTACTTAAAGGGATCACAATCTGTGTCAAAAGAATTCCGCCATATCCCTCAGTCAGAGGAATATGGTGGTACCCATGGCCATTTGAGAAGCTCAGGGATGAATATCTCAGGCTCTTACCAAGACGATGTCCCATCGCCTGTAGATTTTCATCCAAACAGATCAGCTCAACATTGGGAACCCTATAGGTTTTACGAAAGACAACGCATAGGAAGTATAGATTTTGCCGAAAAGAACGAGGATGCGCTGGGCTACAGAAGAACTGAATTTCGTAGTCCCACACGTGAGGGTCGCAAACGGGAATACATGTACCCTAGGCCGTGCAGAGAAAATTGTAATCATGGCCACACATCAGTAGATTTGCCCGAAAGATTACACTATCACGATAAAGGAGGCTATTATTACAGAGATCAATCTGATCCTGGTTACTCCCGAGATGACCGATCATTGCCAACAGGAGAACAAGCTAGAATGTGCTTTGACCACGAGAATGCTATGATGGAATTTGGTGAAGTTTTTTTAAAACCAGAAGTTCCTGCATTCGACATGCCAGCAAGAACGCATTCTTCTCGTGAAAGAATTACTAATGTCTCTGAAAGAGATGCATGTCTGGTGTGTGGCAAGGAAAGCACCAGGTCACCACTTGATACTCGGTATGAAAGAGAAATGCAGGAATATAATTTGAGGAGGAAAGGAATCAGTTCAGATATTCATTATACTTCTAACTCGCCCCAGAGGCCATTGAAGAGGAAAAAGTCTCTCGTTGATGAAGAACCGACTTACTACAGAACTGATTCCAATCCAAATGCTAGAATGAAGAATATCAATGGTAAAGATCAACTAGAAATAGATGGAAAGTGGAATTTTGAAGAACCAAGTGATTTTTTATCATCCAAAAGTTTAAACTATGGTCATAGTATGAATAGAAGAACAGGAAGAGGTGTCGATCACAATGAGGTTTCACCATCTTATAAATTGTCACTGTCCGGTGACCAATCTGAATACTTGCAAGGATATTCTAGTAAACAATCTAAATCTGAGAAGAGAACATCCAAAGGTCTTCCAGGATATGATTCTTACAAAAGAAGCAGTTCCAATCATCCCAGTAGGAACGTCTGGGTAAGAGATGAGGACAACAAACAGCTAGAGGGGTCTCGTACCAGAACATGGGAATCAAAAGTGACAGCGGGTTCTTCTGAATCTGGGCTAGCAGAGGATTCAGAGGATTTTAAGGAGCGGGTGCAAAAATCTTTCTTATCTTTCAGCAAAATAATGAATGAGAAAAAAAGTACTCGTAGAAGGTACAAAGAGCAAGGAAGAGCTGGTACCTTGTACTGTATCGTATGTGGTAAAAGGTCCGTCTTGCTTTTGAAGATATTTTATTTGCACTACAATAGGGATCATGCTTGCAAAGTGGGATCTTTCCTGACATTTGTTCGCATGATTTATCAATTGAAAATTTTGCTGTTAAACTCCAATATTCACATTAGTTGTTCTAATGAGATCGTTGTATTAAAAATTTGCTTTGGGATATTTAAGAGGAAATATATAGTACACTCATTTGGGTTGGGAGGGTTTGGTGGGACGATAGGCGAGTGTGACCATGACGCTGGGAGCAATCCAGAAAGAAAAAAAAGACACGCACACAAAATAGGCTCAAGTTTTCCCTCAGGCTAACTTGGGTTAGGTTGTTGCATTGTCAACTTTGCTTTGTGTTATGGTCTCTGGTTTATAACTTCTTTGTCATTGTCCCCCTCCTTTGGTGTGCATGCTGGATTCATAAGATTCTCAATGAAAAGAAGAGATGATGGCCGACAACAAATATTAGATTTGTTTACTGTTTACCAGTTATGCTGGCAAGATAAGTTAATTTCTTTTGCTCTGGCCATGATATTTCTTGCCAATCAATTATGCAATGACAATAAGGGGTGAGATTTTTGGTGATAGGATCTGAACACGAGAGGTGACTTTTCCTGGAGTGAGGAATCGGAGTTTGTTGAAAAACTTGACTGTCATTTGATGTTTGGGGGAAATAATGGATCTCATATTTGTTTCTTAGATTGGATATATTTGAGGCTTTCCTAACAGTTTGGCCGTTGGTTAGTTGATATTCTAGGTGTTCAGGTAAGCATTTGATTTCTTGATAGGAAAAAATCTCTGGAACCGATTTGGAGAAAGGTCTAGAAAAAGTCGTTGCTTAGTTTTCGTAACTATGTGGAACTGGGATGGATGGTTTCATTGCTTTAGGTGTATGTCTTTCAAAGGCGGTGATGTTCACGAAGTGAACTTTTATTGATTCGGCTGGGAATAAAATGATTTCCCTGTAACTTCTTGGAGGATATGTAATCCCTCATTTTCAGTTGTAGAGTTATACCAAAGTCTACATGTGAGTAGGATATGCTTGGCCAGGAAATAAAAGTTGGAAGTTTCGTGTTGAGAGGAAGAAAGAACTGTGTCAGCAGTCTTACTACTTAGGGTTTAACTGGACAGTAACAAAAGATCAATATATATTATTTCTTGGTCTAATATATTATTTCTTTTTTGGAACTTCAACTTGGTCTAATATATTATTTCTTTTTTAATTTTTGGCCAAAAGTTTGTTTCCTTGGTAGAGCTGATATGTGAGTCATCTAAAACACCATGCTTTAGATTGATAGATATCTTTATCTGAATCTTTACATTTGAGGACACGAGTCATTAATTAATCATTCCCTCCCTAGTTTGCTAGATTCACCAGGTAAAGAATGTGTGTTTACTGTTTATCATTAATATTAGTGATAAGGGTCCTGTGGTATGTCTTAGATGGTGATTTCTGTTTGACTAAATCACATTCTGGTGTTTTTATTTATTTATTTGTTATTCTTTTTTATCTGGGGCTTGTTGGTTCTTCACCCTTCTTCCGGAAATCCATTTCAATCATAAGTCCATGTGCCTGGAGTTGTAATTTTATGCTCTAAGTGCGTAACCTTTACCTGTTGAAATGCTGAAATGTCATTTTTTCCCAGCTCATCAAAAGATTTCGTGGATACTCGAAACTTGGCTAACCATTGCTATATGTCACGGAAGTCTGGCCTGAGAGCACAGCATCTGGGGCTTCACAAAGCAATCTGTGTTCTACTTGGGTGGAACAGTGTGGTGGACCATGATGTTACTACATTCATTCCCCAGGTTATTTCCAGTTCTGAAGCTTTAGCCCAGAAGGAAGACCTCATATTATGGCCACCAACCATCATTATCCATAGCGTCTCGATGTCAGCTCATCGCTCAGGCGAACAACGTTTCTTGACCAAAGAAGGAGTGGAAGATTTCCTCAGAGGTGACTTTTCTTCTTAACCCTGAAATTCAATGAAAGAAAAGCATTTCCACTAAGTGGCGGATATTGTACCTCCTTTTCTCATTACCAATTAACTTGCAACTTTGACTACATAATTTTCTTGCTCCATCTTGTGCTTTTCTTTGACAGGAAGAGGCATTACTATTGGAAAAGTCAAAGTCTCCTCTGGCATATCTGCAAACAATGATATAATGGTGGTGAAATTTTTGGGCACTTTCCCTGGTTTACAAGAAGCTAAAAATCTGCACAACTACTTTCTGGATGAAAAGTGTGGCCGGACAGATCTTGAACAGATGACCTTAAGCAAAAGCGAAAGAGTTCTGGGAGATAAGTTGGAAGAACCTTTGCTTTATGGATACATGGGAATATCCGAGGACCTGGATAAAGTTGATTTTGATACCAAGAGAAGATGTTCGATTAGGAGCAAATGGGAAATAGAATATATAGCTGAGGCACCTCTCATGCAGTGATAGAGTTACTTGCATGCTAATGCATTTTTCTCCTGTGCCTTTTGTCTATAGCATCTACACTTCTGTTTTACAGTTCTTTAAAGTATGGAGATAAAAGCAATGCATGTTGAGGTTTGTGCTTTTGCTTGCCTATTTCTTCAGGTAACAGCAGTAATTATCGAAAGATGATTAGAACCCTCCTAATGTTACTGGTTGTTTATCACTTTCTCTTTTTTCATGCTATTAGCAGAGAATCAGTTGAAATGCTATGCTGTTTTTTCCACACCTCACTATGCTGTGCTGTGTTTCGCACAATTGTGTTGAGTATTCGGAACCTATAAGGGCGAGGCTTGCAAGGAAAACTTTAGTGCAGTGAAGTGAATGACCTAGCGTGAGTTATGCTTAGCCTCGTATTTCAGTTCTGAAGAAATGAACATAGCTATGAAAACAAAATGGAAATCTTATTCATGAATGGTACTAATTTACAACGGACAAAATGGTGATAGAATCAAGGAATGAACAAAATAATAGAGGTCTTAAATTGCTTTCTTCTCCTGAGGAATCATCTTTGTTAACACTCCATACACAACAAAAAGCTTTATCATCTGGTTTGGAAATTGAGGACTTTGATGGCGTAAACAAAGACAACGAAGAAGAGCAGAACCCATCCAACATGTGCTGCAGCAACTGCTCCAAGGAAGTCATGTTCATAGCCGAAAGACTGTTTAAGGTACTCTTTCACTGGAAGGTCGCCGTGATCAGGAATGTGGACAAGTTCTGTTGTTTCTCCAAGCTGTGATGTAATGAGGCCATAGATTGTCCACGCAACAGGAGAACCCCAATAGTACCACCTCCACCAGATTGGGATTGCCTGCGAATCGCAACATTGTTTTTAGAAGTCAAGTAGTTTCCTCAATTATGAATTAACTGAACATGCTGCAACTTTTAAGGTAGGACTTACCATTCTAGGAATGAGGAAACCAGAGAACAGGTTCCAGAAGCTGAGGAAAAATGACATGAGAATCGCAGCGATCTGGTAACTTGGTGTCAGTGCAACAAGCATCATTCCGTAGAGGGTGAAGTACACGAAACACATGAACACGTAGTAGTAGAACCAGAAGAACTTGTCTGCTTCCCATTGGAATCCAATCATCGAGTAAAGGAGAAGACTGTAAACAAAAGTTTGCACGCCGACATACATAGTCTCGACAGCCACCTGCATTGGAAAAAGAGCGTTAAAGAATCAGTTGTTGGATCATTTTCTTCAAGAAGGGAATAAGGGGATTCCAGATCTATGTACCTGTGCAAATGCATAAGGCAAAGCCGAAAACATTCCTGCTGCTTTCTCGCGATAAAAGACTGTCCTCTCAATAGCAACGACTGACTGTACTGCGGAAGTGTTTGTTCCTCCCAGGAAAAGAACAGCAGCATACATTGCTCCAAGAAGATTCTTCAAATCTTGGGCTTTGTTCCTGTGTAAAGAATCAGATTATTGAAGAGTCTCTTTTCAGAACATTAACAGCAGCATTGTTTATTTAAAAAGATTAGAAGAGTAAAGCTTACATTTTGGTTCCTTTGTTCCAGAAAATAACTCCAAATATCAGTCCAATTACTGTTGTCATAAAGAATCGGATCACATTGTACTGAGGATTTCTCCAATAAGACCAATACTGTTTCCAAAAACAGGCTTTGAACTGAGTAATGAATGGTTGAGAGTACTTCGTGGGGAAGTACAAGTCCTGGGACCCTGGAGCTGGATTACTCAGCTCTTTAATAAGCTGTTTATTTCTCCTGCAGCGGAAAATGAGTTACAAGGAAGTTAATGCCGGCTGCGAAAAGAAAAAGAACTTAGTAACAGTGATCGCCGAGCTTTATTGACATACTTGTGGAGATCAGAGGTTGCATAGATTTCTGAAAAGTCCACTCCGAGTTGATTTTCAATAGCAGAGGAACTGACTTCCAGCATCCATGTGGCCGGATTATATCCATCTGTTATCTTGGTAACCCCCGGAACAGACTGATATAGATATAAAAAGTGAAATCAAATGATTAGTCTCACTACAACAATAGCAGGAAATGGCCGTAGAATATGCAGTTCGAAGAAAATTCCGAGAATATGATATGAACTCACTTCAAAGTAATCAATTAAATGCTGAGATTGGTGACCCAGAGGTCCAGCATAAATGACTTGCCCTCCTCTCTTCATTAAAAAGAGCTGGTGAAATTGCAAGGAAAGGTCAGCTGGCAATCTTCAGTACTGTGTACTTGTATTAGCTAGACTTATTAACTTATAGTGTGAAAGTACCTCATCAAAGGCTTCAAAGATGTCTATGCTTGGCTGGTGAATGGTGCAGACAACGGTTCGGCCTGTGTCCACCGTGTTCCTCACAGCTCTCATGACAATTGCAGCAGCTCTAGCATCTAAACCTGAGGTTGGTTCATCCATGAAAATGATTGATGGGTTGGCAACTAATTCGACCGCGATGGTAAGCCTTTTTCTTTGTTCTGTAGATAAACCATCTACTCCAGGAAGGCCAACTAAAGAGTTTCTCAGTGCATTCAGTTCAACCAAATCCATAACTTCCTCCACAAACATCTGAATCAACAACAAAACAGAAAAATGCTTACAATGATCACCTCAACTTTGACTAGATGATGAATCAGAAAGTATTTTGGAGAAATCCACACCTTTCTTGTTTCTGCATTCACTTCAGAAGGAAGTCGCAGCCAAGCGGAGTACAGAAGAGACTCGTAAACAGTAACATTTGGAGAATGGATGTCGTTCTGTTCACAATATCCACTAACACGAGCAAAAGTTTCTTGGTTCTTAGGGTAGCCAGAGATGCTGATATTTCCTTCGATATATCCTCCGGTTTTCCTACCGGCTAGAACATCCATCAAGGTGGTCTTTCCAGCACCACTGACTCCCATTAGTGCTGTCAAAACTCCAGGCCTGAAAGCACCACTGACTTCTCTCAACAGTTGGAGTCGAGTCTCTTCAATTCCTTGACTCTTCATTTCCTGATTAAAGAACAGACATTGATGTCAATTAGAGTTGTTTATACTACACTCGATCTGAAATCTTTCTGCTAAGGCAAGATCATAGTTCAGATAGGGACTTACTGCAGGCATGTCAACATAGTAGTTTACTTCATCAAATGAAAGTGACAAGGGCTGAAATGGTAGCACCATTCCTTTTTTGTTGGCTACATCTGAATTGCTTTTCACTGCCATGTACCAATAAGAAATAGTTTAGCATTATATTGGAAGGTAAACAAGCAAACAGATAATGAAATCACGGTGAGAAAATCGACAAAAAGTAGCTGGAAAAAATTTTACTTTCAAACATTGGTGCAGTAGATGTGGAGCTCCTGTCTGATATTGCCTTGGCATTAGAGAATTGTCGTTGAGTTTTCTTAATTTCATCATCCTCATTTACTTTCACTGACTTAGATTCCGCAAATGCTGCATTTTATGGTTCAGGAAATTGTCATGATCAGAAGCTGATGCTATAAATAGTAAACAGAAAATGATTTCGTCCTGTTTACTTACGGTTCAAGTATGTGAGTGCCGCTACAAAGCAGAGGTTGAAAAAGATGGAAAATGCAAACAGCGCAATGACACAAATCCAGTACCAACGTTGTTCTGTGAACATTCCCATACCATCAAGAAGTTCCATTCCGACCGTTTTTCCCGCAAACCTTGTATCATTATTAGGCTGCAATGGTAATTGCAGGTAAAAGAAGTCTTATGAGAATTCAAGTGGCAATAAAACTGAAGACAATCTGTCAGAAAAATGATTTAGAAGCTCACCGCATGCCATCTCTTGTCGAGAAATTCGACAATAACAATTGCATTCTGGCCATAAGACATTGGGGAGATGTAGTAAGCCCATTTCAACCAAGGCTGGAGATCATCTGCAAAAAAAAATTAAGATTTCAAATTTCATCAACATTTGAAATGGCTGTGACACTTGAAAAGAATAAGTATCGTAAGTGAAGTTTACAGGATTCATCGACTTACTTTTCGCAATGATGAATCCACCAAGGACGAACACTAATAGCAATGTAAAGGTTCCAAATGTGTTTGCTACAACCTGTGTTCTTCCAAGAGCTGCAACAAAACGGAACAGACCCAAAGCCATCTGATGGATGCCAATATATGCCAACAGTTGCATAAAGAATCTGTTCAAAAATCAAAACGGAGAACAAAATCAGAATATAAGACCATCATACTGTCGTTGACATTTTAATTGTCACCAGAAAGTAAGTGGAAGTTTAAAAAATTTCCTACCTACTGGCAGAAGGAGCAAAGCCAATGGTGTAGTAAGTAAGAATAATCCAAATGAGTGAATCTAACACCGAAACGGGGATCCTCAGAAGCCAAATTGGGAGAGCAAAAGCCCAGGCAGGGTAAAACAAGGAGTCCCTCTGTTTGAAAAACACAGGGAGCCTGAAAATAGTCATGGCAAGCTCAGCCATCCCATTGAACATCACATTGAGAAGACTGAAGAATAGCGCGCCGAAGAATTTGGCGCCATCTTCGCTTGTACCCGATTTCATCTGTGTCCTGAAGAACACAGTAAAAGTGAACACAGCCATGATTGTGATCTGGACAGTCTTGAAAATGTACACAAAGGAGTTCCTTTTCATCAAGAGCCACTCCCTTGACAGGCAAGCTCTAAACAGTTCTTTGTTGGAAATTCCATATTTATCTTTAACCAATGCTGCTGGATGGGTTTTACTTCTGTCATATGGAACACTAAGTTCACTATACATGTTCTGCCCAACATGAAAAGATCTGAACTGATCAGCAAAATCTGATACCGATACATATCTATAAGGTTCATCCTTTCTGAACCAATATTGCTCCTGATCCTTCTTAGATGTAACCTCTTGCAGAAAATCAGCAATTCCCTTCCTCTCAGGGCATTTGAAACCGACATCTTCAAAGAAATCGAGCACATACTCACGAGGACCATGATACACGATTTGTCCTTCTGAAAGCAATATGATATCGTCAAACAAATCAAATGTTTCAGGTGCTGGTTGCAGAAGAGAGATTATCATGGTGACATCCATGATATGAACCATTTGCCTCATGTACTTGATTATCTGGAATGTCGTTGAGCTGTCAAGACCGGTAGAGATTTCATCCATGAAGAAAACTTTTGCAGGCCCAACCAACATTTCTCCTGCATTTCCCAACAAATAATGATTGTTTCAACCCCGTCAAAGTGATATAACTTCTTGAACTGAAGTAAGTTAGGATGTAAGAATTTTTACATACCAGTTGTAACTCGCTTCTTTTGTCCACCCGAAATACCTCTTCTCATGTCATCACCAACCATGGTATCAGCACAGATGTCCAGTCCAAGTATCTGCGGTTCATCATCTAACAGTTTCAGCACTAACCAAAAAACGCAAAAATTGTAGAAAACTGAAACCGGATTATAGGATGAACCTTTAGAACATAATCAGTGACCAAACTGGTCTTTTGTCCTGCCATTGCAGTGGACTTCATGAAGGCATCTATCTCAGGATCAGGTTTAATTCCTGCATCTTTTTCTCTTCTCGACATTTCTGCTAGAAGCTCATATCTGGTTCCAACTCCGAGGCATCTTCCAGAGAAGTCCAAGGTTTCCCTGACTGTCATCTCACCATGATGAAGATCATTCTGACTGATATAAGCACAAGTTCTCTGAGGAATGAATTCTTTCAACTCGTGACCACAGTAAGTGATCTTTCCATCAACCTATCACCAATAACGCAATTATAAATTTTTCTTTTTTATTGGCATTGCAGTTTCTGTGATCAAAATTGTTACTTTTCTTGAAATGTAAGGAAAACTAGAACATACTCTAAGATCATCCTCCAGCTTTCCTGCTAAAGCCTTCAACAATGTAGTCTTTCCTGATGCCGGAGGCCCCAATAACAATGTCATTCTGAAATATTAGAAATTTCTTCAGCAAAGATGTCGTAACAGACTATGAAGAAAGCTAAAAGATTGCTGCAAAGTTGCTCAACAAGGCATAGCTGATAATGTCAATATTGGAATTGATTTTCTTTTATATTTTCAATGTGGGTACCTTGATGGTTTTACTAATCCTGACACTTCATCAAGTATTTTGACAGCCTCCTTCTTTGATGGGAAAACCTTGAGCGATCCCAAAAATCCCTAGTTGTTCAACGAAAAAGATGCATAGAAAGATCAGTGAGGAAATGTGGAACCACATCTAACTAGCTACATTCCATGAGTTCAAATGTACGGATTTTGAAACAAAGAAAGACAATTTGTGTTTGCTATGAAGTAATTTTTCCGACTTATGGAATTGGTTTGTAGGCAATGCTGGAGCTACAGTTTGTAATACCATACATTTGAGTTCAAGAAGAAGACACAACAAATACCTCAATGGAATTTATTGAAGAGTTGAAAAGAGTTGGAAGTGCTCTACTCCCAACAAATGCATCTCCTTCAACAGATAAGTTCTGATATCTGATCTCAACTGTGGGTATGTCAATCCCGATCCTGTATCATGAACATAATTCGATTAGGTGAATGAATCCAAGTATCCAACCATTAAACTTCCACGATGAAGCAAGTTGATTATTTCTAGTTAACAGATCATCCATTTCACCTGTCAGTTCGATCGCGAAGCCTCCTCAGGAATCTTTCATTATCGTCTTCAACAACTTTTAGTATACTGTCCATGAGATTCTTCTTGTCATCTATACAAAGGTGGGCAACATCAACTTCTTCATGAATAACTCTTCCATTGTCCAAAACTTGCGTAAGCATGCTCTTCCTCAGCCGATCATAAGTTGGAAGCCTCTCAATTGCAGCCCATTTGAGCTCCTCTTCATCATCCTGCCTCCCACTCTTCTGAAATGCATCACCTCCTGGTGCTCCCAACACCTCCCGGATACTTGCTGAAGCCCAACCTTTCTTACTGGCCGATGAACTACCCCGCCGGCTCATGGTCCTCCTCAAGTCATCCGTTGTCACAGGCGCCGCCATTTTTATCTCTAGAAACTCTGGAACACACTAGGTGCTCAAGAGCTTCAATCAAATTTCTTCAAGTTTGCAACAAGAGTGTTAAAGAATGAATGAAGAATGTTTATAAAAGAATGGTAAACCAAAAACAAAAATGGTTAGTTTAAAGGCTGTTTTTTTTTTTACTATGTAGGGGAAGATTGCAGAAAAGGAGTTCAGGAGCCATGAATATATATACCGGGGATGATACTAATGCTTTCAGTACCAGAGAATGTGCCAAATCCAGGAATTGTGAAGTGATCTAATAGACAAAAGACCATTATTCTAAACTTTGTAACCATATTATTACCTTAAAATAGGTTGATAAAGTATTCTAAAATTTGTCCTTTCTGATTAGCTTCTTGATATAGTCGCAAAGATTCGATAAATATATGAGATCTTTCAATGCTTTCAACCTCTGAAAGTTGCCATGCACGAGTAATTGTCTTGCATGTTTGACCTTAAAACAAACAACCAAAGTAAAGAATAATAAACAGGTCAGGTAACTTCATATTTTGCCCAGTCAATAGTCTTGTCAGATTTTTGACTCTTTACTGTTAAAAATCAATCCACGATGACCCTTGATCATATAAGCATAAAGGTGCGGGGAGATACTCAAGGACTCCATTTTATTTTTTCCCTCCATTTTGTTCTCTTTCAGGATTTCTTTCATTACTGTTCATCAAGATTAACTAGTCTTTGATTATTAATTTAGTGACTAATGTAACCAATTTTTTTCTCCTTTTGCTCTCAGTATTCAACCAGAAAAGGCCAACGAATTTGGCTGTTTCCTGGATAGCTTATGCCAGGATAAAGATAGAAAGATTCAGACAAGAATTCAAGACATAAAGTTCATCAATATCACTATCAAAAAAGAACCAATGCATTAATAACAAAAACTACAATCAGGATTCAGCAAAACATGTAGTGTTCCCTCAGCTAATTTCAAAACTGTGGTATTAATGAAGACTATAATGAATACAAAGTAACAGCTCTTCCTCTGTGTTTATGTTATGTACAATAATTTGTATCTACCGATAAAGAATTCAGATTTCAGAAATTCCCTTATCTTCTCTGGAAGTTGAGGAACTTGATGCCATAAGCAAACACGACAGCAAAGAGGACTACCCAACCAACATGGGCAGCAGCAACTGCTCCTAGGAAATCATACTTGAATCCCAAGTATTGTTTTAAGTACTCCTTTATCGCTATCTCCCCAGAGCCGGGTATTTCAACTGGATCATCTTTGTCACCTACTTGAGAAGTCACAAGGCCGTATATTGTCCATGCAACTGGAGATGCCCAGTAATACCATCGCCACCATATCGGGATTTGCTGCAAGCATTTCATCAGATATACAGCGGTCAGGTTTTGTATAAAACTTCAACAGAATAGCCTATTACAAGCAATATATATTATGTTTGCAATCATCACAACTAGCCATTACTAGTCAGAAAAGGAAGAAAATCAGGGCACCCACATATAGAAGAAACTGATACTGTGAAAGTTTATTTCAAAATTGAAACTTTACGTTGAATCATCATAGATATTCTTGGATAAAAATACTTTCTGTTCTGCAGAATAATTTCTTTAATCCTGCTTACCGTTCGAGGAATCATGAAACCAGAGAACAAGTTCCAGAAATTGAGGAAGAAAGACATAGATATGGCAGCAATCTGGTAATTTGGAGTCAGAGAAACAAGCATCATCCCGTACATCACGAAGTAGGTGAAGCACATAAAAACGAAGTAGTAGAACCAAAAGAATTTATCAACCCTCCAGTGGAACCCAATCATTGAGTAAAGGAGAAGACTGTAAACCAAAGTCTGGATCCCAATGTAAATGGTCTCAATAGCCACCTGCAATCATCATTAGGTCACAAATTTATTTTCCAAATAAGGGTTAATTTCCACGAATAGAAGGCATCATACTCACTGCTATAAGTTTTACCTGAGCAAATGCGTAAGGCAATGCTGAATACATTCCTGCTGCTTTTTCACGATAAAACACTGTTCTTTCTACTGCCACCACAGACTGCACAGCTGAAGTGCTTGTTCCACCGAGAAACATAACGGCTGCATACATAGCTCCGAGAAGATTTGTCAAGTCTTGTTGTTTAGACCTGATGGATTGATGATTGACAGTAAGCTAAGTATTTGAAAGGAAAAAGAACAGGAAGGAAGTATTTTCCAAATGGCTGCAGAATCCTGAGAAGGGTAGACTTACATTTTGTTCCCTTTTTTCCAGAAAATAACTCCAAATATGATGCCTATTAAGACTGTCATGAAAAATCTTATGGCATTGTACTTTGGATTCCTCCAGTAGGATAGGTTTTGTTTCCAGAAACAAGCCTGACACTGGGTGAAAAACGACTGAGAATATTTAGTAGGAAAATAGAGATCCTTGGACCCTGCTGGCGGAGTACTTAGTTGATTGATAAGTTCTTGATTCCTCCTGATAAATGGCAAAAGTTCAAAGTTCAATTTCAGATGCAAGAAAACCTAAGGAACACCATAATTAATAGGGTTAGATCTTTTTTTAATTGAGATACCGGTAAAGATCAGAATTTGCATAAATTTCTGCAAAGTCCACATCAAGCTGAGCCTCAACTGCAGGAGTACTGACATCCAGCATCCATGTCGCAGGATTATAACCATCTCTAATTTTAGGAACCCCAGGAATAGCCTGAAAAAAAATGAAAACAGATGTCAATGGACGTCATCATGTTCCAAAAAGGAGATCCTTATTATCTTGAACGCTGTCTATTTAGTCATGCGCCTGTATAACAATTCTTTTCTCTTTCCAAACTGATTAGAAATAGTATCTTTGCACTAGCATTTTCGGGATATTCTCTCAACCAATATGAACTGCTGGTGGTAGGATTCAATATATCTGGTTACAAGAAATGAAAGCAAGAAAGCGAACATTGTCGAAAATATAGAAATGAAACTCACTTCAAAGTATTCAACCATGAGTTTGGAATGATGACCAAGGGGTCCAGCATAGATGACTTGGCCGCCTCTCTTCATCAACAATAGCTATCAAGGAAGGCAAAGAAGAATTACTAAACTTGGGAGAGAAATTTTAAGACGGAAAATAGAACCAGCAGTAACACAGGGCCATGTACAACCACGTGATACCTCATCAAATGCTTCAAAGATATCTATACTTGGTTGGTGAATTGTGCATACAACAGTTCGCCCTGTGTCAACGGTGTTTCTTACAGTGCGCATCACTATTGCAGCAGCCCTAGCATCCAGGCCAGATGTGGGCTCATCCATAAATATTATGGATGGATTTGCCACCAGTTCCACAGCTATTGTGAGCCGCTTTCTCTGTTCAGTTGAAAGGCCATCTACTCCAGGAAGCCCGACTAAGAGATCTCTCAAAGGATTCAACTCAATCAAGTCCATTACTTCATCAACAAACATCTGCACATATAAGCAGCAAAGACATTTAATCTTGACTGTAGATCGGAACCAAATAGAAACTCCCTTTTCACAGGGAAGTTTTAATCAAATGAGAGATCATCATGAAGCTACAGAAGAATAAATGTGTGGTAGAAAATATCAGACAAAACTGCCGTATGAAATGGTCTTTAAATTAACGAGCAGACCAGAAAGAACTGCTTACCTTTCGTGTCCTCTTATCTATATCTGGAGAAAGACGTAACCAAGCTGAGTATACGAGGGACTCATAAACTGTAACATGAGGAGAATGTATATCATTCTGTTCACAGTAGCCACTAACACGAGCAAAAGTTGATTGGTTCTTGGGGTACCCAGAAATGCTAATACTTCCTTCTATGTACCCGCCAGTCTTTCTTCCTGCCAAAACATCCATCAATGTAGTTTTCCCAGCACCACTGACACCCACTAATGCTGTTAAAACACCAGGCCTAAAAGCCCCACTAACATCACGCAACAACTGAAGGCGAGTCTCGTCAACTCCTTGCTTTTTCATTTCCTGATCAAAATCAGAAATAGGACCCAGTGTATCAGATATAGAAAATCAACATTCAACGTTATACGTCATTGTGCATGCATATGCTTTACAGTTTGACAGATGCAGTTCAGCATGAAGGGATGTCTGAATTTAGAAATCCTAAACTTATAAGCAAGAAGGAAAAGAAAAAATGGAAGGAGGGGGTGTGGGGAGGAGGGGAAGGGTTTTATAGCTGAGGAAATTAAAACTAAGCATCGAAAGAGAAATCTCAAAATGCTGTTCTGTAATTTATAGAATTAAGGCATCTTGGAATTAGTAAATCAGTAGTTAAAAATGGAAACCAATTAAACTTCCGGAAGAATAACTCACAGCTGGCATATCAACATAATAATTGACATGATCGAATGCAAGTGACAGTGGCTGGAATGGTAGCACCATTCCTCTCTTCCCTATTCCGCTTGAGTTGCTCTTATCACTTGAATTTCGTACAGCCATATCTATCCCTGCAATGTATCAAACTGTCAAATACTAAAAACGGATGGATTAGTCATAATTTCCTCCATCTGCATATATTCTTGTAAAATTTAAAACGGAGCAAGTAGGTTCTGCATGTTCATTTGTTGTCCAGCAAAACTTTTATCCACAAATGCTGATGATCATAATATTTGGCGAGCACTGAGACGGGAATTTTCTTTTCTTAAAGAAATGTTTATTTATTCTAGAAGTTAATATGTGTATATTCACTGCCAGTTCTTCAATGGTTTTACCCTTGGTAATTGTTGATTGAGGATGAAAACAGAGAAAAAGATAATATTAAAAAAAAGAAATCCTGCAAGATTTGCCTGATAAATGGGAGCATATGAGTTTCTGCAATCTCCAACTCATAGACTTCCCTTCCACATTCCATTTTTAATCAGCTGAATAAATGTGTTGACCTTTGAAGACGACAGAAAACAGGTGCATCTAACCTTCAAACATTGGACCCGTAGATGTTGAGCTTCTCTCTGTAGGAATAATTGTGTTAGAGGGCTGCTTCTTTTTCCCTCGTTTATCCTCCTCATCAACAAGAATAGTTTTAGAATCGCCAAAAGCTGCAATCACAGGAATACTCAGTTAGATAACAATCTTAAGATCCCTGGTATGAGAAAAAAGCAAATGCACAGTTATAACTTACGATTTAAATATGTTAAGGCCAGAATGAATAGAACGTTGAAGAGAAGTGAGAAGCCAAATAGTGCAACGATGCAAACCCAATACATGTAGTCATCCACAAACATGCCCCTAGTCTTAAGAAGAACCTTCCCAACGGTGGGTTGAGAGAACCTTGGGTCAATGTTGGGCTGAAAAGGAGGAAAGAAGACGAGTTATGTTGAATGGAGTATCGACAATCAAATCAGTTTGACAATATACAAATCTACAATAAGAATTTATCAGCAGAGCTTACAGCACTCCATCTTTTGTCAAGAAACTCATTGATGACTATAGCATTCTGTCCATACATCATAGGAGAAACATAGAAGCCCCATATCATCCATGGTTTGATGTCATCTGCATGCATGATAAGGAATACGTAGGATCAATCTGTTGACTGTCAGGACCAGTCAGAAAATCATTTCGCCACAGCAACACAGTGGCATACTCTCTGAAAGCTAATGAAACTAACCTTTAGCGATAATGAATCCACCGAGAACAAACACCAAAAGTAATGCAAAAGTACCAAGAGTATTAGCAACAACTTGGACTCTTCCAAGAGCTGCGATAAAACGGAAGAGAGACAATGCCATCTGATGCAATGCGAAAAATGCCAACAATTGGCGGAAGAACCTGCGTGATTTTGATGGGAGATAAGTTATATGATGCACCAATTTAGTTACCAAAGCATGCTGGCTGATTGAATGTTTGTGTAAAAAAGACAATTGAAACAGGGGAGCAATTTAGCTCCTCAATGTTTAGAGTATTTATAAATTACTAATGGGTTCATGTTTAGAAATTGAAGTGACAGAACTTACCTGCTAGCTGCAGGAGCAAAGCCTATGGTGTAATAAGTAAGAATAATCCATATCAATGATTCCATTAGCGAGAGGGGTATCCTGAGGAGCCAAATTGGAAGAGCAAAAGCCCAAGCAGGATAGAAAAGAGAATCTCTCTGTTTAAAGAACACAGGAAGCCTGAAAATGGTAAGAGCAAGCTCTGCTGTACCATTAAACATCACATTGATCAGGCTGAAAAACAGTGCTCCGTAAAATTTGCCTCCATCTTGTAACCGACCAACCTTCATTTCTGTTCTAAAAAATACCGTAAAAGCAATAATAGACATGATAGTGATTTGAGTTGTCTTGAATATGTACAAGAAAGAGTTGCGTTTCATCAGTAACCATTCCCTCGATAAACAAGCCTTAAAGAGTTCCATATTTGAGATGCCATACTTTTCAGTGACTAATGCAGCAGGATGAGTTCTTCTTTTGTTGTAAGGAGCGGCAAGTTCATCAAACAGATTCTGTCCAACATGGAAAGAACTAAAGCGATCCACAAATTCAGGCACCGACACAAAATGGTAAGGTTCATCTTTCCGGAACCAGTATTGCTCTTGGTCCTTCACGGAGGTAACCTCTTGCAAAAAGTCAGCAACTCCTTTCCTATCAGGACACCTAAAGCCAACACTTTCAAAGAACTCCAGAACTTGCTCACGTGGACCTTGGTAGACTATTTGACCTTCCGAAAGCAAAATAATATCATCAAAGAGATCGTAAGTTTCTGGAGCAGGTTGAAGAAGTGAGATTATCATGGTCACATCCATAATGTGAACCATCTGCCTCATGAACTTGATAATCTGAAATGTGGTGGAACTGTCAAGCCCAGTGGAGATCTCATCCATGAAGAAAACTTTGGCAGGGCCAACCAACATTTCTCCTGCATTTATAAATTAAAACAATCTTGATTACAGTGAAATCAAACAGACAGAAGTTGGCATGGTTAATGAGGGCCAGCACAAATTTAAACCAAAAAAAGTTTATGAATATGTAAGATGGAACTTTCCACTTACCAGTTGTAAGACGTTTCTTCTGTCCACCTGAGATACCCCTCATCATCTCGTTTCCCACCATTATATCAGCACAAATATCTAACCCAAGTATCTGCGACATAAGCTCAAAAGTCAATAGATACAGAATTAAAGATTCACTATGTGCAAAAGGAAAAAAAAAAAAAAAAAAAAAAAAAAAGAAAGAGAGAACACTGACCTTAAGAACATAATCTGTGACTAGACTAGATTCTTGGCCGGCTACTGCTGTTGCTTTCATGAACGCATCTATCTCAGGGTCAGGCTTTATTCCAGCATCTTTTTCTCTTCTGGACAGTTCTGCTAGAAGGTCATATCTAGTTCCAACTCCTAAGCAACGCCCTGCGAAATCCAACGTCTCTCTGACAGTCAGCTCCCCATGGTGGAGATCATGCTGGCTAATATATGCACAAGTCCTTTGAGGAATAAACTCATACAATTCATGACCACAGTAAGTGATTTTTCCATTGACCTGTTCGCAAAGAATCATGAAAAATGAGGCATCACCTTTTTTTTTTTTCATTCTTATTATTATTTTGCAAGAAGCCTGAGAAAACCAACCCTTAAATCCTTTTCTAGAGCTCCAGCAAGTGCCTTTAGCAAAATCGTTTTCCCAGCTCCTGGAGGTCCAAGAAGTAGTGTCATCCTAGATACCAAACAACAACGAAAAATGATTAGTGTCATCCTAAATATAAAATTCAAGCTGGAACTTTAAAAGTTTCTAGGACTAACCTTGATGGCTTTACCACTCCACTAACATCATGGAGTATCTTCACAACTCGTTTCTTTGAAGGGAAAATCCTCAGTTTTCCCAGAATACCCTATCAAGGGGGAAAAAGGAAAAATGTGAACAACATAGATATTTACAGGTAATAACTAGACATATCATCTTGGCTAACATTAGTCAGAACTCAGAATGTAAAACAACCATCTACCTCTATTGTGTTTATAGAAGCATTTAGCAGTGTAGGAAGCGCTCGGGATCCTACATATGCATCCCCTTCAATCGACAAATGCTCATACCGAACTTCAATTTTTGGAATATCTATTCCCACCCTATTCAACAGGAAAATGACTTAATCACATAAGCTTGTTGCAAAGAAGAAGTATGACCATGAATCGGATATGATGATGAACTGAAAAGTCAGGAACTAATTTGACTCACCGATCCGTCCTGTCTCTCAGTCGCCGAAGAAATTTCTCATTGTCTTCTTCCACAACTTTGAGGATACTTTCCATGAGTTGCTTTTTATCTTGCATTCCAAGTTTGGCAACATCGACCTGTTCTTGGACGACTCTGCCATCATCTAACACTTGCTTCAGAATTCCTTTTCTTAATCGATCATACGTGGGAAGTCTCTCAATTGCAGCCCACTTGAGCTCCTCTTCATCATCTTCCCTCCTACTCCTCTGGAAAACATCTCCTCCAGGCCCACCAAATCCTTCCCTTACACTAGCTGAAGCCCAACTTCTGGAACTAATTGAAATGCTCAATCTCCTACTCGCAGAACTTCTGCTTATGGACCTGGCCAGATCATCTCTGGCCATCGTCGTCATTTGTACCCTTTGTGTTTACCAAAATGCCTGGTTTCGAACTTCCTTTTATGCCAGGAACACTTCTCACCCAAAATCAGAACCAAAATTCAGAGAATTTTCAGAGAGAATTCAACCATCCTGCCAAATGAAACACCCACAAGTATTACAAAAGTGGAGAGGAATAAAGGAACCATATACACAGTAAGTTAACTGATTCTTGATCATTGAAAATACAACAAAACAGGTGAACTTGAAGTTTATTTCTTATTCTTTGTCAATCTGCTAAAATCTGTTTCCATACATAAAGAACAGTAAGCAGTAAGCACCCACACAGAAAAGAGTTCTTTATTCCATTTTTAACGATTCTAAAATCAAACAAAGGAGCAAAACACATGCCTGGTCCATCACTTCATTGTTCAAAGAATCAACACAGATGCATATCCCCCAAAAGAAAAAAAGAAAAAAAGGAAAAAAACCCAGAAAAGAAACAGTAAAGTAAATTAGAACAAGTAAAGAATCTTCAATAAAAAATAAAAAAAAAAATTGAACTTTCGAAGTACCAAGAAAAACTCACAAGTAGTTGAGAGATATTATGCAAGAATTGAATGAAACCAAACAATGTGGACATTGAAGAACTGGTGGTAGCCCCCCTCCCCTTTCAAAACAAAAAAAAATCAAGAAAATATCCAGAGCATGGTACTGTAGTAGTTAGTTATCCTCAGAGTTGGAGCCCAACTAAAAATGCAGGAACTCCATAATAATTAGAAGTCCACATAAGTAAGGATTAGATAAAGATGTGCATTGAAAAATCTGGCCACAGGACAACGCCAGAGTGATATGATATGATTTGATTCGATGTCTAAAAATAGAAGTGTATATGAATAAGATGGTTGGCCAGAAGTCTGAACAGAGAACTAGTACAATTTTACACAACACACTACTGGTATTATATGAACCATGAAGCTGCTAATGCGTACCTACCAATACCATTCGAAAAAAAAAAGATTTGATTTTTACAGTATAATAGTGTATATGATTGAACACGTTGGCAGTCAAATTGTAGTATTTAAGGTGAGAAACCCAGAAAAAATTATTGGGTAAAAGGCGGAGTCAGAATTTGTGGGTTTCAGTAGGGGAATTCTAAGATGCCCTACAGTACTTCCATGAAAATTTGCCAACCTTTGTGGTTGATGCTGCTGGGGTTCTCTATCTCTCTCCCATCCTTTTGGGCCATTTTTTGTTTGTTGGTTTCTTTTAACAATATTTATTTATTTTTTTGGTATGCTTTCCGGTGAGGCTTTTTTGACTTTTTGTGTGTCAGCTTTTTAGTGTCACGATTTCTTTTTTTTATTTATTTATTTATCCATCTATCTGAATTATTTTTTTATTTTTTTTTTTGAAACATGTATGAATGAATTGAGTTCTAGGGACGGCTTATGATTTGTAAATTCAACATGCACGCAACATTAATTTTATTTTATTTTATTTAGGATTTTCGTCAAAATGCCCCTTCGTAAACTTTGACGGTATATAAACGTGTATATATTTAAAACACAAAATAATTTCCGAACGTTCTTTCGTGTCCAAAACTGCTATCCTGGAACTTACGTAGGCAAAGATTGCTTCACAATTTTTCAACCTAATAACTAGCCATCCCATAAAACAGTTTTATATATACATCTTATAATTTGGCCGGTTTGTTTTGAGTTCTTCTTTATTTTTTAAATGTACTAGAATTTATCACAAATGTAATAGTACATCGATGATTAAAGTAATTTAGTTCGATTCTATACATTTTAATCAACCGGCGGAGATATAACAAATGTAATAGTACATCGATGATTAAAGTAATTTAGTTCGATTCTATACATTTTAATCAACCGGCGGAGATAGTACATATAGAACAAATCCAATTCCTTTGAATCCTTTGGTAATGTGCGCTAGTGCCACGACAATAGAGCGTACACAAAAAAAAAAAAAAAACTAATTTCAATCGTTTGTTTCGTTTTTTAGTGTGTGTTTTCAGGTTTTTTCTATTAAAAATATTTTTAAAAAATGTATTAAAAATGTAAAAAAATATATTAAGATGAGACAATTGATAATAAAATAATCTGAAAAAACCAACCATAAAAGAAAAAAAACATACATAAATCCCTTCACTGAATCAATAAACTAAACATTTAGTATCGCGACAAATTAAAATATTGGGATATATTAGAATGTTTTATTTACTATATTATTCATCTAAAAATCAGGACTTCTGTTTGTCCAAGTCAAATGATACAACAAGATGATACAGAGAGAGGATTCAATTACATGTACATATGTTTTTACTCCAATTGATGAGTACAAGATTAAGAACTTGCATATTTCATTCATTTGGCCTGCATATAGAAAATTCTGAACATATTGAAAGTTCGTATTTGTTCATTCCACTTTCATCAATTTTTGTTGGGGGGGCGAATCAAAAGATTTTCTTCAGAATCACTTTGTAAGTCGAACCTATTTTTCCTCGTCGGAATGTGGATATAGTAATCTTATAAGCTATTGAAAAGGAAAGTCTTTCCAATAATTGCATCCTCTCAATTTGCATGTCTTTCTGAACCAATACGAACATGATGATTATCATAGTACTATTGCTTTTGCGAGTTTGCATGTGCTATGAATGCTAAAGTACTCTCTTTCCGAACGCCCAAAATAAAAATCTTATTTTATTAATTAAATTGAAAATAATAGAATAAATAAATAAAATTCTTACGAATCTCACAACTCAAAAATGAATTGTACTTTTTAATATAACTCATAAATTGTATGTAAATCAGTTTTCTAGTGCGGACCAAGTTTTTCTTTAAAGGTTTTTATAGCTTTTTCAGATTAACTTATTAATAAATATTTCATCTCATTGTATTTTTTTTAATATATTTTGAATACACTTATTTATATTTTCATTAGAAAGACACGTGATAGTAGATATAAAAAAGTCATTAAACATATATATCCAGTGACCTCGAAGTTCTAGACCATGAAAAACAAACTCGACCGTGCCTCTTGGTGAAAGGCAAAATAAAATAAAAAAAAAAGAAATAAAAAGGGAAGAAATGCAGAAGAAAAAACGGTTGGATGCAGCGAGGCTCATAAATTTTTTTTTTTTTTTTGGGGGCTGCTGGGTGCTACTAGAAGATAGGAGGACCATGCTTTCTCTGGAGTTGTTTCCTTCAATAAGTTGAAGAATGTCACCATCCACAAGGCCAACCTTGTATTAATGAATTAATTCCGGCTGCTTCCTCCATCAATTTATTTTATCGTATCCCACTGTCACTGTTTTTCGTCCCACGTTAATTCTTTTCACTCCAGATATTGACAACTCGTCAGGGGGCAAAATCAAAAAAAAAAAAAACAAAAAACAAAAAAAAGGAGATTTTAAAATGAAACTATTAACATGTACTATGTAGTAATTAATTTGGGAGTCGAATAACAATTTTAGAGATGAAGATGAAAACTTCCTCGAGAGAATACCTGAATTTGATTTAGATTGGGTTAGGAATTAGATAGGGATAAGGTAGTTTAGATAGAGAGCAATCCATAAAAACAAAGAAAAAAAAATCTCATCCAGTAATTAATAATAGTGTGACTAATATATACTAACCCAAAACTGCTCATCCTTCGTTAAAAAGGACCCATGCATTTGGGAAGCTGTATATACTGATATTATGCCCGCACATTGTGCAGATTTTAATATATTTTAGAATAACATTAATATATTATTATTTTTCTATAAAAATGTCATATGTTTTATTTTTTCATTTTTTTTAGTATAATAAGCAACCGGAGTCCGAAATCAAGAGTGTCAAATGTTTTTTTTCCCTTCCGTTTTTGGTATATAGCGCATCCGGTATTTGAAATCATTGTTCCAACTAATCCGTTTTCGAATCGGGTAGGTCTCTTTCGGAAGAAAAATCTCTTCCAACAATCATTACTGCATGCTCATGCGCAGTTTTAATCATAGATCGTAGTTAACTTGGTCAAATACTTTTACCACTTTAATCAAGTACTTGTATGTGTTTTTAAAGTACAAATTAACATGTTCCAACTATCTAATATGCTTCTTGTTTAGGAGTGTTAGTATATCAAAAAAAAATATTAAATACGAATTAATATGATCAACTGTCTACTATGCTACTTGCTTAGGAATATAAGTATATAAAAGTTATTTTCAACAATAGAAATTAAATCATGTATATTTTAAAAATATATTGACTGAAACGTATTCATTACTTGTAGTAATTGAATCCAATATTATAAATAATATTTTTAGGCATAAAGTAAAATGGAAAAAGAAAATTCCCACAAAAGTAAATAAAACATAAAAATAGGAGGGAAAAAGCTTTTAAAAAAATAAATAAATCATTTCGAAATATATATCCATGTTCCTCAAACTTCTTCCTTAATTATGAGTACTTTTCGAGGTACTTATTTCAATCTTGTCCTATCATGGTGCCACACTTCTCTTGTAAAACCAAAACACATAGATAATAATGCACTTAAAGTAATATGTTTAACTATTGATATCTCAAATAAAGTATATATTTACCTTGAGACTCTAGAGTATGAGCAATTTTGTTTTAGTCTATCTGACTCCTTTAGAGCGAGATTGATGCATAACTATTTTTAAGCTCAGCCTATTGAAATTTAATAATAGCAACGGTGCAAAAGCATACCAAAATGAGACCCTCGTGATTGTTTAAAAATAAAACTACCCATACTTATAAATATTTGCCAATGACATACAATAGAAATAATCCTTAACATGGAAAATGTAATGCATGTTTAAAAAATAATGCCTCCCCTATAGAAAAGAAAAGGTATGTCAATAGTACCAAATTTTTCCTTATAATGTCGAAGCTTAAAATGCAAGAAAAAAATGATGAGTTAATAGTTTAAAACAAAGGGAAAAAATCATGTAGATTTTTTAACGACCACACTTCTCATTGTTAATAAAAAATCAGATGGAAGGTCGTCCACAAGCATCCACACTGAAATAAGTTAACGAATCTTTAGTCAACACAGGCAAAATTAAGAAATAAGCGAAATTCTACCAATCACTCTAATCATTGAGTTAATAATATTAAAAGTATAACTTACTATGTCAATCGAAATCCATCACACTCCCTTTTTGACCAATAAATGAAAAACATCCATCTAAAATTACAACCAACAGAGAGAGAGGTCGGTGTATACCTGTCAGATAAAAAAGAAAATTCAGATCGAAGTGGAGGAGGGAAGGGGAAGAGATAGAAGGCGAAGGGAAAAGAAAGGACAGAAGAGAATTAGAACGTAACCTTTTTATTAGTTTTTTAGTGGCTAATTTTTTTTTTATTTTTGAAAACTATGTCATATGGGATTATGTGAAAAATAATATTAAGTTAAGTTAAACGTATCCACATCTGGTTTTAAATTATATTTTAAGCAAAATTATTTAGTACGTATCTCTTTTTTTTTTTTGTAATCCAAATCTTTTTGTTTTTGAAAAATACATCAAATGAAATCATCTTAAAAAAATTAATAATAACCTACATTTAATTTGTCCGAACTTAGTTTCAAATTGTATTCATAACATAATAATTTGATAACTAAATCTCTTTTATTTTTGGAAAAAATATATCAAATGAAATTATCTGAGAAATAATATTAACCTACGTTTAATGTATCTAGATTTGGTTCGAATTGTATTCATAATATAATATTTGGTAAGTAATCTCTTTTTACTTTTGAAAAATATCTCAAATGGAATCATGAAAAATAATATTAATCCATGTTTAATGTATATGGACTTGGTTCCAACTGTATACATACGTAGTATAATTATTTGCTAACTAATCTCTTTTTATTTTTTGTAACCAAACTCTTTTTATTTTCAGAAAATATATCAGATGAAATTATTTGAAAAATAATTAGCATATGTTAAATGTACCTAGATTTGATTTTGAATTGTATTCGTAATATAAGGATTTCATAACTAATTTTTATATTTTTAATAACTATTTTTTTTTATAGAAAATATATCAAATGGAATCATCTAAAATAATACTAACATACATTTAATGTATCTAGACTTAGTTTTGAATTATATTCGTAATATAATGATTCGATAACTAATTTCTTTATTTTTTGGTAATTAATTAATCTCTTTTTATTTTTGGAAATGTATCAAATAAACCCATTTTAGA